ATCTATCTATCGATATATCTATCTATCTATCGATCTATCTATCTATCTATCGATCTATCTATCTGTCTATCTATCGATCGATCTGTCGATCTATCTATCTATCTATTTATCTAACTATCGATCGATCGATCTATCTATCTATCTATCGATCTATTTATCTATCTATCGATCTATCTATCTATCTATCGATCTATCTATCGATCTATCTATCTATATATTTATCTAACTATCGATCGATCTATCGATCTATCTATCTGTCTATCTATCTATCTATCTATCTGTCTATCTATCTATCTATCGATCTATCTATCTATCTATCGATCTATCTATCTATCGATCTATCTATCTGTCTATCTATCTATCTATCGATCTATCTATCTATCTATCGATCTATCTATCTATCTATCGATCTATCTATCTGTCTATCTATCTATCGATCGATCTATCTATCTATCTATCGATCTATCTATCTGTCTATCTATCTATCTATCTATCGATCTATCTATCTATCTATCGATCTATCTATCTCTCTATCGATCTATCTATCTGTCTATCTATCTATCTATCTATATCTATCTATCTGTCTATAAATCTGCGTGAATTATAACGACCTCACTGCGACCTCACTGGAATCATGGTTAGTAAGGGGAATCATCCCAACGTAGCCTTATTTCATGTTAGTGAAATATTGTAATTTACCATAAATACAGTATATGTATACACATATTATACATGTTTTGATGACATTGGACTATGGATATCTATTGATGATAATAAGAGTGTATAATTATATAATAGTGTATGATGTTTATACCCTCTGATAATTTGTTACATTGCTATTGAAGCCATGGACCATGGAAATAGTTGATTTACCAAACTTAAAGATGGTGATTTTCCAGTTCGCTATGTAAAAATTTACCAGACAGTATCCTATATTAAGATTATTAAGGTACTTTGTTAAATGATGAACAGATGCAGTCATGGGTTTTGCCTTTCAGAGGCAAATCTGTTTTCGTAGGTTTTTCTTTGGTTCAACGCGTCTATGAGTATACTATATTAACTTGAGCCCCGTTCATGGCATCCATCCCTGCAAGCGATCATTCTCCATTGGAAGGCATGGGAAAACCCACATGTTTTTGGATGTTTACCAGGCCGGGTAGCATAAAGTTTGCTGACTGTAAGAAATCCATGGATAGATAGCTAGATGGATGATATATATATATACACATGCATTTACATATGTGTATACATATATATATATAAATATATATATATATATTATAATATACATATTTGTGGGATGTATAACCTCAACATTTCCTGCTGTCAGCCTCAGGTGTGATTGGTTGCATCGTCAGTCCTCGTGCGGCCCCTAGGTGAAGCTGGTGCCTGAATGATGTAACTTCCTGCAGTCAAACTGTTTTTGCTATCTTTTGTGCTCAGTGAGCCTCTTGATTCAATGCTTATACCCTCTGGTAATTTAACATAGCTATAGAAAATCACCATTTTTAAGTTGGGTAAACCATCTATAAATGGCCATTAGCTTTAGAAAATCACCATTTTTAAGTTCGGTAAACCATCTATTTCTATGGCCATTTTCCAGTTCGCAAACTGTGAGTTTACCAGGCCGGGTATACTTCTATAATTCCTATGGTTTTGGGATGTGTTCAGGCCTTGGGTATCTAAGCGAACTAAACCATTAACCAGTTGGAGACAAGTCATGTACCACGGCATATCTTATATACATTTATATACACAGATAGATAATATATTTAGACATTATGAATAGATATGATTCATAGATATTAATAGACACTTATTCCAGATATATTCTGAACTGTTCATCCTTGTCTTATGCCACGTTCTGTTTCGGCCGTGTCTCACGTCTGGCTTCCTGAGGCGTGTCATGTGCCTGGCGTTGATGGTGCTGGTCTGTGCCCGGAGCCTCAGACCTGATTCCACGGCCGGGCATGGCAAGATATGGCAAGTGATGGTGGGGGGCTAATCATGTGGTGATTAAGCCCCTTAAAAATTCATGACTTAACGCATCAACAAGAACAGAGCTGATTGCGTTTTTTTTTAACGAATCGGGAGATGGAGTTTTGGAAGAAAAGAACATCATGAATTACGTGAGACGTGCGTTGGCCTCTTTATTTGCCATTTCTGTAAAATCCAGAAACTATTTCTTGCACAGGTAGACACCATTTGCTAAATACTGGAAACCATTTGCTAAATACTAGAAACTATGTGCTAAATACTAAAAACATCAAGAAACAATTTGCTAAATACTAGAAACCATTTGCTAAATACTAGAAACCATTTGCTAGATAAGTAGAATATGTAAAACCACTTGCGTTTTGCAAAGTAGAAACATGTAGGTTTACCATTTCCGAAATCACGTTGATTTACCAGGAACCATGACTTGAATCAAAGGGTGTTGCGGTTATCGACCATCTTATTGGGGTAAACCTATTCAATCTTGGGGATTGATTGGTGGCATCAACCCAGTAGTTTAGCTATGTGCCATCTATTCACAGCCCATAGTTTTTTGAAAGCCATTTAGCCCTTGAGCCATTTAGTTTGTTGATTTACCTTGCTATCTCTAAGATCGTGAAGGGGTGAAACTTCAAAGCTGAAAGTCGTGTGACAAGCCCAGTGGTTCATGGCGAAGTACGGCTCTTTTGAAGCAGCTGTTACCAGGCTGAAGCGACTCTGGAGACTTTGCCAGCTCTGTTTCACTACATCGAGTCAGTTATCATAATCTTCATAATTTCCGATGTTATCGCCCTGGATACGTTTGTATATAATTAAATAGAATCAGCTACATGATGGTCCTGTTATGGTGTGATTGCCATTGGTATGTTGATAGAATTACTAGCGCAAGCATAACATGGAGCAGTCGCAGTGACACAACTCATGAAAATCTGGCCTTGATTTGTTTCCAGACACTGGAACATGTGACAATACAATGGAAAAGGTAGGGGATGGTATCGCCTAGAAATGTGGCTGTTCCCAGATTCACCCAGTAGTTTTTCCATGTTTCTTTCAACAAATCCAACATCCGATGAGATCACCCAGAGGTGATCCTCATTTTGCTGGTGCAGTGCCGGTTGGTCAGTCAATTCCCCCTTCATCTTGGCAACCTCGGAGCGCAAGTAGGGAGGTTACCTTAAAAAGTGGCAGGCAATAAGCAGCTTTAGGGATGATCTGGTAAACCCTAGTTGAGTAGTTTCATATTTTAACTTTAACCGTTCACCATAAGGGATATTCTTCCCAGCCTTGAAATATTACTGCAGACACCGAAGACTACGGCGGTGTTTTTCATGACCTAACGAACAAATCCTTCAAATCATGTTGGATTATGATCAATTCCCTATCGTGGCTAGTATAATCCCATATGGCTAGTATAATCCTATATCTATAATCATCTGCCCAATTGGGATTATAATCATATATCATCTGTATCATTCTATAATCCCATATCTATAATCATAATCCAGTAGTATAATCATCAACCAACCGGGGTTTTCTCGCAGCCACTGCCCAATTCATGTCAGGGATCCCCTTCCCAATTCATACATCTGCAGTTGGCGATGGGCGCCATGTTCGCGCAACAGACGCTGCTGATCGCGCGATGGCCCAGCGACATTTCCAGCAATGGGATGGCTTGCTGAGATCGGCGTAACATAGCCAGGGTTAAAATAAATGGCCATACCCTCTGGTAAACATACAAAAAGCTATTGAACATGGCCATTTATAGTGAGTTTTCCCATCAAAAATGGTGATTTTCCATAGCTATGTTAGTTTACCAGAGGGTATCTAATAGGTAAATCATCGAAACAACTTGGGTATTTGTGTCATGTATTGATGAGAAATACCATACGCAAAAAGGAGTTTGATGCCCGAAAGCTCTTTGTTGGGGATGATGTTGGAATGGAATTTGAAAAGTGTTCTTCCCTACTATTAGATCAGATACAAATAATAGGTTCCCAAACTTCTGCTTGCACTTATAATATTGGTGTGCAACATGCTTGCAGGGAGTTGCTCTGCCAAGCGTTCTTTGTTGTTGTTTGTTCCTTAATGTGATGTTATATTACAATAAGATACAACAAGGAATATATTATATATATTATTATTATCCAATTACAGTAATGTTTGTTCCACGTCTTTTTTTATGTTTTTAATACCTATTTTACCCAATTCTATATGTTCTAAACATCCAACTGCACCCTCAGATCGAATCATGTCATTGGCTGTGACTGTGATCAAGTAGCTCACCAAGTGTCGTGGTAGTACTGGGTTGTTTGAAGCATCAACTGACTCCAAAACCTGCCCAGGGTGAGATGTTTTGATATTTTTCAAGGTGTTGGCTATGCAATATCAGGACTTTTTTTTTTTCCCGGTCAGTCACCGAGTCACCGGGTCATATCACTGGTCTCCAGTCGCCCAACGATACGAATGTGTCCGGTAAGAGATCCTGGATCAAAGTGAGTCAATGGAAAGTCTAAGAGTGGTCCAATTTGCGTCCAATTTCTCCAGTTGGACAGAGAATTTTGGCGTTCCATGCACTCAATGTCTTCGAGAGTTTTGAGACAGGATGTGGCACCATTGAGCTCTACCCTGGAGACCCTGAGTTCGTACTGGCATACCCAAAAAAGGCCGTTGTGAGCCAGTCAAATCGTCAGACCACTTGGGCGCCACTTTTGTTGCTAAACAAGTTATGTTTTCCACAAGCTTCCCCCTTGCGACCTATGATCTATGATGATCTAAGGCATCCACTGGCTAGATGATTATTTTATATTATTATTGTCATTATGATTACTATCATTATTATTAAATTATTATTATTATTATTATTATTATCATTAAATTATTATTATTACAGTAACTTTATCTATCATTGTTTGCTGATGATCTATCCATATTATTCTCCACGATCAATCCTTTTTTTCCGCCGGTGGATTCCCATCTCTTCGCCTGTGCAATGGCGCCATGGCGCCATGGCAAAGTCGAACGCACCACTGTTGCCTGGTCCAGTGCAACATGCCTTTGAGGCTGCGAGATGGGTGAATGGGTTAATACAATGGTTAAACCATACAGGTTGATACCATGATTTTGCATCATGATGGTCAGGTCATTTGTCTTCTCATGATAGTTGATCATTGGTTTAGCAACTTTGAATGACGTTTCTTTTTTTATCGGATCCAAATACTATACTTCCTGAGAAGGTACCGAATCCCCCAAATCCTAGCCCAAACGCTCCCTCAGAAGGCTCTTGGATCCTGAAACGGGTGGTATAAACTGTCCCCCCCAAACAAGGGTTTATGATTGGGTTCACCAAATTATGTCACAAAATCTCCATACAATTCATACAAGGGTCCTTGGTTTTTCTGTTCTACCCCTGAAAGTCCGACATTTACATCCAGCAACCGGATATGATCAGATTCTGGTTGGTGGTTTCAAACATTTTTTATTGTCCATAATATATGGGATGTCATCCTTCCCATTGACGAACTCATATTTTTCAAGATGGGTAGGTCAACCACCAACCAGATATGATCAGATTTCTCTTGATCTCCTTTTTGCTGCTGGCATCTTGGATTTGTGGCGCATCTTGACAGGTGGAGGGCGCGAAATCCGAAGCGGCCTCACAGCCGATCTTTCAGGAGGGAGATGTGTGGCGCGGCAGATGGGAGCCAATCGGGAGCCTCTGGTAATTTAACACACAATGATGGGCCCCCCTAGATATATGGCTAAGTTGCTTTATAACTCCCATAACTATGGTTTATGATACCTATAACTATAGTTAATGGGGTTTAAAAACCAACTTATAACTGGGGGGGCTCACAATGTAGTCTCACAATGTAGTCATGTACTTGGTGGTTCATCCCACTTAGTGGGTTATAACTCCAGTTATAAGTGGGATAAGTAGACTTCATCCACCTATAAATGGGGTTAGAACCCACTTACTAAGTGGGATGAACCACCAAGTCTAAATAAGTGGCTGAATTATTTATAATTTGTTGGTGAATAAATAGCAAATACTGGAAGATCACTATGTTCAGTAGCTAAATCGTCTACAAATGGACCATTTTCCATAGCTATGTTTTTTTTTCCACAGAGTTTCATGTGGCTAAGCCATGTGGACATCATGGGGATATAACTTTGGGGAAATGATCCTAGGGTGTTCACGTTTGAGGACTTTCTGTCATAGACCCAATGGTAACCCTTATTTCTTGAGTTTCATAATAGCCTCGAATGGTAAAACTAGGCATGGTCTATAACTTTGAGATACTTTGGGTCTATACTACACTAGATACAGGGGACATCAACCAAAAATATCATATATTTATACACATGCTTGTATATGTATTTATCTAGAGATACAGTATAGCTGACAAAGTTTGTTCAAAAATCTAGGTGGGATGAACAGCGCTGATTCCCCCTTATTGGATGAAGGACAGGAAATCCTCAGTTTATTCGTAAAAATCATGGTTTTACCCAATTGTTCACTTCAGTGGTTTGAGGGAAAATCAGCAGGAGCCCCCGGCCATTTTGGGGCAAAAAAAATGCCATGGTAAGACGCCATAGCCTGAGGTTTGCGGGCTTCTGCCGCGCTGTTTGCTCCTTCCTGCTGGGAAGGGGACTTACATCCCTCAACAAGGCGGGACGATGCGGGACGAGACGTTGACAGGGCAGGGACATGTACTTTTCCTTTTTTTGGAGCTCATGAAATGAAATGTTAGATTGGTTTTGATAATTTTTGATAGTGTTTTTTTAGTGCACACAGATTTTGCACACCAATGATTGCCCCGATTCGCTGTTTCCGAATCGCCGGTGTATGGAATATCTGGAGACTTACAGCGAATTGGCAGCAACAATCACACCAAATCATGTCTATAAATTTACCATACATGGAATATCATGGAATGTTGTTCGAGTTTGAACCTCTATGTAGGTCATATCACCCCAGTTTACAACTATCAATAAGTTCCCCTTATTTGAAACCATTTACAACATCATCTCCAGTTTGCAATACTACCAATCTCATCACCCCGTTTATATCCATTAATCCATGTAGAGTTTATGAGAACCAGTTTGCAACTACCAATCACTACCCCACACATCATAAATGCCATTTGAAACCATAAAACAATGTAAGCATGATATAAATTCCATAAATTCATAAACCATATAAATTCCACTTGAAACCATCATAAATTAAATTTGAAAACCATCATTTTTCCATATCAAAGCATCATCAGATTTGGGACCTCCGTTGGTTTCCATTTGGACTTCCCACGTCCCGATTCAGGTGGCGTCGGCGCCGCTGGTGCAAGCGGAGTGGGCGGCTCTGCAACAGCTGCGGGCTGTGGGGAAAAGCACCAAGATGAAGCAGGCGCCACAGCCGTGGAAAATGGTCAAAATGGGGAAGTCACTGGATTTCATGCAATTTTTTTATGGGACTATGATGGGAATATGGTTGGAATATGTTGAAATATGAGGGGAATGAATGAATGTGTATATGTTTCCTATTGATAGGATTTTGATGGAAATGTTTTGCCACGAAATGTGGCCGTTTTATTCTCAAGATCTTCTTTCGTTCTGCTTTGACTTCAAGACAACGAGCTCATCGTCATGACGCAGTCATCGTCATCCGCAGATGTAGCTTCGGTTCTCAAAGCGAAATTGCAAGCACGCCTCGCAATGGTGAAACGAGACCTCCTCCTCCGTGGCTTGGGCCCGAAAACTGTGGACGAGTTCGAGTACCTATTTCGGTCCAATGACCTCCTAGCGGAGCTCCGAGCCATTGAGGGGTCACATCTGACCCTTCAGGCTCTTCGTTCCAACAGTGAGGAAGGGTGCAAGGCATTTCAGCAGGCCATATTAGATGACAACAAAGTTCGCCCAGACAAAGAAGCGTTGGCCGCTGCTGAACGGGGATTCAACAGCTTTATCCCTTTCCCAACCCCTTCATGCAATGGGAAAGTTAATGGATTTCATGCAATATTAATGGGACTACGATGGGAATATGATTGGAATATGGTTGGAATATGGTTGGAATATGGTTGGAATATGATTGGAATATGGTTGGAATATGGTTGGAATATGGTTGGAATATGGTTGGAATATGGTTGGAATATGGTTGGAATATGGTTGGAATATGGTTGTATTATGGTTGGAATATGGTTGGAATATGGTTGGAATATGGTTGGAATATGGTTGGAATATGGTTGGAGTATGGTTGGAGTATGGTTGGAATATGGTTGGAATATGGTTGGAATATGGTTGGAATATGGTTGGAATATGGTTGGAATATGGTTGGAATATGTTTGGAATATGGTTGGAATATGGTTGGAGTATGGTTGGAGTATGGTTGGAATATGGTTGGAATATGGTTGGAATATGTTTGGAATATGGTTGGAGTATGGTTGGAATATGGTTGGAATATGGTTGGAATATGGTTGGAATATGGTTGGAATATCTTGAAATATGAGGGGAATGAAGGAATGTGTATATATATATATACATATAAAACTACAGTATGTATATATATATATATAGTTCTATAGTGGACAATGATGGGATATGATTTAAAAAACAAGTTGGATTGCATCCCCATGGGGGCTCCACATCGGGAGGATCACCATACCCCGTTGACACCGTATGTTGAAGTATGGGAAATGGTTGGAAATTATGGGAAGCGATGGGTTTCATCATGGAATACTTTTTTTGGGATACCACGATATCACGTTACAAAACGTGATTTTCGCAACCGACAAGTCAATGAGGTAATGAGGTATATAAATTCGGATGGATTACATAGCCACACATCTAGAGGCTTTGGTTTTTCTCGGGATTGCTGCAGGTTAAACTTCGATGGGATCAACGACCCCCCAAGATATCAACTGGTCATGGGAAATATGGCGAAACCATGCGAAACCAATTGTTGAGGCAACCCAATTTGGAGAAACACGCATAGTTTATGTAATTGTACCCAATGATTTTTAATGTTTGGAGAAACATCTTTACCCAATAGAATACCATAATACCATTACATAATTGGTCACTATATATCTACGTAGTTTATGGTGAGGTCCCCTTGAGGGCGTCGCGGAGTGTTGTCGTTTTTTCAGGTTTGCGTATTCTTCGAATCACTCATGTCATTCCACGTTTTACACGGTTTTCTTGTGCTTCTTTGCATTTTCTGCTGTTTTTACTGTGTGTCGTGACGTGCTTCCTGTGATATTTGGGTTGTCGGCATGCCAGTGTTTTTTGGGGGGGTGGTGGGGGGGGTGGGGGTGGGGGGGGGGGGTGGGGGGGGTTGGGGGGGGGGGGTGTTGGGGGGGGCTGGGCTGACTAACGTTCTTGTTATTAACGTTCCTGCATCTGTGTTCTTGACACGCTTTTCACTTTTGCAAGTGACGGTTTGACACGCGTTCGATGTTTTGGTTTTGATATGTTGACGTTGGTGTCCGGTGGCGTGTGGGCATGGGGTTGGGTTTGGAGGGGGATTAGAACGTTCACGTTAACCAGCGTACCTGCAACTACTTGCTTAGACGCAGTTCTTCTTTGCATTTCATATTTTGCAACGCGGATGATTTCATTTTTTTGTGCGTTGTTAGAAGAGTTTTTAAAATAAAACGATCTCATGTCTTTCTTTTGGTTAAGACATTTTCGATACGTCTTTGTTGCTTATGTTCATGTCTTCGTGTCACAAGTGGAATGTTGCTTTGTTTCATTGCTTTCACCTTGGTTTTGCTTGTTGCGTTGTTCTGGCTCATGTCATATAGTTACCATATAGCAGTACCTCGGCACGGCATGCTTTTTTCGTACGATGAAATCGGTGAAGTCCTCATCCTACTGGTGTGTCTGCGGCTGTCTGGCCAAGTGCCATGGGACCATCTATTGAGCAAGCATGTGTTCCTCAGACCCATTACAGCTTGGTTGACAATGGCCTTGCAAGAACTTCATGAATATGCTCACACTATTCAGAGTGGCAATGAGGTCATTTATAGCGATGGTGCAAAGGCTTGGCCGTCCATGGCGAAGCGACACGGTCATCGCAGTATCTCTGTGCGGCATGTACTTCAAGAGTTGAAACGCAAACCGTGGAGAGCTAGCAAAATTGCCGGCACGCAGAAAGCCGATTCTTCTTGGAAGAGCATCAAGAAATGGATTCCAGACACCTTGGAAACTACTGGCCGCTTCAGCAGACGAATCAACCCACATTTGCTGCAGTACATCCGAAGTTGGCAGTGGCAATCTCAGGAAAAGAATGACTGTGTCTCACACCTGTCCAAAGCTTTGAAAGCAATGTATGCGCGATGAGGTAAAAAAAAAATTACTTCGGAGACCCCTCTTGGAAGATGCATTTTGACAACCCTCACGAAATGCAGGTTTTTAAGGCGTTGTGCGTTGAAAAACGCGCGACGCCCTCAAGAGGACCTTCCCTAGTTTATGCAATGTTATGATATGATATTGGTCCAATATGCATGTGTGAACTATAAGGACTTCACTGGGGCCGGGATGGATGGATTATAGGGGGGTTAAGTCGTTGCAAATGTTGTTTTCAGAATAGATCAACCGTGGTGTCGCTATAAATGGTGGATTTTTCTCATATTTTGATCATTTGAATGATTTGAAAACTCAGAAAACCAATTAACTTCGGGTAATCAAACATTGCAAAACAGAACGTTCCACCGGGATGGCAATGGGAAATTCCTTTCTAAATCTACCCTCTGGTAATTTAACATAACTATGAAAAATCACCATTTATAGGGAGTTTTCCCATGAACAATGGTGATTGTCCATAGTTATGTTAGTTTACCAGAGGGTATTGATTACCAGACACGTATTCAAAGCAATCTTGGGGGTGGGTTGCAACTTTTGAGATCAACCCATGTTCTAGGGATTCTTGGGTTTTATCATTAACTTCCCTATTATTCTGTTGTCATATCCTGGTGGTCACCCGGTCAACCGCATTTTAAGACAAACCCACACCACATGGTTGCCATTAGTTCATAGGAATTCCCACTAATATCATTAATTTCCTCCAACAATCCACTTACTGTAAGTCCCATTCTATCCCGTTACATCACAAAATGCCCGGGTTTTGCCCGGACCCGCAATGACGACGGGCGACGCATCATCATCATCATCATCATCATCTTCATCATCATCATCACCATCATCAACATCAGCATCGTGATCATCAACATAATCATCCTCATCAACATCATCAAACCCTTTTTGAAGATCTTCAATGAATGTAGAAGTTGACCAGGGGTGGGAGAATTAAACCCTTATCGAAGATCTTCAATGAATGTAGAAGTTTAACGGGGGTGGGAGAATTAAACCCTCATCGAAGATCTTCAATGAATGTAGAAGTTTAACGGGGGTGGGAGAATTTAACCCTTATTGAAGATCTTCAATGAATGTAGAAGTTTAACGGGGGCGGGAGAATTAAACCCTTATTGGAGATTTTCAATCAATGTAGAAGATTAACGGGGGTGGGAGAATTAAACCCTTATTGAAGATCTTCAATGAATGTAGAAGTTTAACGGGGGTGGGAGAATTAAACCCTTATCGAAGATCTTCAATGAATGTAGAAGTTTAACGGGGGTGAGAGAATTAAACCCTCATCGAAGATCTTGAATGAATGTAGAAGTTTAACGGGGGTGGGAGAATTACACTCCCGGGAACAAACGTGTCTCAGGCTACCGTTTCAGGTATCAACTAACATGTCCACTCTATACCGGCGTTTTCCTGGGGAATGCATTGCAACTTTCTTTTTACACATTGACCCAAAAACAGCTAACATGTCTCAGTTCCTGCAATTGGGGCCCTTGGATTTCGACCCTGATCTTGGATATGTTTGCTATTTTGGGGGGATAGATTCAGCCAATAACCACTCACATATCTCAAAACCACATCCTCTGAACAACACGGACACGTTAGGTGGACGCTTTCCATGGCCAGTAACCCTTAGTAAATGCAACTGGTTTCTGGAACACACCCCCAATCTGCATATACGACGCGCTCTTCCGAGGAGTTGGGACTCTTTTTTCTGCTCGTTTTGTTATCAATGCGGTCTGGAAATAAGGATTGGAAGTGCAGTGCGTGCTCTTTCGTACCAAACTGGGACATGTTAGCAAGTTGGAATTCGGAAACAATGAACAACAAATGAGCAGCACCTGTGCCACTTCATCTCGGATGCTGGCCATGACTTTGGGGTTCAGGGAAAACAACCGTGTTTTGACAAAAATTGGGTCTTGTAAGTGCAGTCATTCCCCGAAGAGATTCCAATATCTCAAGCTACTGAATATTGGCCTTTTCAATGTGGGGTTCCAAAAACCAGTTGCATTTGGGGCCCTTGGATTTCGACCCTGATCTGGGATATGTTAGCTAATTTTGGGGGATAGATCAGCCAATAACCACTCACATATCTCAAAACCACATCCTCTGAACAACACGGACACGTTAAGTGGACGCTTTCCATGGCCAGTCATCTAACCCTTACACCGGTGAAATCTAACATAGCGTTTTTTTTAGCCCTGGCACCAACTCACAAACATAGCATCTGGCTACGTTGTCAACCCTGGGGATTTGGAGAAAGTGATCATTTGGGTGATTTCTGCCAACACCTGCTAACATAGCCTCTGTTTCCGTCCTCCCAATGTTTGGCATTCCCCAGGAAGTGGGTAAAAGAAATGTACCAGAATAAGCTAACATAGCTGTCTGGAGACTTGTCACAGCTTGGAACCACCAAATGGAAAGTGCTATGTTAGCATCAAACTCCACGGAAAACATGTTTTAGAAAGCAGGAAACCGAACACATCAATCAATCAATCTAGAATGAAAGTACCCCTGGTTGCTAGGTTAGGTGTCTCTTTTGAGTCTCCAGCCGACCAGATCAAACCACAACTGTTTTTGGATGTCTTCCTGGGGCTCACCCTTACTGGGCCCAAAAAAGCTTCAAAATCAACAATTTTATATAATCGATTGAATAAGGGAAAAAAACTCCTGGTCGATGTTGCCAATCTGGCCGTTGTGTCTTCCCCGTTTTGGGGTCGAAGTCCTCGGGCCTGGCCGAGTTGTTTTCCGCTAACGCGCGCGCGCGTTGGCGGAAAGGTTGTGAGCCCAAGGCGACTACTAACATAGCATTTGCGCAGGGTTCCCAAAACCTCCAATAGTACATCATAATCATCACCCTTACTGGACCCAAAAAAGCTTCAAAATCAACAAGTTTATATAATAGATTGAATAATTAATGAAAAAACTCCTGGTCGATGTTGCCAATCTCGCTACTTGCTACTATGAAGTACGATTAAATGTTTTTGGAACCATATATTGGTGGAAAGGCTGATGAACGCGCGCACAAACGAACGCTAACAAAGCAGTTCCCGATTGAACCTACTTGATGCTTCACACGCGCCAAGTTAGCACCAAAATGCCCATGTCACACCATGCGTTCCCAACGCCAAGTTAGTTGAATCTCAGCCCCAAAACCCAAACACTAACATAGCAAAAAAAATAAAAGAATAAAAAAAACTTTCAACAGGTAAGATTTCACGAGAGTAGTAAATGCAACTTGTTTTTGGAATGCACCCCCAATCTTCCTGCCCACCTCCGAGCATCATCTATGATGCGCTCTTCCGGAAGGAGTTGGGACCCCTTTTTCCTCCACCGTTTTGATATCAATGCAGTCTTTGATTTGAGCCCTATTGGGGTCTGGAAATAAAGATGCTGGGGCGTCCGGGGCGGTAGTCTTCTGGCAGTTTCCCGGGAACCCCCAGAGGGGGTGACAAGTTTTCCACTAACATGTCCATTCTGGACTTTCAACTAACATGTCTCAAGTGTGGGGCATTTATCATAGCCTATGTTCACAGCAGCTAACGTATCCAAAAAAAACACCAAAAAAAAGTGGATACGTGTCTCGGGCTACCGTTTCAGGTATCAACTAACATGTCCACTCTGTACCAGCGTTTAACTGGATTTCCTGGGGAATGCATTGCAACTTTTTTGGGGACCATTGACCCAAAAAACAGCTAACATGTCTCAGTTCCTGCAATTGGGGCCCTTGGATTTCGACCCTGATCTGGGATATGTTCGCTATTTTGGGGGGATAGATTCAGCCAATAACCACTCACATATCTCAAAACCACATCCTCTGAACAACACGGACACGTTAAGTGGACGCTTTCCATGGCTAGTCATCCAACCCTTAGTAAATGCAACTTGTTTTTGGAATGCACCCCCAATCTTCCTGCCCACCCACGAGCATCATCTATGATGCGCTCTTCCGGAAGGAGTTGGGACCACTTTTTTCTCCACCGTTTTGTTATCAATGCAGTCTTTGATTTGAGCCCTATTGGGGTCTGGAAATAAGGATGCTGGGGCGTCCGGGGCGGTAGTCTTCTGGCAGATTCCCGGGAACCCCCAGAGGGGGGGACAATTTTTCCACTAACATGTCCATTCTGGTTTTTCAACTAACATGTCTCTAGTATAGGGCATTTATCATAGCCTATGTTCACAGCAGCTAACGTATCCAAAAAAACTTTTTTCCACAAAAAAGTGGATACGTGTCTCGGGCTACCGTTTCAGGTATCAACTAACATGTCCACTCTGTACCGGCGTTTTCCTGGATTTCCTGGGGGATGCATTGCAACTTTTTTTGGGACCATTGACCCAAAAACAGCTAACATGTCTCAGTTCCTGCAATTGGGGCCCTTGGATTTCGACCCTGATCTGGGATATGTTTGCTATTTTGGGGGGATAGATTCAGCCAATAACCACTCACATATCTCAAAACCACATCCTCTGAACAACACGGACACGTTAGGTGGACGCTTTCCATGGCCAGTCATCCAACCCTTAGTAAATGCAACTGGTTTTTGGAATGCACCCCCAATCTTCCTGCCCACCTCCGAGCATCATCTATGATGCGCTCTTCCGGAAGGAGTTGGGACCCCTTTTTTCTCCACCGTTTTGTTATCAATGCAGTCTTTGATTTGAGCCCTATTGGGGTCTGGAAATAAAGATGCTGGGGCGTCCGGGGCGGTAGTCTTCTGGCAGTTTCCCGGGAACCCCCAGAGGGGGGGACAACTTTTCCACTAACATGTCCATTCTGGATTTTCAACTAACATGTCTCAAGTATAGGGCATTTATCATAGCCTATGTTCACAGCAGCTAACGTATCCAAAAAAAAATATTTTCCACAAAAAAAGTGGATACGTTTGTTCCCTAGAGAGTAAACCCTTATTGAAGATCTTCAATGAATGTAGAAGTTTAATGGGGGTGGGAGAATTAAACCCTTATATATTGGAGATCTTCAATGAATGTAGGTGTTTAACGGGGGCGGGAGAATTAAAACTTTTATCGAAGATCTTCAATGAATTGGGGTGGGAGAATTAAACCCTCATCGAAGATCTTCAATGAATGTAGAAGTTCAACGGGGGTGGGAGAATTAAACCCTTATTGAAGATCTTCAATGAATGTAGAAGTTTAACGGGGGTGGGAGTTTAATATTCCCTAATATCTCTGTTGATCTTCCCAATTGAATGTAAAGTTTAACGGGGGTGGGAGTTTAATATTCCCTAATACCGTTTTGTTTTTCCCATAGGAATTTCGGGTGTTTCGACATTTTTCTTTAATAGTCCCTAGTACCTTTGTTGTTTTCCCCATAGGAATTTAAGGTTTAACGGGGGTGGGAGTTTAATATTCCCTAATATCTTTGTTGATCTTCCTAGTTGAATGTTAAGTTTCACGATTTGAGAGTTTAAAATTTCCTGGTACCTTTGTTGTTTTTCCCATAGGAATTTCAAATGTTATGCCGTTTTTGTTTTTCCCATAGGAATTTCGGGTGTTTTGACCTTGTTTGTTTAATAGTCCCTAGTTCCTTTTGTTATTTTTTCCCGAAGGAATTACGGTAATTTGCAACATCATTTGTTTGTGAATGGGAAACCTCTACACTGCAACGCCTGGGCAAAGCCCAGACGTTGCGCGTATATATATATATATATGTATAGATTCTTAGATAAAATGCTTAAGATCCACTTGAATCATCAATGATATTCCCATGAACTACCATTCAATCAGCATTTACGTTGGTTAAACATCAATCACCAGTGATGGTTCTCAGAACTCCTCAGGTTCTGCTGGATCGACATCAGCTTTTTGAGGCGATCCGGTCATCCACCTGATATCCACATGTTCCTGTTACATCCCAAAAAAGCCGTCGGGTATACCGGTATACCGTATATTACTTCATCGAGATTGAGATTATTGTCCACAAGGCTTTGGAGTATAGCTGAACTGCAGGGATACACCTAGGTTGTTCGGTGTTTAATACTCCTATCCTCACAGTTTGAACACACAGCAGTTCGATTTGGATCTTCATCCCAGTCAGGAAAAATACCGCACAAGCTGGTGAACTAACTGTGTTTGGGGACTAATTAATATTGTTAGTTACCCTCTGGTAAACTAACAGTTTGCTATGGAAAATCACCATCTTTAGTAGGTAAATCAACCATAAATGGGTCATTTTCAATAGCTATGTAACAAATTACCAGAGGGTAGATCAGTCATATCCTATATGTTAGATCTTCATTAGATCATCTATTATTATCTATATATATATATTATACTGATATCCTCATGGTCTTCGCATATTTTGGCATCACATGCCATCGCTGCAGGTTCAGCTGGATGCCAAGTCGCAACCACATGTGTGGCTCATTACGAATCCGCCGCTGGCAGCATTGCTACTTGGGATGGAAAAATAGGTGGGTTATGCTATGCAATATCGCTGGGATTTATGGAGAAACATATAGAAGATATCCCATAGGATCCATGTATGCTATATATGGTAACATTTACCATCAATATACCCCCAATGTTAGCATATATACCATACATGGATCCTATGGGTATGATATATATATATATAATTCATAGGGATTGAAGCATCTCCATATAATCAGATTGATAATTAATGATGATTAGATGGACAATTTGTGGTGTGGTTAGTAAGTTTACTGGATAGTTTCCCCAAAAAAAGTGTGCAATGGATTATAGATTACAATCCACAAAAACAAACTTGTCAACTATCTAAGCGTGGCCCATCAAAGAAGATCTGTTTCAATGGATTAAGTTGGCTTGAGAACTAAGTCATAACTAGGTAAGCAGTCTTGGATAGTCTTGCTGTGACATTTTGTTTAGCTAGTAATGCTACTGTTGTATTGATGAGACGTGATGGACATGACCCAGTTCCAGGTGGAATCTCCAGCGCAGCTTCCATCGAGGTCCCATTTCTCCGCCATGGCCGCCGCCTCTGCCGCCATCGCCGCAGCCGCTGGGGCCGGCTTCACGGCGCCGGAGGGTGACCTGGGCGTGGCGGGTGTGGCGCCGATGGCGCCGATGGAGGCTGCTTGGAGGGGGATGGAGTCGAGGGAAAATGCTGAATCTATGGTGGGTGAAACACCAGTTTCACCATGTTTCACCATCAATTGAAGTGGAATTAACAGAATTAACATATGATTTTTCACGGGATACTATATTTATATGATGTAATAAATAAGCAACTTGAACTCGGCCAAACTACGGGTTTGTCTTTTCTGGGGTATCCCGGAAACATTCAGATGACAAGATCCATTGGAATTGGGCTATCCTATTTTCAGATAAACTAAAGAAACAAAAGCAAAACACATACCCTCTGGTTATGACTAACATAGCCATGGAAAATCCCCAAAATAAACGGAGGTTTCTAGCTGGGAAAATAATCTATTCGTATGGGCCATTATTCTACTTCGCATGATCCCCACCACTAAAAAAAACATGAGACAGAATTCTGACATTTTCACATCTAATCATGGCGAAATTTCGATAAATGCTGGCATGCTGATTTTGGGTATGATCAGCCATGGCCAACTCTTCCATTAGAAGGCGCCCATTGGTTGTAAGGCAGCCCAGACACATATTGACATGCCCTCTGGTGAACTAACATAACTATGGAAAAACACCTTCTTTAATGGGTAAATCAACTCTAAATGGCCATTTCCAATAGCTATGTTTGTCTACCAGAGGGTATAGACAATAATAATGAAAGTGAATATCCGCTCAACGACGGATCAATTGAAACAACAAAAACAAATCCGAAGACGAAAACACCTACACAAGAAATCAAAAGAACTGTATACAGATTATAGTTGAACGCACATATATATAATATAATAAAATATAGTATAATAGACTATGATATAATATAACATAACATAATATAATAACACATAATATAATATAACATTAGTATAATATGAAATAACATAACATAATATTATATTACCTTATTATATATCATATTATATTATATATTTTATATCATATTATCTTAAATTATATTATATTATATTATATTGTTATATTTGTTATGTTATATTATATTTTATTTTTTTGTACTATATTATATTATATTATATTATATTTGTACTATACTATACATATATATATATTATATTGTTCATTTACATATTATAATTTAATATAATATAACATAATATAAAATCATATTATATTTTTTTATTATATATATATTATATACATATAATCACATAATAGAATATAATAGAATATAATAGAATATAATAGAATATAATATGATATAATAAAATATAATATAATATAATATAACATAATATGATATAATTTAAAGAAAATAATATATATATATATATTATATTATATATATGTCATATTTATCACATAGCATTCTATTCTGTAGTATCATGTAAACATAACATTATTATAAAACAAACGCTTGTATCATGACGAGGCTTCACAGCCGGGTGAAGCCTTGCGTCCAGAGCTGCTGGCAGCGCTGCGGGCGCATTTGCTGCGGCAGAACGGGAGCCCTGGAGCGATTCGGATGGGATATGACATGAGGATACCAATGGGACATGGGGATTTCCCCATAAGATGTGGAAAATCCATGAAAATCCATGAAAATCCATCACAATCCATCACAATCCATGAAATGTGGAAAATCCACTACTTGACATGGGGATTTACCCTCCAAGTAATTAAACCAAAATAGATATGGTAAATCCATGAAAAACTTGGGGTATCAAGCCAGGCAGCCACTCAAGACGGGGTCATCGATGGTGAAACCCGAATAGCGCTGAGGCGTGAACGTCACTCCGTGCTGCGGGCAAAGTTCGGGGTGAAACAAGCGCAGCTGCGGCCATACTTCCAGGCCAACGTTGGTGGTAATGATACTTAGGGATTTTTGTTTGATGTTTAATCTCTTTTAATTTTCCTCCATATTTACCCTCTGGTAAACTAACATAACTATGGAAAATCACCATTTTCAATAGTTTTTTTGTATGTTTACCAGAGGGTATCTGTCAAATGATGGTCCGGATCCTCCATGTTTGTGATGAACATAAAGAGATTAAACATCAAACAAATTCGGTCCAATGGGGTTCTATGGCACGGCAGGGACCTTTGAAAGATGCTGTTCCTGCAGCCATAGTTGCAGTCTTCCTTCAAGACAATACAAGCACTGCAGCGTTTCTTATGAAAAAGCGGCACCCTTGTAAAATAATGTTGGTTCCTGATTAGTGTGTGGCCCCCCCCCTCCCCCCCCCCGTAACTATAACTATATCTGGACTCTCTTTAAAGTAGAAAATCAAAAATTTTCTTCCCAAAAGAAAAACATACCATCAATTAAATAAAGATTTCATTTGGCTACAATTGAAATCTAATTACTATTGTTTTTTTTGCCGATGAAGTTGTGGTATTTGTAGTACTTGTAGTACTTGTAGTACTTGTAGTACTTGTAGTACTTGTAGCACTTGTAGTACTTGTAGTACTTGTAGTACTTGTAGTACTTGTAGTGCTTGTAGTGCTTGTAGTACTTGTAGTACTTGTAGTACATGTAGTACTTGTAGTACTTGTAGTACTTGTAGTAATTGTAGTACGTGTAGTACTTGTAGTACTTGTAGTACTTGTAGTACTTGTAGTACTTGTAGTACTTGTAGTACTTGTAGTACTTGTAGTGCTTGTAGTGCTTGTAGTACTTGTAGTACTTGTAGTACTTCTAGTACTTTTAGTACTTGTAGTACTTGTAGTACTTGTAGTACTTGTAGTACTTGTAGTACTTCTAGTACTTGTAGTACATGTAGTACTTGTAGTACTTGTAGTATTTGTAGTACTTGTAGTACTTGTAGTACTTGTAGCTCTGGCACAGCTTGCTGCAATAGTGAACCCAGCAAACAAACCTACTAAAGTGAAATGGAGCCTCTCCTGGTCCAGGGCCTTGGGAAATTGTGGAAAAGTTGTTCTTTAATAAGGGTTTAATAAGGGATTGGCTCCTTTGGGAAAGGCTTGGAGTTTGAATTTGGCAATTGCCTTTGGAAAAGGCTTGCTTCTCTTCTGGGCTTCCAGGGGCTGCTCTGGCACAGCTTGCTGCAATAGTGAGCCCAGCAAACAAACCTACTAAAGTGAAATGGAGCCTCTCCTGGTCCAGGGCCTTGGAAAATTGTGGAAAAGTTGTTCTTTAATAAGGGTTTAATAAGGGATTGGCTCCTTTGGGAAAGGCTTGGAGTTTGAATTTGGCAATTGCCTTTGGAAAAGGCTTGCTTCTCTTCTGGGCTTCCAGGGGCTGCTCTGGCACAGCTTGCTGCAATAGTGAACCCAGCAAACAAACCTACTAAAGTGGAATGGAGCCTCTCCTGGTCCATGGCCTTGGAAAATTGTGGAAAAGCTGTTCTTTAATAATGGTTTAATAAGGGATTGGCTCCTTTGGGAAAGGCTTGGAGTTTGAATTTGGCAATTGCCTTTGGAAAAGGCTTGCTTCTCTTCTGGGCTTCCAGGGGCTGCTCTGGCACAGCTTGCTGCAATAGTGAACCCAGCAAACAAACCTACTAAAGTGAAATGGAGCCTCTCCTGGTCAGGGCCTTGGAAAATTGTGGAAAAGCTGTTCTTTAATAAGGGTTTAATAAGGGATTGGCTCCTTTGGGAAAGGCTTGGAGTTTGAATTTGGCAATTGCCTTTGGAAAAGGCTTGCTTCTCTTCTGGGCTTCCAGGAGCTGCTCTGGCAGAGCTTGCTGCAATAGTGAACCCAGCAAACAAACCTACTAAAGTGAAATGGAGCCTCTCCTGGTCCAGGGCCTTGGAAAATTGTGGAAAAGCTGTTCTTTAATAAGGGTTTAATAAGGGATTGTTTCTCTTGGGAAAGGCTTGCAGTTTGAATTTGGCAATTTTGGAAAAGGCTTGCTTCTCTTCTGGGCTTCCAGGGGCTGCTCTGGCACAGCTTGCTGCAATAGTGAACCCAGCAAACAAACTTACCCAGATAGAGATGCATTTACAGGCTCAGATAGAGAGATGAGCAAAAACTTGACTGAGCTACAGCGTTTTTGAGAAAAAAATGCCTCTCAGCAAGTACAGTTTTTTTTTTCAAAAAAAAGGGCTCTCCCAATTTTGTTTTGCCACAGAAGCGAACCCTCCAAACAATACATGAGTTTCACAATAATTTGGAAAAATTGCCACAATAGCGACCCTAGCTACTAACCAGGAGCTAACATTAAGGTGGCATTCTTCTAAAAGAAGACCAATTGTGTTTGAATATAGAATGCTACCCTCTGGTAATTTAACATAGCTATTGAAAATGGCCATTTTTAGTGGTTTTTCCCATTAAAAATGGTGATTTTCCATAGCTATGTTAGTTTACCAGAGGGTACCTTCTTTCCAGTTTCAGATTTCCTTAAGTGGCGCAGCATTCCTTTTGCCAATAATTATGCTGCACAATTCCATCCGATCAAAATTGAGCCAGACCATATCCATTTGTTGCTGACTGTACCCTCAGCTTCATCGTTGAGAATACCTTAAAAGAAGACTTTGGATTAGCGCTTGCAACTTGCTGGTTGAATTCTGAGATATTCCTTCCTTAAGGGTTTTGTGTTGTTTATTGCATGTTTCATGCATTTCTTGATTGGTGTTCTGCAGGACAATGCGAGCATCTCTGATTCAGTTGCTGCTGAAATAGGACAAACTAGGAACACGGCCTTTATCTGGCCGTGGTGTTTTTGTGATCAACGGGGTGTCATGGATGATGTTTGATATGGTCGTGCCAATAGGATTTTGGTTGATGTGATTTCAAAGGCGAAAAACCCGTGATTCTGGTGCATAAAATCAAAATCTAGCGTTTCGCCTAGGCGAAACTATCATTTTTGATGTTTCTCAGAACTCCCCAACCAATTCGACCTGGATTGTTTTGATGTGAGTTCAAAGACAAGAAACCCCTTATTCTGGTGCAGGAAATGAAAAAACAAGTATTTCGCCTAGGCGAAAACGCATTTTTTGTAATTCCACATGTTATGTATTGATGAACGTTAACACATGCCCCACCCCACCCCACCCCACCCATGTCTACACGCACATAACGGCACACACAGAGACGAGTCCACTGTCCTAGCAAGTTCACATGAACGTTAACACATGCCCCACCCCACCCCACCCCACCCATGTCTACACGCACATAACGGCACACACAGAGACGAGTCCACTTACCTAGCAAGTTCACATGAACGTTAACACATGCCCCACCCCACCCCACCCCACCCATGTCTACACGCACATAACGGCACACACAGAGACGAGTCCACTTACCTAGCAAGTTCACATGAACGTTAACACATGCCCCACCCCACCCACCCCCACCCCACCCCACCCCACCCCCCCAATGTGCACGAAAACGCACGGCCAGATAAAGGCCGTGCTCCAACTATTCAGGTGTGTTGTTAAGGTCTATCTTGTCGTGTGGAAATAACAGTGAAATTTCAGAGACTATTTGTTCGCGAAGCATCATTTTAGCACCAAACTAATAAAACAAACATATCAATGACACTGAATATGTAAGAACCTTCACCTTTTGTTAGTTGCGATTCTAACGAATTACCAAGACAGTACTAATTAGCACGTGAGAACTAACAATGAAGCTGCAACCGTAACTATGAACCACCATTTAACATTTACTAAACCACAGTTGTTGATGGCGTTTGAAAGTCACGAAACCATCCGCTGGCCAGGTGCTTCCCGCCGGTCAGGACGCAGTGGTTGCCCTGGATGAAAAGTCCACGGCGCTGCCGTTGCCCAAGGAGCGGAGCGAGCTGCGGAGCTTGGGAGATACCCGAGGATTTCACCATGGTGATATGTCTTCAATGGGATATCCATTTGGATGTATGATACATATATATGTCATGTATATAATTATGTATGTAGATATGTATATATATATATTAATCATGGGATTGATTATTTTAGGATATATATATATATATCCTCAATGTTTCTCATATCTTCCCATTGCTCCTCCACCTTGTCTTTGTGCCAGGTGCCTGGGCCCATCAATAGCAGCGTCAACGAAGCCATGCAGGGCCTGGCGGCGTTGATGGGCGAGCTGAACTGCAGCAGGGTCTCCATAGGCGCGGCGATGACAGGAGGAGGTTCACTACTGAGCAACATTGGAATGTGAAGGAACACAAAACATGGGGTAGCGATATGTCTTATGATGTCTTATGTGTTTTCAAATGGATACTTATGTGATATAGTGTATGTGTATATATATATATGATTATGTATGTATATATATATACACGTACAACATGTTTTGGGAAAGTATTTTTTGTGTTTTTTGATATTTTCTTCATATCTTTTCTTTTTTTGGTTCACCGGTGGTCAGGCCGCGCCATGGTCTTTTGTATGGACCGTGCAGAGCACCATGCAGCACTGCTCTCAAGGTTCGCAACAACCATCAGAGTGCCTACGGACGGAGAATGCTGGCCGTGGAAAATCAATCGTTTATTGCAATCAGACTGATCCATTAATGGAACATATCAAACATGAACAGAATATATTAGTGGGACCAATCATTTATTAAGGAGGCCTATTTTTTTTTGGATTTTTTTTCTTTTACGTTTTTGGATTTTTTTTTGGGTTTCTTGTTTTATCTTGCTTTCTCCTTTTTTTTTGCGTTTTTGCTTTTGTGCTTTTTTGTTTGTTTTTTTTTGTTTTTTTTTGCTTGTTTGCTTTTTTTTTGCTTTTTTGCTTTTTTGCGTTTTTGCTTTTTTTTGCTTTTTTTGCTTTTTTGCTTTTTTGCTTGTTTGCTTTTTTGCTTGTTTGCTTTTGTGCTTTTTTGCTTTTTGCTTTTTTTGATTTTTTGCGTTTTTGCTTTTTTGCTTTTTTGCTTGTTTGCTTTTTGTTTTTTTGCTTTTTGTTATTTTTGCCTTTTTTGCTTTTTTGCTTTTTGCTTGTTTGCTTTTGGCTTTTGGCTTGCTTTCCATGGCTTTTGGTGGTATTTTTAGTATGTCAAACTTGCACATTTTTCAATACACTAGTTTGAACCGACTATATTCATATATATATATATTTATGTTTAAATTAAAATCATAATATATATATATTTACATATATATATATATGTATATTTATATATATATATTTATATATATGCATTTATATACACACTTGTATATTTATATCTAGATATATTTATATTATTTATATTTTCTACTTATATATATATTATATATATATATACATATTACTACTATTTATGTTCAAATTCAAATATATATATATATATTTACATATATATATATACATATATATATATATTTACATATATATATATACATATATATATTTATATATACATATATATATATATTTACATATATATATATATTTACATATATATATATATATATATGTAAATATATTTATATATATATATATTTATGCATGTATATATACACTTAAATATATATTATATTGATATATTTATATTTACATATTCATATTGATATTTTATATATTTATATTTATATTTATATATTTATTTTTATATATTTATATTTACATATAAATATATATTTATTTACCTATATATATACATTCATATGTATATACATATAAATCATATAAATGTATATATATATATATATAAAGAAGTATGTATCTATAAGTATATGTACTGTATTCCACATGTTTCCAGGGTGCATGTCGTGTAGTCTATACACCTTGAGTATCACATTCAACCCAGCACCTTGCATGTAAAATAGGTGTTTCCAATCTGCTTTGGCGGGGAGGCGCTGCGCCCTCCCCCCAATCCCCCCCCTCCCGCTTTTTTTAATTATTTAAATTCAAACTTGCACACTTTTCAATACACTTGTTTGATTCGACTATATTAATATTTTGTTAAAAATTATATATATATATATCTAGACATATATATATATCTAGACATATATATATAGACACACGTATACATATATATATATATGTATATGTATATGTATATATTTGCATTTATATATACACTTATATTTATATATATTAATGTACTTATATAAATGTATATATATATATATATACATACATACATATTAATATGTATATACATATCAATGTATATATATATATATTTACATAAATATATAACTATAAATATATATATATATTATAAATACACATACATATTTACTTATAGATATACAGACGTATACATATATATATATGACATATTTGTGGTTGTTTTTATACACAACTTTGATCCCAACATATACAACAAATAATCATGTAATTATACCTAATTACATGTTGTATCCCTAAACCCTAAACCACACCCTGCATATACATACATACATGCATGCATGCATACATATACCTACCTACCTACCTACCTACGTACATACATACATACATACATATATATATATAGATTGATTGATTGAAGAAAACCAAAGAAACCTTGCAGAAAACGATGGAAAATTGAAGAAAACCATGGAACAATTGAAGAACACTATGGAAAAATTGAAGAAAACCATGGAAAACTTGCAGAAAACCATTGGAAAACCATGGAAAAATTGAAGAAAACCCGGGAAAAATTGAAGAAACCAATGGAAAAATTGAAGAACACCATGGAAAACTTGCAGAAAACAATGGAAAATTGAAGAAAACCATGGAAAATTGAAGAAAACCATGGAACAATTGAAGAAAACTATGGAAACATTGAAGAAAACCATGGAAAAATTGAAGAAAACCATGGAAAAATTGAAGAGGCACGAACCCCAAAAAAAAATCCAAAACTGTAAAAAAAAAAATACCAAAAACAATTCTGCACCCATTTATTTTAATCCACTTATAATCATCAATGGACTACAATCATATGAGAGCGTCTACCGATCCATTAATGGAATCAAATGTCACCTGAATAACTTTCTTAGGGGATTTTGGGTTTTGATGTCATGTTTCCCATTTACCAACAATGCAGATTTATGCATCCAGATTTGACTACCAGAGATGATTTGGTGATTTCAGATATCGGATGAAGATACTCAACGCCGCATCTTTTTTTGGATGGGTTAAAACAAACAATCAGAAATGGGTTCGTGTTTGGAGAAAAGGATGGGACTGAGTCAACATGAACCAACAACCGAGAATATGGGAGAGTTTACATGCAACAATAGAGACTCGACCTACTGAAAACGGGATTGAACCTTCCAGAAAACAATAGACACATGATGTGGTGAGGTCGAATACCAACGTGTTGCTTGTCTGAGAAACACGACGTGTTACCGAAGGGGATGATCCTTGGGATGTCTGTGGTCAGAATCCAACTTCTACCCTCTGGTAAACGAACTAACGTAACGAAGTGGAAAGATCCACCTAATTTTATAGCTGGGAAAACTGACGAACTTTCGACTGGGCCATGGTTTCTATGTCGCAAACTGTTAGTTCGCAATATGGTGACGCCATGGACCCATGATGATTTCACCTGATGAAAATCACAAATTTTTCACCAACAAACGTGGGATCTAGTCGCGACAAAAGTAGCTGACTGACTGCAGAACAGGTTTTTTAGTAGCACAAGAAAAGGGTCATATAAAGGGATTTATTGGACCACCGCAAGAAAGAATTAGATCACAGAAAATGAGGATTAAAAGCCATCTGGTTGGTGGTTTCAAACATTTTTTATTTTCCATAATAGAATGGGCTAGCGCCTGGGTGCCGCCGACCCCCCTCCCGTGGGGGTTGATAGTAGGGGATAATAACCAACAGTTATAGGGGACAGATAGGTAGATAAATAGACAGAGATTATAAAAAAAAAGTAGCTTATACACAGAGGATAGAGATGGACATTACAGATGAATTGAACAAAATCGCCTTAAATCAGTTGAAAAGATGAGATGAGCGTAGAGTAGATTAGATCAGAGGGCTCAGGTTCGATCGGCAATGGGGCTGCGCTGAACACCGGATCAAGTGAAGGAGACAGACCGGATTGTCCGCCGGAAGCTGCCAAAGGCAAACATACCAAGGACACGCTTGCGAAGATCAATGCGGCGCTGGCCAAGAGAAAACTGCCAATCCTGAAGTCTCAGGAGGCTTTGGTCAACTTGCGCAAGGGGCTTCTGCGCAGGGTTGAGGCGGCGAGCCCTGCGTTTCCGCTACGGGCCTTGTTGCGACGGTTTGGCGGTGCTTCTCGGGCGATCGCATCCTACTATCGCATCCTAATAAACCATCGAGCGGTCTGTGGGAACCAGTTTTCTGTGAAGGAGGGCGTTGTGACGGAAAAAGCGTATGTTTACATTTGCCCCGCTTGCAAAGGGAATGTGGCCAGTGACGTGAAGACAGGGCAAATAGACCATCGAATGGTCTGTGGGAGCAGTTTTCTGTCAAGGACGGCGTTGTGAAAGAGAAAGGTGGTAAACGGCAAGCTTGAACGCCGAGAAGAAGCTATTGATCTGGCTTTTGTGGCACCTTTTGAATTGTGTAAAGGCTGGCAAACGGCAACCTTGGACGCCTAAGAGAATTGATCTGGCCTTTGGGGTGCCTGTTGGCTGCGGGATGAAGCATGCCAAGGGAATGTTTCAGCGATGTGGCCTTGGGGCAGCGCTATTGCCTGCGCGGTTCGGCGTTGCGAGAAGCTTTTGCACAGTTTGCAGTGTTTTAAGGGTTTTAAGGGCAAGCGTTTAAGGGCTGGCAAACGACAGGCTTGGACGCCCATTAAGGGTTTTAAGGGTTTTGAGGGTTTTTAAGATTTTTAAGCGTTTTAAGCGTTTTAAGGGTTTAAGGGCTGGCAAACGGCAGGCTTGGACGCCCATAAGAAGCCATTGATGTGTGGCCTTGGGGTGCCTGTTGGCTGCAGGATGAAGCATGCCAAGGGAATGTTTAAGCGATGTGGCCTTGGGGCAGCGCTATTGCCTGCGCGGTTCGGCGTTCCGAGAAGCTTTTGCACAGTTTGCAGGGTTTTAAGGGTTTTAAGGGTAAGCGTTTAAGGGCTGGCAAACGGCAGGCTTGGACGCCCATTAAGGGTTTTAAGGGTTTTGAGGGTTTTTAAGCGTTTTAAGCGTTTTAAGGGTTTAAGGGCTGGCAAACGGCAGGCTTGGACGCCCATAAGAAGCCATTGATGTGTGGCCTTGGGGTGCCTTTTGGCTGCAGGATGAAGCATGCCAAGGGAATGTTTAAGCGATGTGGCCTTGGGGCAGCGCTATTGCCTGCGCGGTTCGGCGTTGCGAGAAGCTTTTGCACAGTTTGCAGGGTTTTAAGGGTTTTAAGGGTAAGCGTTTAAGGGCTGGCAAACGGCAGGCTTGGACGCCCATTAAGGGTTTTCAGGGTTTTAAGGGTTTTGAGGGTTTTTAAGGGTTTTAAGCGTTTTAAGGGTTTAAGGGCTGGCAAACGGCAGGCTTGGACGCCCATAAGAAGCCATTGATGTGTGGCCTTGGGGTGCCTGTTGGCTGCAGGATGAAGCATGCCAAGGGAATGTTTAAGCGATGTGGCCTTGGGGCAGCGCTTTTGCCTGCGCAACAAGTGCAACACCACACGCAGGTAGACCACCCCCGACAAGCTCCGCAACCATTGCCCAAATATGGGCGCCCATATGGGTACAGGACATGCCTGCTAAGTGCTGTCCAGCACCTTGCACATTTAAAGCCCGTGCAGAAGGCCTTGGGCAGTTAAAGCCGGCGCAGGCGGCCTCGTGCGTTTGGTGCCCGCGCGGAAGGCAAAGGACGGACCCCGCCGTCTTCATCGCTGTCGATGACTGGAACCTTTACTACGGGAATGCGGGAACGGCTGCTTTGGCCTTGAAATACAAAACCTTCCGCAGGAAAACTTATTTGCCCAAAGCATGTAATTTTCATGCCCAAATGCCTGGAAGTCTTAACTGCAGGATGAAGCATGCCAGGAGAATGTTTACGCGATGTGGCCTTGGGGTAGCGCTGTTGGCTGCGAGGTGGGTTTGACCTTGTGAAGCTAAGAAGGAGAAGTTCCACACCTGCGGTGGTCCCAGGCGCCGCCCCTGCCTTGGCCAAGGCCGGGGTCGGCGGATATATGGGATAATCCTTCCCATTGACTAATATTTTTCAAGATGGTAAAAAACACCACCAACCAGCCATTAAACAAATCTAAACATGGTGATTCTGGTTCCACCAGAAAGGTCAAAGAATAGGGAGGTGACCATGGTGACCGTTCCGCACGGAGAGGCGTCTCAGCACGGCTCTTGCGGAACCCAGTTTGACGGTGACGCCCTTGGCCAGGCGGGGAGTTGCGCATTGCTGGACCTATCTGGTGGATTTAATGGGTTCTAAAATGTTCTAAATGTTCTAAGAATTGGATTTTATCTGGCAATCAAACGTGGCAATTGACAATCCTATCTAAATTCTAAATGGTGCTTTAATGGACAAACACATGGAGCTAAGTTAGTGATGTTCCATTGCTGTCTGTGATTTCCAGAGGGTCAGAGGGTAGTTGATTTTATTGCATTAAATGATAGATTGATGGGAATGACCATTGAAACATGACTGCGACTTCAATGGGACACTCATGAATATATGGCTATTTATCGGTTTGAAACCACTGGTTTTATTTCTTATGTTCCATCCAATATCAATGACTGCTTGGCGGACACGGAAGACAGGCTGTACAAAGACGGTGGCACGGAAAGTTGTCTTTAAGGATATCTTTTGGATGCTCAATTGCCAGGAGTTGGCAGTTGTGCCACAGTCAAAAGTTGTATTATATTGTAATTACTGTATATATAAAATATGTATACCAATATTGGGGGATGGTTATAATCCATGAATCAGGGATTCATATAGCCATGGTCGGTTAGTTTGATTTGGATTCCCAGTATGGGATGAATAGTGTGCAGCATCAGCCTGGTTGCCCAGTTTTGTGTGAAAAACCCATAAATAACCATAAAACAAATCACCATAAAATACCATAGTTGATTAATACCATAGTTAGACCTTTATTGTTGCTTAAACACTAAACCTTTATTAATACCCCATAAATATCCATTTATTGATTTTGGCAACAGCCACCGCTGGCCAGTTGTCTCGTGACTCTTGGAGGTTCTACCTGATCAGTGATGTTCTCCACAACGCTGGCTGTGACAAACCAGGCGTGACCCAAACGACGACCGATGGGACTCATGGGATAATAGAGTACAATGTATATATATATATATCACCAGCACTATGATAATCTCACCCATTGTATTGGTGTGTATATATATATATTACATTATTGTATATATATACACACTACATTATATACATATATATATATCTAATGTATATACATTATATTACATATATATGTTACATTTAGATGTTTATGATTTCAAGACTAAACCACCAATTTTGGGGGGCTGGAGATTCTTGAGCCATACCCATTGCAGTTGGGGGGTTGAACCATCCAATGAACGGGTACATTTTGACCCACACTGGACCTGTGGCATAACATTTCACATGCAGGTACCCACAATGATTTCTCAGGGGCCTACAATTCATGGTCATATTTTGCAAGTGTCAAAAAATGGGGTACCTATGATTGATCAAGATGTCAAGATGTTGTTCCTCCTAAATTCCGAGAAGGACCAATCAAGTGCTTGGGCCATGCGGCCCCTTCCGCGTTTTCTGGGCACATCTTCAGATAGTAGGCCTTCCTGTCGCACTGGATGACTGGTTCCACTAGAATCCCCCAGTTCTGTGCCATTCTTCATGCATTGGTTGAATCACCACCATGGGAAAGCATATTATTTTGCTAGAAACCCTATTCGAAATCCATGTATCCCACTACTTCAAGTCACTACGAGATCAAACATGGTTGGATCAATCCCATCATTGACGGTGCTAGCGTTTACTAATAACAATTGACATACTTTCATTGATTTCTGCTAAATCCCCAGTGGTTCATGGTTCGGGATAACTTGTAACGGTTGTAACGACCTCCCTGCGACCGAAAAAAACTCTGAGCCATCCCAAAAATGATGATCATTCCAGCAGATGGATTCGATTCTCTACACCAGCAGAAGGGTTTCATAAATTGAGGTACCCCCATAGCTGGATGGTTTCTTTCATGGAAAATCCATCTATAAATGGATGATGACTGGGGGGTACCTTCATTTTAGGAAACCTCCAATTGACAATTTTTGGAGACAGTGGATGGTGCCAGGAGCCAGGCACTTCCGCGACTGCTTGCAGGACGGCATGGCTGACGTAGGCAGTTTTCCCCAACAGATAGCAAAAAATTTGGATTGAAGTAACCGGGTTAACTAGAATGTATTTATTATCCCATAGGATCCATGTATGGTATATATATATATATATATGCTAACATTTGGGGTATACTGATGGTAAATGTTACCATATATGGCAAACATGGATCCTATGGGTATATACATATTATTATGACCATCTGTCAACCCAGCCCTTTGAGTAGGAGTAGGGAATCACTGATCTGATTAGGATTTATGCTGGATATATCCCTCCAATTGGATAGGTTTTCTTGTAAAACCAAAGAAATACCAGAAGGGCCGATATGAAAACACAATGATTTGCAAATCCTGACGGCCATGGAATGGAGTTTGCTGCTGAAATCTTGACTTTTACGGATGAAGTTTAATTTGTGTCGCTTGCCTGCCCATTTCTGGTGATCAAGGTCACCTTCCTGGTCATTTCCTTGTTTAATGGCATGGGTGGAGCCTGAAGAGCATATGACCTCGCCAGACTGTCATGGAGTGGCTGCTGAAGTTCCCGCACATCAAAGAGATTCACGTGGCTGGGTTCCCCTGTGTTGATCTGAGCTCCGCCAAAGCCAACAGATTGAACCTTGCAGGCCGAGAGTCGGGACTTTTTACGGAGGTCCTCCGCATCTTGGAGCTGCTGCGCAGCGTGTTTTTGGACAGCGGTTTTGTATCCGCTTCTTCGTGGAGACTGTTCGTTGCTTAGATCCTCATTTCCGATGGCTTATATCGCAGTTTTAGAGCTTCAACCCCTTCGGTTTTTCTCAATCAATAGGCTTCATGTGGCTTCATCTCCCATCATTTCTTCCTCCTTCCAATCAATTGATCACTTCAATCAGTGAATTCAATCACTTTCCCCCTAGTCATAAATTGATTTATAAACCCCATTAACTATAGTTATAAGTACCATAAACCACAGTTATTGGAGTTATAAACCAACTTAACTATCTAGGGGGCACCACATCCCTACCTTTTCCGTGGCGAAATCGCCCGCAGGACCTGCTGCCGGAGGCGCTGGGCCGCTGCTACCTGCGGCGCCTGGAGCTGCCGCAGCGGAAGAATGCCGAAGCGCGGCTGCTGGAGGCGGGAGATATTGAGAATCTGTGGATATAATATGGCCCATAGGATCCATGGTGCTAACATTGGGGGTATATTGATGGTAAATGTTACCATATATAGCATACATGGATCCTATGGGTGGGATTATTGAGGGATCTATTATGATTATTATGATTATTGAGAATCTATAGTATCTGAATTATGATCTGAATCTATTATGATTATTACAAAGCTGGTTGGTGGTTTGGAACATGACTTTTATGACTTTCCATATATTGGGACAAATAATCACCATTTGACTAATATTTTTCAGAGGGGTAGGTATACCACCAACCAGTATAATCACTAAATATATATATATACACATTTTTTGAATTATCCATATATATATATATATATATACATATGTAATAATCCAGTATATATATATTTGCTACAAATAGTAATTGATATACTCTATAGTATATAACTATATAATTAATGGATATTACTGGATATTGAGTAAGTGGATATTAGTAATACTTGCTGTTATTGTGGATATTTGTTATAGTTGTTATATTAATGGATATATTAGTGGATATAATATAACTCATAATTAGTATTATTATTATGTAGGATGAATTAGTGAGTGGATAACTAGTAATAATGACTGTTATTAGTTCATATATTATTATCAATGATACTTGGTATTGTAGTTGACATATAGCAATGTGTAACAATATAACAAATAAATGATTAGTTGACAATGATATAATATATTAATAATATTGATACTTAGTGGGTAGCAATATATAAATGTATAAGTATACTGGTGTATCAACGGATTTGTTAATACATATTTTTGTAGATTTATCAAAGCAGGATATATTATCCATGTATATATATATGCATATATTTACAAATATAATTTGTTGTTACAGTAGTAGATAATTGGTAATGTAGTATAAACTAGTGGATACTTTGTAATGTAAATGTAATAACTATCCACTATCATTGTTCGCTAATTGGATATTACTAATTTATAATACATAGTTGTTATATTAGTGGATAATTATAGTGATATTCATTGTTGTTGAGAATGGATATTTATGCTATTAGCAAAGATAACTAATATGTAACTAATTATCATCGGATATAACATCCGAGTATAATTAATTAGTTACTTATAAGCAATAATATATACTTAATCATGTGCTATAGTTTGTTATGCTTAGTATTGTTAATGGTTAGTGTGTTGTTTTAATAGCAACCTTTCATTGATAGTAAAAATGCTAATCACATGATTTAACCTCGGCCTGCTCACACATCCGAGCGAAAAAATGTGGCTCTATATCTCGCATGGCGATTGGTGCCTCCCACAACAATCGTACCACAAGCAAGGGACCAAAAGTGAGTGAAAGGCCATTCCAAAAAGGAAAAGCCTTGACCTACACAATGGGTCAACGTATCGTCGTCGCCACGTCCGAGTCTTGAGGTTCCTCCTCGTCCTTGCGCGCAAAAAAATTGTATACACTGTGATACTGGGCTAGTCTATTCTAGTGACTTTTGTTTCTGAAGTCAGCTCAACGGAGCATTGTGTCAGTCACAGTCAGTCTTGAAAGTTCAGTTTGAGTTGGTGGATATTAGGATAATGAGGATGTTGGATATCAATCATGACTAATCCTGCAAACCCAGCAATAGTTAAGATAGTTAAATTAGAGTCATTATATATATATATACTATTTATGGGGCCATTGAAATAAACTATAGTTACAATAGTTAGTCATCATATGTATATTTAGACGTCAGTTGCAATCGATGAATACCATATGATCTGCCTACAACTGCCACTACCTTTCAGCAACACTATCAAGTATCATAGTTTTAGGTAACCAATCCTTATAATAGCAGCAGCATAGGCTTATAATTATATACTAATAATTGCAGTTTAAACAACTTGTAGTAGCGCTTTCAGTAACGATGAAATAAGAACATACAACTGATATGATAGCAGCAGTTTAACTATTTCATACAACAATCGGATGTAGTGGCAGCATGTGTCAGTCATCATTAACTAGTGTGTTCACCAGCAGCTTTAGTGAATGGTGAGGCATGCAGATTTATGTTAATGATGATAACTAATCAGTAGTGATCATTCATGATGACTATTGACCATTGATGAATAATGATAAACAATGATAAGTAGTGACAAATTATGATTACCAGGTAAGTCCAAGGTTAAAGTGGAGTTCCGAACGGTTTGTTTCATATTAAGGGGGAAGTAGACATGTTCGATTACCACCATGGGAGTCCCCCGAAAAAATGAAGATATGGTTTTTATCCATCAAACAGGTCTAACATGGCTTCGCCATCTTGAAAGAGGTGGGGATATGGCAAATTTCAGTTGAAATATCCCTGGTGTGTGGGATCCAATCTATTTAACTACCGTATTATTATTTTTCACCTGCAGTCACCTTCCCTCGGTCATATCAATCATATCCCCAAAGAACCCAGTTCCTGAACCCATCTAATACTCAACCATTTGTTGTGACATTTTAGTAATGGGGGTACCCCCAAATCAGCTATTTTAATCTATTTTAATTTATTTTATGTGATAGGATTTTCCACGAAAAAAAACAATCCTCATGTCGGGACTGGGTTAATGACGTTAGCCCACTGACAATGATAACGACACTAGCAATGACGATAATCAATCACAACGATGATACGTACCGTACGTATGTACATACATGCATACATACAAACCCATGTTTTGCTTATTGCACCCATCACTAAAGAAATGCATAGGCCGCATTAATCACATGTTTCCGCTAATCAAACATTATTTCTACATGGCAGCCTGGAACATCTCCCATTTAAAGATGATTTTCCCCGTTGAGTGGGCGTTCTTATCTATCTATTTAGTTCGAACTTGTATGGTCATTCATGATGAACCTATGTTCAAATCTTATTATGGGTAAAACAATGCCATAAACCATCCCCCCAGTCATCACAATTTTTATGGATGGTATAAACCATTCTCAGTCATGGGTGGTTCATGACATTGTTTTACCCACAAATTCCCATTATATTGATTATATTCCCATTATATTCCCATTATATTACCCCTATATATCCCTTTTTGTAGCAGGAGACGTCTCTCAACGGATCGGTCCACGAACGGATCGGTGCAGGTGTTGCATTGCTGGGTTTCCTGGAACATTTTCCCAAGCCTCTACACCAAGGTTTGGGCTGCGGCGGTCCCCCAAATGATGTCCTTTTCGTGTTACCCTCTGGTTATGACATTCACAGTTTGCCATGGAAAGATCCACCATGCTATCAAGTTCGGTAAACCATCTATTTCGATTAGGGCCATCGAAAAACCATGGCTATGTTTAATAACCAGAGGGTAAATGATGAGTAGGTTTCCCCATTTAAAGATATGTAAAGATCGTAAAGATCCATTTAAGGATATGTAGAGATATTCTTAGGATGGCAAACTAGAAAAAATGTATGACTAAAGACATAAACAAAAACCTTGAACCAGTCAATCAATTCTTAGGATGAAACCCATTTTAGGATGGTAAGACATCTAGAAGATTCAAAATTCAATCAATTTTCAAGTTATATTGAAACCCCAATTTAGATCGTTATCATGCGTTGATTCATAACCCACCCTACTTGAGTGACAGATTCAGGGTGAGGACCATAGTTTTGCGTATATTGTTGTAAACCACATTGCCTATATGGGGAACCCACCTTGCAGAGAGTTTTGTTTGGTTTTGAACTTGGGTTCCGTAGGTCATAAAAACAAGGTCTTGGGGAAAGTACGGGCAGACACCATGTAATTCTTGCCCGAAAGACTATCAAACACTCTATAAAGTAGGTCATTCTGGCAATCCTGAAAAACTCAGGTATAGGGGGCCTTAACTTGTCATTGCACAAGTCATCCTGAACCTGAACCTGAACCAAGGTAACAACAACCCTGTTACCCCCCAAACAATTGGCAAATCAAGGGAAAACCTTAACCGAAACACATAAATCCTAAAACCATCCTGGATGTGCGAAGAAGTATATCCTACATAAACCCTACTGAAAAAACGGTAATTGAAAATACCTGACATATTTTTTTGCGTATCGATAGTTTCCCAATTGAGAAGGGGAGATTGTTTGTGGCCATGTCGTATTACCAATGGGTGTTTCCTTTTTTGGATGATACTCTCTAGAGTGTTGGAATGCTACACGACACCAGGGGGTAGTCTTGCTAGGTTTAATCCAACCGTTTGTAGATGTATGGCGTTTGTGCAGCATGTGCGAATTGTTGACTGCAAAATAAGTTCGATTTTTGGGTATACAAAAAAGTGTCATTTTAGCCATGATGAAGCACCAATGGTGGGGACTGGCCGCGAAAAAATCATCATCATTGAGGTCACTGGGACTTGTCATGTTGGACAGCTGTTAACCTCAAGCTGACTGGTTGGATACGCGCGACATTCACGGACAAGTGAGGTCTGGTGTCATTAGCTTTCCATGAAGATCAACAATGATTTGGAGAGATGGCTTGGGTGAGCCCGTCACGCGGTCAACATAGCAACATAGCTAATTACTGCAAATTCAACTCAGTTACATAGTGTTGCAAGCCAACTCGGATGCTAGTCCGTGGGGGGCCCACATCCAAGATATCAATGAAAAAAATTGGTATGGGTCGGGTGATTGGGCACACCCAAACTGGGGTGCTGAATAATAACTCCTGAATAAGGTGATCAGCATTTGTTGAACAATGGGTCTTAAAGTTTAGAACACATGTTTTTGGTTGAATGATTACATGATTATATGTCATTATCTCCCTATAGGCCTTTCATTTCCCATGCCCAGCTTCAAGCTTGGCACTTCGCCCCAGCCATGGCAACCTTCATTGCCTGTTTGGGGCAAGCTCTGTCGCCCGATGGATCTGTCGCTGAGTTGCAAAGTCGACTGGTCGCGGTCGGATCTGTCGATAAAAGTCGGTTGGTTGAAGGGGAATATTTTTCAAAGGAAAGCCATGGAATCATCATGCTTTACATTACATTTACCATCTGGTTATTTAACATAGCCATGGAAAATCCCTTATAAATGGAGGTATTAATGGGAAAATCATCTATAAATGGGCCATTTCCAATGGCTATGTTAAATAACCAGAGGGTACATACAAAAAATGGGGTTCTCAATATATAATTGTTCTCTTTATCCAACTCGAGGACAGTAGAAAATAAAACCACGTTTATCTCCATTAGAATCGATGCGTTTTGGCCTACATTTTTTTAATCATCAACTCGGGCCCGCATTCTTTAAAATATATGTTTCAGTGGGTCAAATGGCTGAAATCCAGCTTCATCCATCCTACATTTTTGTGGCTTTACTTCCGCAGCCTCTGAAGTACTTGGGCGATGTTTTGGAGGGTGAACGCCACGCGTTCGGGGGGATTTGGACCATTGGCAGAATCAAACATGGCAGTGGCAGTCCGGAGATTTCCAAATGTGCCATGGCGATTCCCGGAGGGTAATTAAGCACATTATCCCAAGTTTTTCCCCATTTTCAACATATTAAAACTATTCCCCATGATCTCCCCATGATCTCATGAAATCCCACAATTTTTTCAGCGCCAGCGGCCCCAGGTCCCGGTGACCCTGGCGAACCGCGCCGCCGTGGCGGCGGAGCTGCACCACCGCACCGGCGCACGCATCATTTTGAGCGGCGCCGATGTGAGTCGCGTGGGAAGCTCCGAGGCGCAGGTGCCAAGGGAGGCTGAGAAATACCCTCTGGTTATGTCAAAATGGGGGAGGTTATATCTATAGTTAATGGGGATTATAAACCAACTTATAACTGGGGGGGCACCACCTTGTAGCTATTGAAAATGGCCATTTATGGCTCAGAGGGTATGGTATCTTAATACACAAAAAAAGTCACTGATTGGTGGTTTCAAACATGAATTTTATGTTCCATAATAATTGGGATGTCATCCTTCGAAGGATGACGAACTCATATTTTTCAGAGGGGTAGGTCACCCACCAACCCGATATGTATCATAATATATATATATATAGTTATATATAGTTATATATATATATATATGTATATGCATATATATATATATTTATAGCTGATTATCATTGATGGATATAACATCCCATATAATTATAATAGTTTTATGGTGACTAATGTGGCCAAACACAATGTCATACACCACCCGTGACTGGGAATGGTACCTATAAAAATGGTGAACTTGAGAAAATGGTTTATTATATTGTTTTGACTTTTATTATTTCAACCATTTTATTGAATTAGTGTTGTTTGACCTTTCTTATTGTTTTACCCACATTAGTCACCATTATTCACCATTAATCATACATTAATCATCCATTAATCACCAATTGTTAACCACTATTCACCATTATCCATTGATAATCCATTGGTTAACCTCAATTGGTTTAATCATCCATTAATCATCCATTAATCATACATGATCCATTGATAATCCATACATTAATCATACATTAATCATCCATTGTTTCACCCACATCAAAAAAAACATTTCTGTCACGCTTCAACTAGCCCTCGCCTCTTTCAGGTCATGAAGGCGATCCTGACCTCTGCGCCGCACTCCGTCGATGCCCGCGCGCTGCTCTTGGATGAGTTGGCCTGCAACACCATCGACGCTTAACGGCGAAGCCGTAAAAAGAACGCGGAACCGGGGTTGGGGAAAGGAGTCTTGAGGAAAAACCGAAAAAGGGTTTTTGCATGTTTCTTTTTTTTCTAAATAGGTTTATATCATGGTTTATCACTTTTTGAGGTTATCAATTCATGTGTTGCATTGCAACAAATCAATTTTATTCAAGAAGTGTGTATTGTAAGCCAAGCAGTCAATAACGGGTGATATTATATTAGGTTCGTCATCGATTTGTTTTTTTTAGATGGAGGGATGGTTCCATGAAACTAGATCATTCGATCATCGAATTGGGAAAATCCAAGACATTTAAAGCTAGGCTTGGAGTTGAACATGGACCCAATTGACTGGTGTATAACCAACAAAAACAACCAGAAAAGTTGGATTGGTGTTTTCAAGTCTTTGTGATTCTAAGGGTGCAACCCAAAAACATCTCCCAAAACAGGATGATGATCACAATTCCTCCAAGCAGAGACTATGAATGTGTTGAAACGACCAACCAGCAACTCAGCGTGCGCTTCTTGGGACCCAGCTTCATTTATCCTTCAGAACTGTTCTGGGTTCGGGGCTGTCGGATAGCACTTTCGTTGAGAGCCATATGTTGTATCAGAGAGTCAATGGTGGTCAGGGCAACTGATTTTATTGATTTAAACAGACCCGGAAAAATGAGCGTATTTTCATGATCGTTGAACACATCTTTATCACATAATATCTCATTGTTATTGGGTGAACTAATTATAATTTACCCTCTGGTAAACGTTTACATAACTATGGAACATCACCATTCTTAATGGGTAAATCAACTATTTCTATAGCCATGTTCAATAGCTACAAGGTGGTGCCCCCCCAGTTATAAGTTGGTTTATAATCCCCATTAACTATAGATATAACCTCCCTTCATCAACCCTAGTGAAATTGGACGTATGTTCACCAACTTAGCGATTCCGATCTGGGGCACCACCATCCATGATAACTCCGAGGAAAACGTGCGAAACACTTTGGCCATTATCAGAAGAGAAGCGCCCAGTGTGGTAGCTCGGTTGCAACAACAATCGAATGTACTTGAGGAGATCGAATTTGATGCCCCCATCTACTGTTGAAAAGTGGTATATTAGTAGGTATGTATATACGTATATATATAGTAGTCATTGAATAGCATAATAGGTTAAAAATGGTTAAAACATAGGTACAACATATGGACGAGGCTACAATCATGGCAGACATCACTAGCCAACCATCAAAAACCATTGAAGCAGATTGTCTGTAGGACCGACCTTGTCAAGCCAACAGAAACGAAGTGATCTTTGTTTATCTAACGTAGCCGTTTCGATGTGGTGCATGGTTTGCACTTATGTAGATATTGCTATTTGTTGGTTCAGTGGTTGATTTTTTTTGAGGTTGTAATTTGGGGAAGCCCAACAATTAATATAGTACATCTTCACTTTTGGAGGGTTTCTGCAACCCACTGGAAAGATGAGTCAGTGGGATTCCATTGTTAACCACAAGAATTCATAATTCTGAGTTGTTGGAGGGTACTCCTATATTATTCATATTATTCTGATATTTTTTTTTGATGTGATATCATTCTGCTAGAATTTCATCATAAGAAAAGGAACATTCATCGAGGTTGACCCATTTGATTCAGAATCGAATAAAGTTGGTGGTTTCCCCAACATCAACATTTTTTTTGGGCAGAATCAGAATATGCAGATTACATCAGATTGAGCTTACCACATTACCCTCTGGTAATTGAACGTAGCCATGGACAAGAATCATGTTTAATAGGTTTGTTTCATCATAAATCATCTTGGAAATGGGCCATATTCCATAAAACTATGTGAAAAAACCAGAAGGTCCATGTAGTAAGTATACACATAATTATACCCCTTTTTTTACTACTTCTTGGAGTTATGCTCGCCAACTCAGCTATCTTTTTTCAGCACCTTTGGGTGAAACAACAGTGAGGCTGCTGGAGATATCAAGATGTATCTGGTCACCTCCGACTTCCACTGTCCTCGTTCGGAGTTTATCTTCAGGACCGGTTATTACTGGGTCCCCACAAAAGGTCAACGATAGTTGGGGGATGTAACGTGGGGAATTCATCCTCACAAACGGATGTGAATCAGGGTAGGAGCTTGCTACCCCCCAGTTATCAGTTGCTTTGTAAACACATCTATATGACAAAATAGATGTTTCCAGCTTTTGACGTGGCCATCGTTCTTCCAGACCAACTTCATCCCACCTTGTAACCAGGACTGTCTTCGAATCCGAGGGTGCTGGTGAGGTGGAAATTGAAAGCTGTCCAGCCTTCAGTGCCTTAAAGGATGACATCTCAGATGATCCGAAGAAAGACACTCAGATGACATCGTTCGTTCGTTACTACCGGGCGCTGTGAATGGCGATTGTTGTTTATGAAGGTTTGTGAAGTACCATAAAGATGTTGAACAAGTAAACATCTTAGCAACATACATTGATAATAACTAATGGTATGTTAATAATAAACTATAATGAACTATTTTTAGTACTATAATAAACTAATATAAACTATTAAACTGTTGCTGGTTTCAAAACATGTTATTTTCTGCAACCCAAAAAGGATGATCCATCCCGACCCGACGACACGCGGAGGGATGGTCAGGATTGGGGTAACTATCCCATTTTGAACGACCTTATTTTGTGTGTGTGTGGGTTTAGATAAACTATCTTAAGCAATAGTTTATGAATAGAATCTGATGGGTTCTTAATATTTCTTAATTATGTTGATAATAGTTTAGATAAACCACACATTTGATGGGTTCTTAATGATTTATGAATAGAATTGAATAGATTGTTCACCACCAGCTATAATTTTCACCTGCAAACATGTTTGGAGCAGCTGCTTTATTCGTCTTTTGGGAGAGACTGTCTTTGTTTTCATGGGGAATATATGACTGGGTTAGTAAGCACCAATCGATCATTGCGGGGTGTGGAAACATGATTTGTTGGAGTTCTTGGACCGGTGCTCTGCAAATGCGGAGCAAATGCGGAGGAAATGCTGACGGATTTCAAATTGCACAAGATCATGAAAGACACTTGCAGCTTTTGGCGTCAGATTTTGTGTTTTTTTTTTGTGATGTGTTTTTTTTTGCTGGCTAGTCTTGTTGATTTGTTGTTATTTTATAGCATATAGAAACACTACGCACGTTGGCGTTGTTTCAATACAACAGGGTTAGACGGACATCGTATAGTGATATTATAATATATATATATATATGAATATAATACATATTGAACATAATCAATCAATCATGACATGTGTTGGCTGCTTCACTTTGTGTTTTTGCATCTGTCAGTTGGGATCACTTGAAAGTGGATATCCTACTTGCAGATATCACTAGCCACTTGCAGCCTTATTGGTACCCTATTGTTCAATCATACAGACCACTCGACTCGACATTTTGGGAATGAAACAACCACAGGTCTAGTTACCACCAGTAGTTATAGCATCACCATAGCCAGAACTCATACCACCATATCTACGATAACCATCATTGGCTAGCCTAGTTGTAATGCGCAGCTTCCCTATGAAGCTGGATCAGGACATCAACGAGTGGGGTATTTTTATGCGCCTTTGTCACGAGAATGCCTTGATGGTCAACAAGATGCAGAGTTGGCTCCGTGAATATGGGGTGGAGAAGCAGAACCCCAAGCATTTCGACAGGGCCTTGAAACAGACGCTTGGAGAATCATGCCGCTGGAGGATGCCATTAGACAGAATTTGGTGTTTCCAATCCTTTTAAGTATTACAATATACTATAACTAATATATATATATATATAATAATGTATATATATAATAATGTATATATATAATTATATATATACACATACATATTTTGTAAAATTCTGGCTTAGGATACTTCATAGCCAGGGTTGATTCAATGATTATTGTTGCATCGGGGATGGGAAGGAATTGAGGCAACATTCGTCAACGCAATTTCTTTTCTACCTGTGAAGGGGTGGAAAGACTCAGTTGCCCCGCAGCAATATTAAACTAATCATTATTCATTAAATATCCAGATCTATTCTGCATTACCCCTTTATTCATCTGGCCATTTTCCATATTGAACCACCCTTTCATGGCCGTGTGATGGTGCAACGAGGCTTGCAGAGCTGGTTGAGCAAGCACGCCGCGGCGACTACGGCAAGACGTGACCCTTTGGTTTGAAAATGCGGACCGACGCCCAACATAGCGGTGCTTTATCCAGTTCCATATGTATGACCAGTTATGATATATCTACCCTTATTGTACGTGTATATATATATAATTATAGTTCTTGTATATAGGTTATGGGCCACCAATCAGGGTTCCTCCCACCTATTGAATAGCTACATGATAGCGACAAGTTTTTGTTTGTCCTGGGGTTTGCTCAAGGTGATTGCGTGTTTTCCCAATTGGTTAATCACCCTTTGGGGAGTCTACTGTTGTTTTTTTTTTTGGGGGGGGGGCCACCGAAAAAGCAAACCAAAGTTACACCTATGGATTTGAGCAACTGCCAACATTTATAGTAATATAAATTCATCTTTGGGATCCCAATTTTCAGGTCCCAAGTGAAATTTAGAAGGTGTAAGTCTTATTTATTGTTATTACTGTTTCTTCCATTATTATCCCAATTTACACTGAGAGACTGAGAGTTAAATTTTGGGGAGGATCTATTTATAAAGCCAATCTATCCCGCTTTGGGATCCTTCCTGGTCTGTTGGCAGCCTTGCGCTGGGGAAGCGGGTAATTCTTGGGATGGGATGGCATGGTAGGGGTCTGAATTTCAGCGGTTTGGAGGCCCTCAACCCATAAATTGGGCACTATACCGTTTCGTTGGCAACATGTTGTTGGACACACAGCCACAGCAATGATGCTGGCGACCATAATGAGCTGTATATGAGTTTAGCATAGTTTAGCATAGTTTAGCTGTCTGCAAAATGGGATGATTGGGTAGGTGGTTTGACAATCGACTTGTGTCGTTTTTTTCCGTTGCCATGAACAACATGCAAAGAATTGCCTGATCCAAGGGCAACAGCACTTTCCAATTTCATGTTTTGTCAGTTCATCCACAGTGGAAAACCCCTCCACAAAGAACTAGAAAACAGTCATTTGATTGCCACTTCTTCAGGCATTCACTGTTCTATTTCTTTTTTGGGGGGGAGTTGCTATACATTTTTTTCTGGTGCGTTTGGTGTCCCCAGGACACCATTGGCTTCTCAGCAAGACTGGGCTGGTCATTGGCGGATGATGAATGCAGGGACTTACCCCTCAATGTATGGAATTGACAGCTTTACATTGTTTGATCCATGCGGCACATGCCGGTAAAGGGTTCATGTTTAGCAATGTTTCTTTATGTTCATGACTATGAAGCATTATGAAGAGTTGGTATTGTTTGGAGGATCAAACATTGGTATATAACCATCAACAAAACATGGTACTCATTTCATACCAACAGTGACCGTATCATCACCCAGTACAATCACTTGCCAATCATGGCCTGCTCCTTTCCACTCCTTCTGACGCGGTTGTTTGGCTTTTCTTTAGGATTTGGCAGCACATAACATGTATACCAAACAAATAAGTCAAACCTATGACAAAACATTCAACAAATTCCTCATGTCAACATCTTCAAGTTAAAACACATCAAATTTCTCCAAAGATAAAAACCATCTCTTCACACCCAAATTTGCTGTGTTTTTTTGGTGAAACATCGCAGTGCCCCCGGCCTCTTCGGCTCATTGCTGTTCTCAATGGCGACCTTCATCGCATGCTTGGGGCAGCAGCTGGCACCCGATGGCTCTGAGACTTGGGCTCAAAAAACACATTTGGGCCAATTGGGGAATATAATTTCTGGATGGCACACCCAAGTTATGGCCATATGGATATACATATATATATATACATAATTATATACCAATATATATATATATGGGATGATGAACTACATTTTTGTTTAGCTTCACTAGTTTGAAACAGCCCAGTCGCCGCCCAGTCATCTTGTTGCTCCAGGCCAAGTGTGGCAAGATCACCGGACTTATGCGTTACTGGTGGTTTCAAGTATGTTTCATTGTCAACATGATTTGAGATGATGATTCCTGCCCTCCGGCGTCATCAAACATTCATCAAACATCCTAAATTTCATGGACATTTCCCTGGAAATCGAGGCTTTACAACAGATTTCTTCATGTGAACATCCTTGAACTCCACGATGTTCCATCACACAAAACGCGTCGCATGCGTAGCGTTTCCAGGTGCCACTGACGCTGGCGAACCGAACGGCACATGCTGCGCAACTCCACAAGTGACTTGACCATGGCAGCGTGCTGTGCGGAAATTCCATCTGGATTGAGATTGACCATGGGGGGTAAGGGAAAAACCCATGAGAAAACATACCATTCTTTTTTTGAGAAACCTTTTTTTGTGATCCAGATTCAGGTCGAAAGCTTCCTCACTTGCTCACGACTCTCAGTTCGGAGTGACAGCCAGAGGATTCATTGTGCTGGTTTTTCGTGATCTTTATTCAACCCCTTTTGCCACCATTTTTTTACAGGCAGCAGGCGGATATTCCGAGATCAAACATGGAATCCCAAGGGATTTTCTACAGTGGAAAGTAATCTGAATCAGGAGCCTTCCATTTTTTAGGTTCCATATTTCAATTCAGAATCAGCCATGAAAGGACGTTAAAGGGTCTGAGAACAAACTTGCTAATTATTTTTTTTTGTTCACAAAAAAAGTGAGGCGAATTTCCCAGATGTTGGGATTCTTCAAGGGACATGTTTCATTATTTTCATTCTTCAAAGATTTAGCCAGATAATCTGCCATCGAGTGCCATAGAGTACTAGCCTCTGCTGAGGACCCTCGGAGCGCCCATCATTTTGAGTGGTGCTGATGTCCCTGGGCCGCTTTTTTGACCTGGCTTCCGATGCCCAAATTTTTACTCTTTGTTCAAGGCCCAAAATTGTAAAATGCTTGTGTTAAAGTCATGATTTAAGAAGATTTCAATGGTTTTCCCACAGGTTTATAAATGTTATAATATGTTATAATGGTTTTCCATTATTTTCCCATTTCTGAATATCTGTCAACACACCATATTCGGACCGAACATGACCCTGAAGGTTGTGGCTTGCCACGCGGTTATGGTCACAGGGCTGACCCACCATGCACGATCTGTTTCACTGTAGAATACCCCTCCTACATGGCCCGTTTTTCGGAGTGGTTCCATGTTGTAATTTGGTCTGGATACTTGACGCAACCTGCATTTTTTTTGATTGCTGACCTTTGGGAAATACGGGAATGGTCCAGACTTCTATTTTGCAACCTGATAGTTTGCTTAAAAAAGTACCTGGTAGATCCTTGGTGTTCATGCGATGATGAATCTACACCGACCACCTGCTTAGAATCAGCTAAATCAGCTTCTTCCGCCAAGAAAAAAACATCCAAAAACATGTCTATCCTTTGGCTATTAGACCTGACTACGGAGAATGAGCCGCAAAGATCATTGGAGGTTTCCATATTGGGCCATAGGATTTTTGAGCCAGTCCTAGGTTTCTTTACCAGAGGCTACTATCAGTTTTCCATCCCTGGCTGGTTGATTTACCATCATGGCCATCATGGTGCAATCCCTGCAATCCCCAAGTTCCAGCTGAATAGCCAGAGACTAACATGATTTTAATATATTTTACCCTCTGTTAAACTAACATAGCTATGGAAAATCACCATTTATAGTGAGTTTTCCCATGACAAATGGTGATTTTCCATAGTTATGTTAGTTTATCAGAGGGTAATTCTAGGAAATGTCATGGGAAATGTCATTTTTCATGACATCTACAGAGTCCTTCCTTCTGCATGGCCATCTACAGAGGTTAGCCGCGTTGGCATCACTGAAGCACAGGTGCGGTCAAAACTCGGCAACGGGGATAGGTCCAAACTGAGCAACACCGGACCGTCATTTTGGTGTCGTTTCATAATACGTAAGCTACGAAAATCCCATGGCTGGTTGGTGGTTTGGAAGATGAATTTTATGACTTTCCATTCAGTTGGGAATGTCATCATCCCAACTGACGAACTCCATCATTTTTCAGAGGGGTAGGTCAACCACCAACCAGATGGTTATGGGGGGTTAACATCCCATGGATATAATACCCCCTGGCCTGCACAGCGATAGCCAGACGATTGTTGGTCATGAGGAATCCCGAAAAAAGGCTTGTCCCTTGGTCATCACTGGATTGATTTTCAAGGGAATCTACCGGAAACTCACTGGGTCTTTTGTTAATCGGGTTTTTTTACCCTCTGGTAAACTAACCCAACTATGGAAAATCACCATTTTTAGTAGGTAAATCCACTATAAATGGCCATGTTCAATAGCTATTTTGACATAACCAGAGGGTACATTAAAAATGGTCCAAGGTTATTCCTGTAGTTTAAATTTTCCCCTTAAACCAATCCCCCGAAAGCAAATTGTCAATGCCTCTGTTGGTTTGTTTCAGGGTATCCGTGAAATTCCGTTGCTCCAGTGAAGTAACACAGATATGGAACATCATGGAACAGTTGTAGACCATTCAAGGTCCAAGGTTTCAAAGACAGTCCCACATCTCTATCATATGAATATATAAATTTACAGTATAATAATATATATATATATGATATAATGTAATATAATATATAATATATATATATATATTTACATACAAAGTAGATATACATAATCATTACAAAGTTTCCTTTCTCAGGGTAGGGCTACTGTAAGGCTTTGTGACCCATCCCTTCTATCGTATCCATCGCCCTTATGAGGCCATGAAAAAAATCCTCTCAGCCGCTCCACACGGCGTGGCGAAGGAAGCTCTGCTGCTGGATGAGTCGGCAAAAAATACCATCGAGCCTTGGAATACCATCAGGAGTTCAAGGTGATTTTATGGTGATTTCATGATTTTATTGCGATTTTATAGTGATTTCATGATTTTTGTTTGTGATTTATTTATGGTGATTTCCTTGTGATTTTATGGTGATTTCATGATTTTATGCTGATTTCCTTGTGATTTTATGTTTTTTTCATGATTTTATGGTGATTTCATTGTGATGTGTTGTTAGTGATTTTATTTTATGATATGTTACAGGGATTGTATGGTGATTTCATGGTGATTTTAGGGTTGCTTAAGTCATGGTATTCAGAATGGAGAATATAGATACTGTATGATAAACATTCATTATAGTGATATTCTCATAATATCATGACCTATACATGGATAATATTGTATTTTACATATGTATGGATATGAATTTACACATATAATATATATATATATTTACATATGGACATATGTTGATATTTATACATCATGATACATATATGTATGAAGTTGTTCATGTGAGGAGTTCTTAAGTCATGGTGGATCCCCAAATCACCATGGTTGTTTCAATGTCAAAGTCACGGTTATCCATAACTTGCATAGACTTGGGGTATTAGACGCCTCCATATACCATCTGGTTATTTAACATAGCCATGGAAAATGGTCCATTTATAGATGATTTTCCCATCAAAACCTCCATTTATAAGGGATTTTCCATGGCTATGTTAAATAACCAGATGGTAATATATTATGGTATATTGTACATATGTATGAAGATGAAACCAATGACGATGAAGCTGGACCTTGGAACATTTTTTCACATATTCCAGCAAGGGATTAGTACTACTAAGGGCAAGCCGGGTTACCCTCAGGACTGATTTGCCAAGTGTTCAAGGTGTACTGGGGAGATACAACAACCACGAACTGGCAATGAGCTGTTAGTGGGGGCTATGATAGTTGATACCCTTTGGTAAACTAACATAACTATGGAAAATCACCATTTTAACAGGTATAATCAGCTATAAATTGCCATTTTCAATAGCTATGTTTGTTTACCAGAGGGTAATAGCAATTCTGACTCTGGAGATGTTATCACTGGCCAGGAAAATGCTCGAAACACCTTGTCCATCATCCGCAAGCACGCGCCTGGGCTGGTTTCTTGGCACCAGAAGGGTCGGCGTTTTCTGTTGTGGTCCAAGCCATAATCATTGCATTCATGGGAATGTGGGAAATCCAATGGTTTATAGTTGTTAATAGTTTGACACCCCCTAGGTCCAAAAAAAAAGCACGCACGGACGGACATTTAAAGTCCATTTATAGTTGGATACGCCACCCCGTACCCCCCGCTACTCTACGGACGGGGTGGAGGTTATAATTGTTAAATGTCCACCCACTGTCCGAAGACTGTCTCCAAACAGTTTGCAGATGTTTGTAATCAACCTACACCTACGGTCCATAGTTCCTTGCAGAAGCTGCTGAAAATAGATGGTAAAACTACAGATAAAATCATGTACCATCACACACCTGAGGTCCATAGTCCATAGTTCCTTGCAGAAACTGCTCGAGAGAGAGGGTAGAACTAAAGATAAAGTCATGTAACCGCCATCACACACCTGAGGTCCATACTTCCCTGCAGAGACTGCTCAAAATAGACGGTAAAACGAGAAGTAAAATCATGTAACCACCACACACCTGAGGTCCATCATCAATTCCAATTGCTTGACATGATTATAATTGTTGGCTTCTACGTGTTGTGTGGCCGATTCATTGAAATCAACCGAAACCTTGACCTGTCCTCCAGGAAAGATGGCTCCCAGGCCCATTCCACCGCCAGCGTACAGCTCAACCACATCAGGTAGTAGGCCTTTTTCAGGAGAGGCCCTTCTCAACCAAGACGTGGTAGTGCAAGTCAGGCAGAGGATGATGGGGGAACATCGTGAACCAACTCACCATGTGAAAGGTCAACACTCTGGCTGGTGATCAGAACGACACCAGTGAACATCTCACCCAGAGGGGGCAAACCAAAGGGAGTAGTGGCCATAGCAGGAGTTGAACGAAAACTCTAGCTTCAGGAGAGGCAGGTTTACCAGCGGCAGGACTAGAGCCCAAACCTGGCAAAGCCAAAGATAAAACCATGTAACCATCACACACACCTGAGGTCCATATTTCCTTGCAGAAACTGCTCAAAATAGATGGTAAAACTACAGATAAAATCATGTTATATGGGTCATGGGTCTCTAAACAACTACCATTTGCATGGGGATGTTTTTGTTTTTTTATGCACCCAGAAGAATGGTGATTGAATGGAAATGGTTTTTCGGATGGGGTTTCCAAATTACTTTACCCGGAATTCGATGGTCTTTTTCAACTGCTACCAAACATCGAAGAAAGCTGGTTGAGTTGAATGGCCAGCAGTTTCATGTTGCCATTGGAACAGGGTATCGTACCAATGAGTCTATCCATGTTTTTTTTTTTGAAGGGACTCCGTGGCAGGATTTTTTCAGCATTCCGCAGGTAGCAAACCCCTGATCCCCTGATATCTGGAGATCTCAAACTTTGAGACGCTGGTCACAAGATATGACCATGAATTTTCACATTTGTCCGGATGATTGTGGTCATAGTATATGTCAAAAACACATTTTCATACCTATTCATACATTTTCATACATTTTTCGCTATGGTTCACTTAATTGAAATACATCACATCAGAATAACATTTGCTATCTGCTGTTTGGTTTCCGCAGGGCTCAGCGGCCCAGTGCTGGGTCGAGGCCACTAAAGACATCAAAATGTACCTGGTGACCTCTGATTTCCATTGTCCACGCTCCGAGTTCATCTTCAGGACGACGGAGTTGGGTTGATCCAATTGATCCGATCCAAGGTCGTGTAGAACCATGGTGCTGGAATGTTCATTCAAGTCGAATAGATTATAGCAATTGAATATAATTGAATTTTCCGAAAACGCATCTCAGTCAGAAAACAAAATCGAGATTAGAACCCAGAATAAGTCTAGTAACTTACCCACGGGGTTTTAATATTTTTTTTAAAATCCCACTTACTAACAGTTGCGACTCATAGGGTGAAACACCGTGGGGAAACCACATCTCGCCAGGAATGTCTTCGAATCCGAGGGTGCCGGTGATCTGATGATTGAAGCCTCTGCCGCCTTCAGTGGTGCCCAGGATGGCATTGGGCATTCATACTATCGGTGGTGTCCGAGTTCGTTAGCAAACTGACGGTTCATAGTTTGCAGCAATTAGGGAACTAGGGATTATTACTAATCAACATGTGACCTTTTGTAACTATAGTTGCATGGGTAACAGATATTTTACCTTTTAAATCGGGGGTACCACCGATGGTACCTGATTTCACCTGGCAAAAACAAAAATCATCACTTTGAGCAGCGGACCTGTGGGGATTTAATGTCGATTCAAACAACAAGACTAGGGATGAACTTGCATTGACACATATATATATATGTATATTATAATATCATATCATATCATATAAAATAAAATTATATTATATACATTTTACTATATTATATTATATTATATTTTATTATATTATATTGTATATTATATTATATTATATATTATTTGTTTGTTCTAAGATATTATACTATATTATATGATATGTTATTTGATTATATTATATCATATTATATTATATTATCTTATATTAAATTATATTCTTATTTTTTTAAATTATTATTATGTTATATTATCTTATATTATATTAAATTATTTTATATTTTGTTGTATTATATTACACATTCTTATTTATATCATATATATATGTCTATAAAATATAATTTAATATAATATAATATAATATGTTAAAATATATTATATATTATATTATATTATATTCTAATATATTGTTTTATATTTTACATTTTAATTTATTATATATATATATTTATTTGATATAATATAATATAATATAATATATGTTATTATTTTTTTTGATTTTATAATATTACGATATTATATTTTATGATATGTTATTTTGTTATCTTATATTATATTTTATTATATATATATTATATACTATACATTTTACTTTATTTTATTATGTTTTTTTTAATATAAACATCAGGGTTGTAGGCCCAAGAAAATGATATTTCGGTGGTAGCAACAAAGCAAACAACAATGACAGGATGACCAAACAGGATCATCACCAATGGAGGTATTCTATGCCATCAAACACGGTGATGTATGGGAACAACTCACAAAACATAAGGCCAAAACTACCAGATGGGGGAGGCACAACCATCAAGTTTCATTCGCCGGTCAGAATGATGTAAAAGTGAGACAATAGTGAGACATTCAGCTGGTGTGGTCAATGTGTGATCATGCCAGTATTTTGCTGGTGATATACACAGCGTGATGGTTGACACACACCCTCCAGTAGTCAAACGTGGCGTGGAAAATCTCTATAAGTTCTAGATTTTTAGCTTGGAAAATCATTTAGACATGGAGTATGCCAGCTGTTTTCAATTGAACACCATGTCTTACTGTCCAGCTGTAGTGGGACTACATCCCTTAACCGGTCAGCCCTAAAATGACCTTATCGGATTGAAGAGCACAATCACCAAATATCGAAAATTATAGAGACATACAGGTCATCAAATAAGGCTTGTTTTCTAGGGATATCATCTAAATAAACCATCAGAATTGCCTTTTTTTTTGGTTGCGTTTTGGGTCAGATTTCATCCGTCGTTTTCTTCCAGGTCTACCTGATGACATCTCCAAGTTTCCAGAGCAAGACACTCGGCTAGTCCGTTGTGCCACTTTCCATACACTGGCGTGTCCGGTGCCAAACAGAAACAAAAACAGTTCTATACATTGGAAATATATGTTGACTAGCGTTTATTTTGAATAGTTGGATAACATGATGAATAACTGATATGATATGATATGATATATGATATGTGATATATGATATGTGATATGTGATATTTGATATGTGATATGATATGATATGATTATGATATGATATGTGTAGATGTTGAACTTGGTGTCGTTCATTACTGTATATACCTGCAGTACCTGCAGCAAATTGGATCTTTCAGGAGTCTAGAGTTGATATAAACAACAGTTTTATATTGTTTTTCTTCTACACATTGGGCATCCAAGGTGAACTTTGGCCCAACATGACCTATGAATCATGTACTGCGGGTTTGTAATAGGCAGCTGGGGCCAAACCTTTGCACCATAAGGCTTGTTCTGCCTTCAAATACGAAGCGATTTTGCTGGTTAGTTGGTGGTTCAAGTCCATTAAAAAAAAACTGAAAAAACTATCAAGTCCTATAACTATCCCAGAAGCAAATCAGTAGAATGCAAGGGATGAGCAGGTGATACTGGATATGTTTTGTATAAGTTTATGAGTGCTTTACTACTCATGAGGCAACCGGAAAGTTTTCACCGTTATGGGTCCACAGGAATCTGTGTCTCCATTGAGCCATCTTTTGGCGTTGGGTAACCCCATGACTGACTATCTGGTTGGTGGTGACTGGAACATTTAGTATGGGGTAATGATGGTTAATCATGGTTAACTGGTTGGTGGTTTGGAACCACGGAATTTTATGACTTTCCATATATTGGGAATGTCATCATCCCAACTGACGAACTCCATCATTTTTCAGAGGGGTTAGCAGCAACCACCAAGCAGCTAGTCATGAACCCCCCCGGAGCCAAGGAGATGTTGACGGGCTTTAACTTCCAGCGCATGAAAGACATCAACGACTGGGGCATCTTTCGTCGCCTCTGTCACGAACACGCCTTGATGACCAACTTGCAGCTCGCTTTTTGGAGTTTTTTTCGGTGGATCCTGGAAGCCCCAACCAGTGGTAGGCTTGGGAAAAGACATCTTGAATGTGAGTTTAACATTAATTTAACATATATATATATACATATTATGTATACATATATATATATACATAACTATATAGTACTTTATTTATTTATTATTTGATACTAACTATATCTATTGAATCCGTATCAAAGAAGGATTTTCCATCATTTGATGAAGCTATCAGAAGGAATTCCCGAAACAACCGGAAATAGTGGTAAGGTTGAGGAATTTTCACAGGGCATGCCGAACCCCCCTGCATTGAACGTGGCATTGGAAAATTGATGACATCCAGCCGAAGTGTGCCACCGTCCTTCCAGTCCTTCCCAAATGCGTCCAAATGTGTTGGGCACGTGAAAACATGATGTCCCAACTTTGGGTTCTGGTCCAAGATATCCCATTATGGTACCCTCTGGTAACTTAACATAGCCATTGAAGCCATGGCCCATAGAAATAGTTGATTTACCGAACTTAAAGATGGTTATTGTCCAGTTCCCTTTTTGTATGTTTACCAGGCCGGGTAAGTTCCACATGAGCCCATTTGAAGCAATCCTTGCGGGGATGTGTGTCGAATCATGACTGGGGAACACGTCCCATGTATCCATTTATAACAGCTTCCACTGGTTGAATTGGTTGAATGCTTGCAAACATCACTGATTTCACTAATTTTGGTCTTTTTGTCGTCGACGATGTGCCAGTTCTCCATCCAGGATGGGATTGGAGCTCCGTGAATATGGTGTGGAACAACAGAATCCTCAGCATTTCGATGCTTGGCGCCGCGAATATGGAAAGGCGGCGGCTTAGCTGGTGAATTCCACGGGTTCGATTGGTAGATATTGGTAGGTTAAGGTGTCAGCGACAATTTCGCTGCAACATGGCAATTTTTTTAAGAGGTTTCCATAAATGGGGGTACCCTCCAATGGATGGGTTATAATGGAAAATCCCAATCTAAAATGGATGATTTGGAGGTACCCACCTTTTAGGGCCTCTTCATATAGCAATACCCCCAAAAAAAATTGGGGGGGAGGGATCTAACCTCAGCTTGGCGATTTTAGGTTGTTGACACGTTCCCACACTGCAAGCATAGGCCCCCAAATGTATGGAAGTTGGGGTGTTTGCCGTGCAGATTCACTGTCCTTTTCGGTTTGTATCCAGACAGAGTTCCCATCTTTATCCCTTGCCCCGTGAATTATGTCCGTAAAACCTTGCGAAACATCAATGAAATTAATGATGTCCTATCAAAGATGGGTAGAAATTCTAATGTTTTGGGTAAAATGACGTTCTTGTGATGTGTGTGGGGCTAAATAAAGGTCGTTGCGTGGTCGTTTTGATCCCAAGGATAATGCGACCAATCAGATCTTGGATCTGATCGAAAAGGCCCGCAGGGGCCAGTTTTCCGATAATTCAATCGTTGTTTGCTGAGCATCTTGTGACACACGTAACTAATGGTCGACTGAAGACACCGGTCATTCGTCTTTATGTTTGTGAATGGGCCAATTTGTAGCCACAAATTTCGATATCATATGAAACTAGGAATTCACTTGAGACAATGTGACCACTATAGACCAATAGTGAGTTGAGTAGTGTTTCTTTCAATCACCCAAGTGTTTGCTGGAGACTGTCGACTGTGATGAGCATTTGATCTCTCAATTTTTAGAGGAATCGCCTCTCGGCAATCCGTGTTTTTCTTATCCATGGTTTTAACCTGGCTCAAAACTCATATATTATCCCAATTTCAGGACGATTGACGATTGATAATATATTTGAATACTAAGGCTGACCAATGTTGTGGTTCCATTGGTACCCCATGTTTGCTCGCAATAGCAATGTACCTCTTTGAAATTGATGAGTATGATTGGCTGGTCAAAAGCCCAGTGCCCTGATGAACATCAAAATAGCTGAAAATTATAGCTGGATATTCATATCCCCAGAGATGCTCGAAGTATTGATGATATTGATGAATCACAGAGTCTTTTGGCAAAGTATGGCAAAGTCACCAGATGTCGCAAGTTGCTTTCTGACAGTGATGCCAACAAAATGCCTTGGCTTTTCACTACGCCTTTCATGCTCCACCTGGACCATGTTCCAGTGAGACCACAAAACAGTTCCCTGCAAAATTGGGGACTGACATAAAAAAACGATACGGTGCAATGGTCAAGACAATACACAACACCTTTACAATCAGTCTCAGTAAGTGGTTTTGCTTGTCAATGACAATGATCAAAATATCTCAACATATATCAAAATAAATCAAAATATATCAAAATGACCTAAAATGGACGAGCTGTGGAGCATAAAACCCTCTATATTAGTGTTGTTTTTTTCTCGCAAGTACAGATGGATATGGCTCAAAACTTGCCCCAACAAGGATCGGTGCATCCCGAGCATCAACCTTAAGCGAACAACTGCTTCAAGGTAAAAACACCTCACGTTGGCCTCAGCAAAGCTCGAAAGCTCCAACTGTTGGTGTATATATATATACATGAGATCTATATGAAAGCTCCAGCTGTTGGTGTTAAAGTCAGTTCTTTGAGCCGTACCCCGATCCTTCTGCATGACTGTAAAGAAGATGTCGTCGTCGAGGCCAGCTCATGAGAAGCTCGCTTACATCGATGAGGATGTCGAACTGATGTTATGAGAAACTAACCTTTTGTTTGGTTGAGTAATTAGGTTATCTTCTTTGGCTATTTGGATATAAATACCAGTATATGTATATATATATATACAGTATATTATATATACACAGTATATTATATATATATAGACAGTATATTATATATATACACAGTATATTATATATATACACAGTATATTATATATATAGACAGTATATTATATATACACAGTATATTATATATATACACAGTATATTATATATATAGACAGTATATTATATATATACACAGTATATTATATATATACACAGTATATATATTATATATATACACAGTATAGATTATATATATACACAGTATATATTATATATATACACAGTATATTATATATATACACAGTATATTATATATACATAATATACACAGTATATTATATATATATATACATGAGAAATAATGCGAATATATAGATGAATATAGACCAAATGTTCTGTCATTACAATTTGGATTACAATGATATTCTTTGTTTTTGCTTTTGCTGATGTTACATGGCAACATACAATGCCAAAGAAAGACTGGCATGTCCGATTTCAGCCTTTCTGAGTTTCTTGTGCCGTCCTGTGGTTGGAATAGAGCAAAAGAAATATGCGTATCCATATATACCACATATAAATTTACAATATATAATATATTAATAATGTATAATGTTTATATATATATAGGTATAGTATATAATAATATACAATATACAATATATATATATTATAAGATATGTAATATATCCTATCAATAGGTCTTCAAAGAGTTTCCGAACCACATGAAGGTTTGTCGCTTTTGGTTTCTCAAGAAAAAACTAGCAACCAAGACTAGTTGGCACCGCATTCTCTCGAGTCAAATAGCAGCTCGCTGAGACTAGCTAGAGCTGCTGGCAAAGTCCCTGAGAGTGCTAGGTGCTAGCTGTGCAACGATCGGTTCCCCAGCATGGGCCAACGAACTGGCGCTGGAGGCCGCATGGAGGTAGCACATTTAGGCCCGGAACCATGAAGCTGCGCAAAGTATGGTGGGCCAGCTGCCGAAAAAGTGCCGCATAAAGAGGTCCAAGGAAGTGGAACTACAAAGTTTCACTTCAGAAGTGGTTTATGTGAAGGAGAAAGTGTATAATATGTCTATATAATTCTATATATATATCACTCAAAAGTTGTCAAACCAAATCAAATCAAGTTTGGGAATTCTTTGATCACACATTCGATTTATTTTGTCCTGGATCTCTTCTCAACAGCTAGACCTTGAAAACTTCAAGGGGCTGTGAATTCACAAGGTCTTCCGTACAGATCTTCTCCGCGATTGGCAGCGGGCACCAACTCTCCCTGTACAGCATGAGTCAAAAGAAGTGAACGGATCTTTCCGCCCTTTTTTTCGCCACCACATTTGGGTATTCGGTAATACGGTATACTGCTTGAACTTTTCGGAGTTCAGTCTTGAACTTGGAAATTGAATTTCGTCAGAATGATTAAGTTTTGAAGGGTATACTGGTATACTCCTTGGAAGTTATACTACAGGGAACCAGCAACAGATCATCTAAGCGGCAACTTCTGGATTCCACGCCACCTTTTGGAAGGTGAGCTTAGGACACTTGAGAGATCTGATTCTTACATGAGGTACCCATGGACCATGGACCCATATGTTTTTTGGGGGTGATAGTGAACCATCCATCTGGTCTTCAAGCTAGGAGCTTCTGATTCAAATTGTGGTCCCCTGCATGGTCTTTGAAGTTTGAAGAGTATCCTTGTAGCCTACCCAAATTCTAAACATGACCTTTTGACAACTTCAGTTGGATGCTCCAAGAAGTCAACGGATTTCAGAGAAAAGCATAGAAAAGCTACAATTCTCTTCCCCCAAACCATTCGAAAAGGAAGGACACCATGGTTTTTTCCAACTTAAATATATACAAATACAACCAAACACATAGAAATACCATGGAAATACCATGGCTTGAATGATGGTTTTCCCACCAACTAGCGTTACATCCAATGATACCAGGGCCGCCTTGATGTATCGCAGGGGTTAGAGGCGCTGCTTCTGTCGCCAGTGTTGTCCTTGGATGCTGAGAGTGAAACTTGGCTGTGGGTTGGTATCAAAACTCACAGTTTTTCTGTGATTTTGTGGTGACCTAACTAAGAAATAGATAGAAACAGTGGATATGACTGGGGGATACTGGGGGAATGTACTTTTGGATGTGTCTGAAAAAACCCGGGACACATTGTGACCTAGAGAAACAAGCAATAAGGGCTTCTTGAGACAAGCTGCAACAACTTCTGGTCTCAAACACTTCAGGATTCGCAGTCCAGGGATGGCTCCTGCTCGGGAAAGTTATGGGTGCCCCTCCCATCAACCGCCCGAGGAAACAGATCTGCTGCTGAAGCAGAAGTTACAGAGATGGTTCTCAGGCCGGGCTGTTTTTGGAACATTTCCCAGGGGTCAATGGGGGAACTGGGCAATACCATGTCCTTTGTTTCCCTTCCAAGAAAACCATGATTGATACTGCTCGTTATTCACTTCACAACTTGTATTTGAAGCATTCATTATTGCAGCTTCTTGGGGGTGGCAACATTTCAGGTACCAGGGTGAAGTTGCCCTGGTACTCCTCACCCATGTGATCCCGTGTGTTGTTTCTTGTTGTTGTTGTTCTTCCAGAACATTGCTCATACCCGTTCTTCTTGACTGAAATCTTGGAAATTCCAGTGGTATCTCCAATGGTTGTTTCAATTTATGTTTCAAGAAGAGAATGCGTCCGTGTTTTTGGATGGTGTTTATAGTGGACTCATACTCAATGAATGGTTCATACCAATGAATTGTTCATAGCAACGGGAAGCCTAGCAAAACAACGGCTAAGTATGGCCAAACCGCTAAACCAATGAGGTTTTGCAGTATACATCAATAGTATTCATACAGATTGATCCTCTATTTTGCCACTATTCATGAGGGATTCTAACATTTGAAATTCATCATGGTGCTAGAATCATTACTTATATCAATGTTAATGATGGTGCATAACTCTTCCATACGTCCGTTCCCGAAGTATATAAGCCATTTCACAGCCGGCGGGTTCAAAGGACTGAACATATGCAAGTCTAACCCGATCAAAACCATCAAAAATACCTTCCAGCCTCGTTTCTGTTGGGCTTCGTTTCTGAAATGGACTAATTAATATGAATTAACATGATTTAACATGACTTAACATGACTTAACATGAATTAACATGAATAAACATGAATTACCATGAATTACCATGAATTAACATGAATTAACATGAATTAATATGAGTTATAATGAATTATCATGAATTAACATGAATTAACATGAATTAACATGCATTAACATGAATTAACATGAATTAATGATAATTAATGATAACTAACATGAATTAACATGCATTAACATGCATTAACCTGAATCAACATGAATTAATGATAATTAACATGAATTAACATGCATTAACATGCATAAACATGAATTAACATGAATTGACATGCATTAACATGCATAAACATGAATTAACATGAATTAACGATAATTAACATGCATTAACTTGCATTAACATGCATTAACATGCATTAACATGCATTAACATGAATTAACATGAATTAATGATAATTAACATGAATTAACATGCATTAACATGCATTAACATGCATAAACATGAATTAACATGAATTAACGATAATTAACATGCATTAACTTGCATTAACATGCATTAACATGCATAAACATGAATTAACATTAATTAACATGCATTAACATGCATTAACTTGCATTAACATGCATTAACATGCATTAACATGCATTAACATGAATTAACATGAATTAATGATAATTAACATGAATTAACATGCATTAACATGCATTAACATGCATAAACATGAATTAACATGAATTAACGATAATTAACATGCATTAACTTGCATTAACATGCATTAACATGCATAAACATGAATTAACATGAATTAACATGCATTAACATGCATAAACATGAATGAACATGAATTAACGATAATTAACATGCATTAACTTGCATTAACATGCATTAACATGCATTAACATGCATTAACATGAATTAACATGAATTAATGATAATTAACATGAATTAACATGCATTAACATGCATTAACATGCATAAACATGAATTAACATGAATTAACGATAATTAACATGCATTAACTTGCATTAACATGCATTAACATGCATTAACATGAATTACTCCCCTTCCTTTTACCGTAGCGCAAAAAAAAATATATATTCCACGTTAACTAAAGTGACAATTCGGAGGTTTACTTCCATGTTAGTTGCAATGGGGGGGGGTAAACTGCAAATTTGTGTTCTTTGGATTTGAGCCCTTTTTTTTTTGGCTAGTTCTTTTTGCCGCGAGTTCCCCGGGAATCCTGGGCATTTGTTGATTAACGTAGAAATTTTGAATTTTTCAAGATAAAGCTGGGAATGCCTCCATTTTTTAACAACCAACGATTGGAACGGATAATTTACATAGAAATTTGCTACTTGAAGTAGGATGTGGGCAGTGCCATGTTAGCGAGCGCTCGGTCCTTTAGCCATTTATTTGGGAGCTCAAATTCGTTGCGTGCCTTTGATTGTTCTACGCCATGGATCCTGGAGGGGGGACTTCAGCGTCTACGGCCAAGGACTTTCGTTGACGTGGATTTTTTTGACTTCATGGCATGGAGAAAAGTTTCTATGTTGGGGGGAAAGGATCTTTACAATTCATTTTTGTTAACATGGACTTTTTCTGTTCGGTTTTTGGTTACCTGCCTTGCTGCAGGAACCTTCTTCTGAGCAGTCTTTGGCCACTGCCCAGGACCGGGGTCGGATCGTGAAATTTTTTCCGCATACATAATTACAATGCTTACGCCGGGTAACTTTAACGTAGCACAAAAAACTTAAAACAAAAAATGCGGCACATATTAAACTGAAATAAACAACCTTTGTCTCAGGTGTCATGGGAAAAACAAATCTATTTTGTTTTTTGTTTTCTCATTTTTTTCACGCGTTCCCTGGGGATAAGATGCACGATTTTTCTTTATTAAACTCTTAATGTAAAATGCTCGATTTGTGAACTTTTGGTGCTGAATCCAGACTTGGACCCTTTGGTGATTGCTTTTAGGATATGGGCGACCAGCAGTTCAAGAGATGAAACACCAAACATGGAACGGAGTGCCATGTTAAAAAATCATGCTATTCATGGTAAAACCTTTGGTTTGGTACTAGGGTTCCCCATACTTCTCGGGAGGATTTCACATCCCAAAAAAAATGAAAAGACATGAGTCCCAAACCAGGTTTTTCATATGATTTTTTTTAAATTAAACTCTTAATGTAAAATGCTCGATTTGTGAACTTTTGGTGCTGAATCCAGACTTGGACCCTTTGGTGATTGCTTTTAGGATATGGGTGACCAGCATTTCAACAGATGAATCACCAAACATGGAAGGGAGTGCCATGTTAAAAAATCATGCTATTCATGGTAAAACCTTTGGTTTGGTACTAGGGTTCCCCATACTTCTCAGGAGGATTTCATTTCCCAAAAAGAATGAAAAGACATGAATCCCAAACCAGGTTTTTCATATGATGTTTTTCTTTATTAAACTCTTAATGTAAAATGCTCGATTTGTGAACTTTTGGTGCTGAATCCAGACTTGGACCCTTTGGTGATTGCTTTTAGGATATGGGCGACCAGCAGTTCAAGAGATGAAACACCAAACATGGAACGGAGTGCCATGTTAAAAAATCCTGCTATTCATGGTAAAACCTTTGGTTTGGTACTAGGGTTTCCCATACTTCTCAGGAGGATTTCATTTCCCAAAAAGAATGAAAAGACATGAATCCCAAACCAGGTTTTTCATATGATTTTTTTTAAATTAAACTCTTAATGTAAAATGCTCGATTTGTGAACTTTTGGTGCTGAATCCAGACTTGGACCCTTTGGTGATTGCTTTTAAGATATGGGGGATCAGCATGTCAACAGATGAATCCCCAAACATGGAACGGAGTGCCATGTTAAAAAATCATGCTATTCATGGTAAAACCTTTGGTTTGGTACTAGGGTTCCCCATACTTCTCAGGAGGATTTCATTTCCCAAAAAAAATGAAAAGACATGAATCCCAAACCAGGTTTTTCATATGATGTTTTTCTTTATTAAACTCTCTATGTAAAATGCTCGATTTGTGAACTTTTGGTGCTGAATCCAGACTTGGACCCTTTGGTGATTGCTTTTAAGATATATACGGGTTACCAGCATTTCAACAGATGAATCACCAAACATGGAACGGAGTGCCATGTTTAAAAAATATGCTATTCATGGTAAACGTTTAGCCCGCGTATATAAATATATTTTCATGCATCATATGATCATTTGGCTTTTTTTTTCAAATGTTGGCTTCACACTACGGTAGCGCTGGAGAAGTGCCGCCAGGCCGCAACTGATCGGACCCCAACGGCTCCGCAAGAGGACGGACGAACAAAGGATAGGTTCTAGGCCTTTGAAGATGTTGATGGTTTACTTCCATGATAATAGAATTTGCCCCCGTGAAGAATTGAACACAATGAAATATACAATGTCGAGAATAAAGATGAATAAGTTAAAGATGCTATGTATATATATATACGTGATGCTATGATATGCCATGCATGTAATAATGCTGCACATGGTGGGGTGCCCTCCAGGAAGTGCCATCGAACGAGGAACAAACGCAGAAGGACCCGGTTCCGAGGAACGAAATAAACAAACAACAGGACCATTGGACCCGACGTATAAACATGCATACACTGACATCAAAAAATTGGATCTTTGGACCCAACTCATAAACATGGAAGGCGCAGAAATCAAAACCAGTTTTTAGTTTCGCGTTATTTTTTCTCAGGGTTGAGTTCAGCGGAAGCTTCTCCAGGGTGACCCACCATTGCAACTAACATGGAAGTAAAGTGAAGTAAACCTCCGAATTGTCACTTTAGTTAACGTTGATTTTTCCGCACCTGCCAGGTGAGGGTTGTTAGATTTTATACATAGTTCTTCGCGTCCTCCTCGCCCTCCTTTTCCTCCTCCTTCTCCTCCTCGCCAGCTCCTGATCGCAGTGGGCACTCTATTATATGTCATGAGAGAACCATACTGGAAGCTGTTTAGGCGGAAATGAGATGAACCATGCTGGTATCTGTTTCACCAAACACACTGTAAACTACGCAAAAAGTTGTAGAAGCCTTGCTGCAATGTGTATTGGCATATTTCAGATATATTATACTGTAAAAAATTGCAGAAATGTCACGGTGGGGTTCACTCGAAGTAATGTAATTTTCTTTTTTTGCTCTACGGTAAAATAAAGGGTAATTTTTCATTCGGCGTGATCCTTGCCGCCGTCAAGGATGCGGCACCAGTTGATGAGTTGGACTTGCCAGCCAAGGACAGGTTCCCGCTTAGTCATATCCAAAGTGGAATAGAGCTTCCATGTTAATATTATGATCATTGGACATCCGACCAAACAGTTGTGAGAGTTATTTGTAGTTGAGTTGAAACCAAGCATGTGTAAAGCAACATGGAAGCCACAGTAACAAAAAGCATTTTATATTTTCATGTGTTTATTCGCATGAAGCCTTACGTGGATGGCGCCCTCAAGGATGTGGAGAAAGACCCGCCGCTGCTGCTATCAGTCCAAGGAGAAGCAAAGGACCGGGTTGGAAGCAGTTGCGTCCAGCATACCCAACCCATGAACATGGAAGTCAAAGTAATCATTTTTTGAATGTATTTTCATTCTGCGTGATGCTTCCCGCCGACAAGGATGCCGCACGAGTTGATGAATTGGACTTGCCAGCCAAGGACAGGTCCCCGCTGAGTCATACCCAAAGTGGATTAGGGCTTCCATGATAATACCGTTGGACATCCACTCGAACAGTTGTGAGAGTCATATCTTTATAGTTAGGTTGAGACTAAATATGTGTAAAGCAACATGGAAGCCACAGTAACCAAAAGCATTTTGTATTTGCATGTGTTTATTCGCATGAAGCTTTACGTGGATGGCGCCCTCAAGGATGTGCTGGAGAAAGATCCGCGGCTGCTGCTATCAGCCCAAGGAGAAGCAAAGGACCGGGTTCAAAGCTTTTGCATATCGCACTGCATACAGTGACATCATAACATTGGATCGTTGAACCCAACCCATGAACATAGAAGTCAAAGAAATCATTGTTGAAGGTATTTTCATTCTGCATGGCGCTTCCCGCCGACAAGGATGCCGCACGAGTTGATGCGTTGGACTTGCCAGCCAAGGACAGGTTCCCGCTTAGTCATATCCAAAGTGGAATAGAGCTTCCATGTTAATATCATGATAATTGGACATCCGACTGAACAGTTGTGAGAGTTATTTGTAGTTGAGTTGAAACCAAGCATGTGTAAAGCAACATGGAAGCCACAGTAACAAAAAGCATTTTATATTTTCATGTGTTTATTCGCATGAAGCCTTACGTGGATGGCGCCCTCAAGGATGTGGAGAAAGACCCGCCGCTGCTGCTATCAGTCCAAGGAGAAGCAAAGGACCGGGTTGGAAGCAGTTGCGTCCAGCATACCCAACCCATGAACATGGAAGTCAAAGTAATCATTTTTTGAATGTATTTTCATTCTGCGCGATGCTTCCCGCCGACAAGGATGCCGCACGAGTTGATGAATTGGACTTGCCAGCCAAGGACAGGTCCCCGCTGAGTCATACCCAAAGTGGATTAGGGCTTCCATGATAATACCGTTGGACATCCACTCGAACAGTTGTGAGAGTCATATCTTTATAGTTAGGTTGAGACTAAATATGTGTAAAGCAACATGGAAGCCACAGTAACCAAAAGCATTTTGTATTTGCATGTGTTTATTCGCATGAAGCTTTACGTGGATGGCGCCCTCAAGGATGTGCTGGAGAAAGATCCGCCGCTGCTGCTATCAGCCCAACTTTGGTGCCAAGTTCATGTTATAACTGGTTATAACTAAAGTTATACAAGAAGTTATGAAAAGTTATGAAGTGAAGAAAATATCAACAATTTTAGCACATTTTTATAACTTAGAAAAATTGAAAAAAACACTTGTTTTTAGTGTATCGAAAACAATAGTTTTTCTAATTATAGCGGTTGAGCCGCTTCGAAGTTGTTTTTTTAGAAAAAATCGCGGTTTTCATCGCTTCCATGGCTGAGGGAATGTGCAACTGGTTTTTAAACAGAACAGGCCACTGTGGGAGCGCGCCTTTTTAGGTGCTTTATGCACCTGCAATGGGTTAGTTTGCTCTTTGCAATCTCACCTTTGCAGTTTCTTTTCTTTTTACAAAGACAAAAAAACAAAACAAAAAACAAAAAAACAAGAAACAAAAAAAAACAACAACAAACTGCATCTGACCCCCTCCCCTTGGGGTGTGCAATCTTGTTTTTTTTTTTTGTTGTTTTTTTTGGTTTTTTGGTGTTTTGCTTTCTTGGTTCGTTGTTATTTTGAGGGACTGGCAAAAAAAGTGGCAGGATCTAACTCTTTGCCACTTTTCCCCCCTTAGGCATTGCAAATTTGTTTGTGGTTGTTTCTGCTTGCTTTAGGTCTCTGGTTCCATTAGAAACCATGTAAAAACCAAGGAAAAACAGGTATCCTTGGGGGAAGGTTAGGGGCTTGGGGCATGGATTAAGCAATTTTGTTTTTGACTTATTTTTGAAAACATGCCAGAAGACTATGAAAAAACAAAGGCAGCCAATGAGTACTTTTTTTGATATTGACATTGCTGACTATAAACCCCAGTTTCCCCTAGTACATCCCAATATATCCCACCCATATGGGAATGTCTCAAAATGAGGCGAGCCCTTTTTTTTAAGTAGCGTTTTGGGGGTCAAAAAAGGCGCGCCTCATTTTGAGACGTCCCCATATACCACAGAGGTCTTTACAGGCTTGGGTGAGGGACTGAGGGATTGAATTAGATTAGATTGGATTAGATTAGATTAGATAGATTGGATTGGCTTGGCTTGCTTTGGATTGGATTGGATTGGGTGAGGGACTGGATTGGATTAGATTAGATTAGATAGATTGGATTGGCTTGGATTGGATTGGATTGGGTTGGGTTGGTTTGGACTGGATTGGATTAGATTAGATTAGATTAGATAGATTGGACTTGACTGGATTGGATTAGATTAGATTAGATAGATTGGATTTGAGTGGGTTGGATTAGATTGGGTTGGGTTGGATTAGATTAGATTAGATTAGGTTAGATTGGATTGGATTTGGTTTTGTTGGATTGGAATTAGACTGGATTGGATTGGATTGGATTGGATTGGAGATTAGATTAGATTAGATTAGATTGGATTAGATTAGCTTAGATTAGTTTAGATTAGGTTGGATTGGATTGGATTGATTGGATTTGATTGGATTGGATGGGGTTGTTGGATTGGATTGGATTGGATTGATTGGATTGGATTGGATTGGATTGGATCAGATTAGATTAGAGAGATTGGATTGGATTGGATTAGGGAGTGTACCAGTATACCACCAGTGTGCCACCAGTATACCACCAGTATACCACCAGTATACCACCAGTATACCACCAGTATACCACCAGTATACCGACCAGTATACCATGGTATACGGTATACCATGGTATACCATAGTATACGGTCAGTATACCATGGTATACGGTCAGTATACCATGGTATACCGTAGTATCCCCAAGTAAACCCCAGTTTCCCCTAGTATATCTCAATATATCCCACCCATATACCACAGAGGCCTTTACAGCACTTCAATAAGATTGGATTGGGATGGAATTAGATTAGATTAGATTAGATTGGGTTGGATTGGATTGGATTGAAATTACATTAGATAAGGTTAGATTAGAGTAGGTTAGATTGGATTGGATTGGGTTGGATTGGAATTAGATTAGATTAGATTAGATAGATTGGATTGGATTGGAATGGATTGGGATGGGTTGGGTTGGATTGGACTGGATTGGATTGGATTAAAATTAGATTAGATTAGGTTAGATTGGATTGGATTGGGTTGGATTGGAACTAGATTAGATTAGATTACATTAGATTGGATTGGATTGGCTTGGATTGGATTAGATTGGATTAGATTAGATTAGATAGATTGGATTTGATTGGATTGGATTGAATTGGATAGGATTGGATTGGATTAGATTTGATTTGGCTAGGTTAGATAGATTGGATTGGATTGGATATGATTGGATTGGATTGGACTGGATTGGATTGGATTTGTTTGGGTTTGATTGGATTGGATTGGATTATATAGATGAGATATCTCTGGATTGGATTGGATTGAATTGGATTAGATTAGAGTAGATTAGATACATATATCAATGAACAGTAATCCAGGTTTCCACGGATGCTGCTTTTTCAAAGGAAGATTGTGTTGCCATAAAGGACAATGCTCTGTTGTAAGGAGCGAAAAAACATTCTGAAAAAATCTCACATTTCAAAACATATTGCACTTTTGAAAGGGATGCTCTATGTCAAAAATACAGCATATTGTGCAGCAATATTGGCTTTTCTAAAAGGGATACTGCTCCTTTGAAAGGAAGGTTAGACATGTGGAAATAACAAGATTTCCTTTGAAACGGGCCCCCAAGGTGTAAGAGGTCCTGGCCAAGAATGTTCCTTATGCGCGCGAAGCCCCCAAGATTAATTTCGACCGAGTTTTTCATACAAAGGCAAAAACTCGGTCGAAATTAATCTCGGAGGCTTCTAGGCCAGGACCCCTTTCACCTTGAGGACCCCTTTCAAAGGAAATTTTGTTAAATGCACACTGTACTCCTCCAAAGGGCATGGTGTATCTTTTAAAGGAACATTTGATATTTCATAGGGATATTGTTCTGCAAAAACACACTGCGTTGCTCCAAAGGAAGATTGCACTTATGAAGAAGGGTATGCTGCATTTCTGTTTTGAATACTGCATGCATTTGTTGGCAGGTATGGGTATGTTGATGTATATTGTAATTACGTTGAAGACATCTAGGATATCCTGCAAAAATTGAGTTTTGTCAAAGGGACTCTGCAGCATTTAGCCAAGGTAAAGTGAACACCTGGACACTTCTTCAAGCAATACATCCTCTCTAGTGGACATGAACACATCTTCATTCACAGTTTGGGTTTTAACACGTGATTAATTATAGTGTTTGACATGCTGAAAACGGCTGTTCCAACAAAAATAGTTTTTAGAGGTTTGAAAACCGCTCCATTTGGCATTTTTTTGAGCAGTTGAAAACGCTTCAAACAGCAAACACTCAAAATCATCAAAAAGATCAAAATTTGATCACTTTTAAAGACACTTTTTTTATAGCAAAAAAAAAGCTACAAAAAGTTAGCTAAGAAGTTATGACTTAGTAACTGGGATATAACCCTAGGTTATAACCCACTTATAAGTCCGAGCTGGCACCAAAGAAGGAGAAGCAAAGGACCGGGTTCAAAGCTTTTGCATATCGCACTGCATACACTGACATCATAACATTGGATCGTTGAACCCAACCCATGAACATAGAAGTCAAAGAAATCATTGTTGAAGGTATTTTCATTCTGCATGGCGCTTCCCGCCGACAAGGATGCCGCACGAGTTGATGCGTTGGACTTGCCAGCCAAGGACAGGTTCCCGCTTAGTCATATCCAAAGTGGAATAGAGCTTCCATGTTAATATCATGATAATTGGACATCCGACTGGACAGTCGTGAGAGTTATTTGTAGTTGAGTTGAAACCAAGCATGTGTAAAGCAACATGGAAGCCACAGTGACCGTAACCAAAAGAATTTTAAATCTTCATGTGTTTATTCCCACGAAGCCTTACGTGGATCGTGCCCTCAAGGATGTGCTGGAGAAAGACCCGTTGCTGCTGCTATCAGCCCAAGGAGAAGCAAAGGACCGGGTTCAAAGCTTATGCATATACTGTACAGCATACACTGACATCATAACATTGGATCGTTGGACCCAACCCATGAACATGGAAGTCAAAGAAATCGTTTCTGAAAGGTATTTTCATTCTGCATGATCTGCATGATGCTTGCCGCCGTCAAGGATGCCGCACGAGTTGATGAGTTGGACTTGCCAGCCAAGGACAGGTTCCCGCTTAGTCATATCCAAAGTGCATTATAGCTTCCATGATAATATCATGGGACATCATCCCGAACAGTTATGAGAGTTATATCTTTGTAGTTGAGTTGAAACCAAGCATGTGTAAAGTAACAAGAAAATGAAAATCCTACTGAATGTGATTCGTCTTTATCGGGCGACTCTTGGTTTCAAAATTTTGGGTTTCAATTGAAATTCAACTCTTGTGTCGAACCACCGTTCTCGAAGGAAAGCCTTTCATCCTTGGGGAGAAGTGCAATGGACGACCTTGTTCAATCCATGGTCGAATCTGGGAAACCGTTTCCATCTCCAGAGCCGGAATTGGTCGACCAGATGCAAGCCAATGAAGAAGCAATTCTTCAAGACTACCAGGCAGGCATTGCCAAGTTAAGGGAAACAATTTCAGAAAAAAAACAATTCTCCACGCCGGCATTTGTTACATAGCTGCTCTCTACTTGACGTTTTTTTTTGAAGACACATTAACATGGAAGTGGGCCCATTGGTTTGTAACAGGGTTTCAACACATTTCAAATGGGCGTTCTTTCCCTGTACACAGCGCCCTCGAGGAACGGCCGGTGGACAAACTGGTGGAGAAATTGGAGCAGCCTGTTCTTGGCATCACGGACGCTTACCTGATATATGATAGATTATACAGATTTATATATATATATATGTATGAAGGTAAGTATTTACGATATACAGTAAATAAAATATAAGTGGAAGCAATACAGGGTACCAGTGTTATCTTATATGGCCAGCCAGTGGCATCTATGCAATTGTGGCGCCCCCCATGATATCACCACCATTCTATGTAGACTGGAGTTCATAACCAACAGTGGCATTTTGCAAAAAATCGATTGGGATTTGAGTGTTTCTTGAATGTGTGCGTGTGCTTCCATGTCAACGCTTTCTGCATTCCCGAGGAAAAGGAACCATCGACCCGGCACATTGGGAAGTCACCTCCAAAGCTAGCAAGGATCCCCAAGAGTTCTGGAATCCAGTATTTGGAAAACGGGACGCCCTACATATACCTGTGGCCTAGCAGCCGGCCCCCGCCAAACATGGCAAACACGCCCCGGCAATCAGTAGAAGATGCAGCACGATGGATTGAAAAGGCTGGGAATAAATAACTTTTCAACAATGGTTTGTAGAGCATGTAAGCCAATATCAAATTATACCGGTTTAAATCAATTCAGTGTCATTAACATGGAAGTAACTGTTGGGACCAAATTCCGTCCTTTTTGGAACACCCCAAAATCCAAAGCGTTCATTGAGCTGCGCCCTGGAGGCTCCAAAGATTGCCATGGAGTATGCGAAAACACTGCCAGGGTCTCCGGTTCTCCTCTCTGAGAGAACGATCCGTACGTCGTCCAGTTTCAGCGGGTTCCCCGGTTTAATCATGGAAGTGTAAAGTTGTTTAACAACAAATCTTGTGTCCAACCCAAACGTGCTTGTTTGTTAGTTTTTTTGATTTGCCGCGTGCCCTCAAAGGCTTGATGCCAGTGGGAGGGCGCTCAAGATTTTGGAAGCTTCCGGCGCCATTCCTTTGAAGTTCAATGTGGACCTGTGGCCTGAAGTGAAAACACCAAGTTGGGGAGAGTTGGGGAAGTGAAGTAAAACAAGCGAAACAATATGTCACAACATACTTAGCCCTCCTGTATACGTATACATGGCAGTAGGATCTCAGTTCCGCCCAGGAATCGGTCTGTGACGTGGACAGGGACGTGCAACAGGGAATGCTGTTGGACCGCCACTTCTTGGGCTCATGCGTTTTTACCAATGCCCCTTGGCTTTTGAGTTGTCTGTATACAGGTTTGCTGCAGGTTCACTGAAATTGTGTCAGGGCAGTTGCCATTTACATGGAAGTAGGGGATTCAGTCAGAGATCAGAACACATGTTTCTGAACAAGTCGTGTTCTTGCACTACCATCCAACCCCTATACAGATTCGACCACTTCAATTCCGGTCAGGCATTGAACCTGATAGACCCGGTGACGCGGGAAAAACTCGTTGAAGCGCCAGATTCTGACAGAATCATGGAGATTTTGCGGGGGGGCTCCGTGATTTGGAATGAAAGGTCTCCATGTCTTCGGCACCCCGAGAACACAGCAGGATGTCGGCATCCGGTCGCCGTGGACCTGGATACTTGCCCAAAAAGAAAAATCATAATATTGTTGGTGAATGCTATGTTAATAAACTTGTGTGACGAAGACCCCACCATGAAAAGCATAAATGAAAATTGCAATCCCAATTATTCACCACTGAGGAACTTGCAGGGGTGATCTGCAAGGATGACAGCCTAATGGGCTCCAATTTACGAGAGCATGGTCGGGGCAGGGCTCCAGCTCTTACCCATTGGAGGCGCGGTTCCCGGTGTGTTGGGCGCAGTACCGACTGCCACGTTAAACATGTGGGAGTTGAGAGCGGAACATATAATAAGTAACATGCCTACCTGTACCATAGTATATATGGAACCTACGTATCGCATACATGTATATTTCAATGCGCTGGATTCTTGGGACACACCTGGCTATTGTTAATCTGGCATACGGTATACATCAACATAGAAGTCACAAAGCGTTTCCGTACCCGGCTCCAGGTATCATCAAGAGCATGGAAGTCGTTTAGCCGTTGCCGAGAACGTTACGACGGGCTCGATTCACAAATTGTGTTCTACCAGCTTCTCCCAGGAGCAATACGATGTCCGCTGCGTTCACACAGCAACTGAGGATAGCGGCCACGGCGCTATCAAGCGATACCGTGGGTGGAAACATGGATGAATTCATTTACGTAGAAGACCAAACGTGTTTCAGTTGTCGTGAAAGCAAATAATAGACAGGATACAACCCTCTTGCACCATACCATGAACGGAAATATGAAATATGTGTCAATGCATGTACGTAGAAGTGCAAACCTGTAATATATTATATAGGTTGTGTGCTGTAACTGCCTTTTGGGATTCTCAAGTATTTGAGTCATTGCCTGGGCTTCTCTGCTCAGGACGCTGGCTTTGAGAAAGGAGGCTGGACGGTGGGTAGGTGACCCGCAGGAAGCCTACTTGCAAATGGCCAATGCTCTCATGCACAAACAAATCCACATCGAAGATCTCTGGTTTCTTGAGGACGAGCAGTTGCTGCTTGATTGAACAGGAATTCACATAATATAGTTTCATCCAGAGTCACCCATGTCTATGTTAACGGCGCTACCCAAACTGGCAAATGAACAGATGGTCAGGCACAAACAAGGCTTGAAACAAAGAATCCAGGATCTGGCAGGAACAAGTCATTTTTTGAAGGATTTACATAAAGGGTTTTAATAAGGGACAAACAAGGCTTGAAACCAAGAATCCCGGCTTTACATGTTCCTGAATTTCAGGCTGAAAGAGGAAAGGCTACGCTTTGTCACCAAGACGAGCGCGTACAGCAACAGCTTTGAGCCCCTTGACAGCAAGTGCTAATTTCTGCTTCACTGTTCTCTCCTAACTACAGTAGCTATTGGCAACCATTTGTCCTTACCGTGACTTCTTTGTTAACCAAACACCTGGGCACGGTATGGCCAAATGCCAGGGATATGCTTACTCCTTTCGAGCGCGCCAACCTCACTGCAGCTTGGAAGAAGCTGGATGAGGCTTTGGGAAGGGGGCCATGCAGTCCACACAAAGCTTTTCACTAGCACACTGTCATTAACATAGAAGTAGCTGATGGTTTGCTCATATATCGTCATCCTAGTCTGTATAGATCAGACAGTAGCGGTTCAGAATGGGGCAGCCTACGGAATGACAAGCATTGCAGGATCATCGTCTCAAAGACCATCGGGAGATCCACGTAGCCGTGCCACAGCAGTCGGGGAAATACACAAAGACGGTGAGCGCAAACAGGAGACTCTGAAAAGCCCTCTCCATGTTTATCGTTCTGAGGAATCCGGCTTGGTTTTTAAGTGTTGCCTAGTGGGTACGGAAGACGTAGAAATTACTGTTCTTGTTCTAGATGTTGAAGAATTGAATTATATGTTTACTTGTGAGTATGCGATCCCCGCTGGAGGACACTGCCAACGATGACCACCGTAGACCAGCTGTATTCCAGGCATCGCAAAAGATGGCTTACTGCCATCGAAAAGCTGGCAGCACTTGGATTTCCCACGACTGATGGCATAGCAGCCATTCTGAAGCAAGAACCTCGAAGTCAATTGCTTGTGTTTTTTTTTGCTTTGTTTTGGATCCATGGCTGCTTCCAAGTTAACCAATTGTATTTCCTATTTCTATTGAACATGGATACTGTGTCCTTTTTCATTATCTTTTGACAATGCCTAGAGGACAAGATGCCAGTGTCAGCCTGGCGAAACATCACCAAGAGAATTGGCGACACCCAACATTTGCCGAATGCTGTTTCCTGGCTTGAGTGGTATGCTGGATGTAGTAGAAAAGCAGGAAATATAATAGACCAACCACAGGTGTTTGGCTTATATGAACTTAGTTCCAATATGTCTTAGTTACTGCTATGTTAGCCAGTTTTTCGGATGAGTGGCTACAACTAAATCATCCCTACATGGGTCGGCACAGACGAGCTGTTCTTTACCAGGAAGTAGAAATTGAAAATAATTCAAGCCCTTTGCCTTTGAGGCGATGGTGATTCTAGCTGCCCTGGCGTGCGCTGAGTTCTACCCCGACGAGAAGATTCCACCCAGGCTCACAACTCGGTTCACCACGGTGCCCACGCCGGCGGACGGGAGATGCTTCTGGTCAGCACTGTGGCTGGCCAATGTTGCCACAAAACGGCAGCTCTTCTCATGGTACCACAGGCGCAGGTTGGCAACACATGTTGCTGCTGAGAAGGACGCCGCGCAGTTTGAGAAAGAGCAAGTCTTGGACTGGGGTCTACGATTGACAGACATGCCAAAAGAGACCCACAACCGGCTCATGTGTGGACAGTGTGCAGAACACCCAGACATGGAAGCTTAGACAGCATCTCACTTAATCCATCCCACACTTCCATGTTAACGATGTTTGATTTTTTATATTCACGGGGCACAATCCAAAACATACAGATTCACGGCATCTTATCCATTGCTTTCCCATGACCTGTTAACAGTGGAAAGTAGAAGATGTCTTGGTTTGGACGCTTTATCATGGAAGTGGACAAGCAACATTTTCCAATCAGAACATATCGCTAACCCTCTCAGGAATGGGTCGCCGCCAAGCTGAACATTTGCCTTGTGATTGTCTCTGGTATGTTGAGACCGGGTCTGCTTGCCCAGATGGCGTACAACACCAGCGCTCCTGAAACTGTGTGGCTTCACCACTGCTTTTCTACAGATGGTTCTGGGAAGAGATCGTCCCATTTTACTTTCCTCAGCCAGGCGCAAGAGTTTCAAATAAACTTGCATTGACACACCGACCAAGTAAACATGTTAAACACCTTGTGTTTCCGTCTTGCCTTCATTTCATTCCGCCCCTGAGGACATTGAGATGCTCAACGAAGATGAACCGCCGCCGCAAACACCAGAGCCACAGCCGAAAACCCCACCACCGGAGACCGCAGAGGCTCCAGAAACAATTTTTGTTCTGCATTCCATGCTAACCACATACCAAGAGCATAGCTTTGAACCCCTGCTTTTCATTAATGCCATCGTATGTGGTATGACAGGGCTTATCAAGCCATGGACAATGTCATTTATGCAATTTTATGCATAATCCTGCGTTCGAGAGATTTCGAAAGATTTGATAGACTCTCAGGTTAATGCCATGTTCCAACTCTTTCGCCCTGTTCAACTTCCATGACAATGTAAATGTCAACATATCCAGCTGTGACAAGCATACAGTCTTGTCTGAGAAATAGTTAAATCATGTTCAAACGATTGAGACCACGTAAACATGGAAGTGGAAAGCCAAACCGGCCCCTCACAACCGCAGGAAGTTGTTGGTGAAGAGGAGTTCCAGCAGTTCCAAGTTCACTTGGATGAGGACACTTGGGCAGCTTACTCTGCCCTCAAGCATGTGAAGAGGATTGCTGCCGCTGAAGGTGTCCACTACCTTGTGTCCTTTGCAGGCCATCCGGACATCAAAATCCGAGAATCAGCTCCTTTGTCCATTACATAGCTGCACTTAGAAACTATGTTTCTCATTTTTGTTGTCCCATGGTCTGTAGGGCCGTAGTTCTGTAAAGCTACAGCAGGTCTGTTCTGTCATATTCCATATCCACTTCCATGATAAGCGGTGGCGCGTAACATGTGAGATTTAGTAAAACACATGCCCCTGATTAGAATCAAAGTACTTCAGATATCTTTAGACATCTTTGTCACTATGTTCCCGACGCATGGCGTCCTGTCGAATCAAGGACTTCCACGGCAACGTGAAAACTACTGCGGAGGTGGTCACTTCCTTGGCCCAGCTGCGAGACACGGAGGCTGCCGAGCTCGGAAAGATGAGGGCGCCTGAACTCAAGGCTTTGGGAAAAAGCCGGGGTGTGGCTTTCAAGGGCAACATGAGGAAGGCTTTGCTTACCGACCTGATGGTTTACCACAAATGCTGCTTCTGCTTTGCTTAACATAGAAGCTTGAGGGGTTGCTTTGGTGAAGTCAAACTAGAGGGTGAAATAGAGTAATCATTGAAAACATGTTTGTCTTTACTTGTTGCACCAACTTCCAATTTGGCAAGACCAGGTCTTCGTACCTTCCAAAGTGACTTGGAGCAGTTTGGGGTCTCTACGGCTACTTCCGAGAAAGTTTCCGACGGTGAGAAGGGTTCTCAGGTTTTTGGCCCCCCCGAAGTCAAGAAGGAACTTCCATGTCCAAAACCACCGGGTGCTGTCGATCCCACCAAAGTCAAGAAGGAACTTCCATGTGCAAAACCGCCGGGTGCTTTCGAGCCCACCAAAGTCAAGAAGGAACTTCCATCTCAAAGAAAACCGGGTGCTTTGTGTACCTACAAGAAAACAAAATCTACGGATTCACTACCAATTGAGAAAGTTATGGAAACATTCATGGATGAAATGGGCATGACTGAACCACAAGATGCTTGTGGCCAGCAAAGCTCCGGTGCCCAGTCTTCATCAGCCGGTGGCAGTGCTGGCACATTGGCCGAGCTAGGCCCTGGTGCGCCTAACGTGGAACCTGGTGGAGCGGACATTACTCAGGAGGCCTTCCCGGCAACTCAGGATGTGCCTGATGATCGTGATCCATCCAACAGAGAAAGATTCCTCAATGCTACACTGATTTGTCCTGGAATTGCCCTGAAGAAGATGAAAATGGCCATTGCTGATCATTCTGACAAACTCATTGGTGTCTTGGGGGTCTCCATGCTCAAGAAGTACAGGCGCGAAAGGGCGAATCTTCAGAACATGGTCATTGGAAACCCTTTTGATGATTCTGGCGATTCTAGCTTTTGGACGAAAGTGGCAGAGCACCTCAAAGAGAAACCTGTTGGAGCACTGGTTTTGCCTTCTACGTCTCCATATGAACTTGCCGATGTTCTCTGTCATTCTGGTCAGCTTTGTATTTTTTCCTGTGCCGTTGGATTCCACATTAACCATTCTTGATGGCTTTCCCGTAAAAATACGGTGCAAGAACATATGGCATATTTTTTTGGTTGGCTTATCTACTGCAGGTTTTGGACATGCTGCCGGTCTCCGTCAAGCATTGTGACGACATCTATGTCTTCACAGTTCCCACTCTCGGGCCACTTGGTTCTGATGAAAAGGACTTCAGTTTCGTGAACGTGGAAGTCCATGCCAAGATGGAGTCTGCGGACGACCATCCATGCCCTGAAATCTTTGCAACTGGGGCTCTTGGCCGATTGGTAGGTGGTCTTCTCTATCTTCCAGACGACCGTGCTCGCATGAGTAAAGCTGACATCAAAGTGGCAGCAGAGCACTCTACTGCAGAACGTCTTGAACTCAAGAGGACACGGGGACTAACATAGAAGCGGGGGCGGGACCATTGATTGCAACGCAGCATTTTGGGTCTTTAAGGCTGCCATCTTCGAGGCATATATTAAGCCTATACACCTGTTCAAGACTGCATTTTGGGGCCTGTGTCCATCTCATTCCCCGCATTAGTTGTGGTTAACATGGCAATGGAAGCAAGTCAGAGACATGGAATTAAAAGAGAACATTGGTTTTGAAAGATTTCTCATCTTCACGCTAATTTGGATGGGGGGAGAATGCTAAACATAGAATCTGTATGCTAGTTTTGTAAAGACCATTTCCTGTCGTGCAGGAGACTTGCAGAGGAGAAGGACGCCACTATGAAAGCGAAGAAGGCGAGGCACGAGGAGTCTTTGAAAGCTATGGAGTCCCATGTGCAAGAACTCCAAAAAGACCAGGACGATTTGAAGGGCAGACTCCAAAAATGGCAAATTGTTCTGAGTCGCATTTGTTCCGGGAATGAATTCAACGGCAACAACAAGTCCCCCGAACAGTCTTGGAAAGAATGGTTTGAAGCTGCACTTGGCGAGCCTATCATGGATTGCCCAGCTCCCTTCCTAGAAAGCACATTGTCTTTTGATGATGCAGTGGTCCACCTGTCCACCAACATAGCATTGCAACGCAAAGAACATGAGAAAATGGCTGAAAGACACCAGAACTTGTCAACCCGACTTGGAAAAAGGCAGGATACGTTTCAGAGGAAAAGGCGGAAAGCGACTGCCAAACTTGAGGAAATGATTGAAAGGAAAGAAAACGGTACTGAGGAAGATTTCTTGGAGGAAGCAAAGATCCTCGATCATGGATTCAACTTCTATGTTTATATGTCTGGAACCCCTCTTTCTTTCTGCCTTCGCCAGCCTTCCGTACTCTTTGCCTCAGCTTTATGATTGATAAACTTATAATATATTGTATTTGCCTTTGGCACTTCCATGTTAATCAGATAAATTCAGATCATGCGCATTTCCCAAGGAAAAGACGGCGTCAGCTCTACCATGCCAAGAAAGATGCCCTGAAGTTCAAAAAGCCCATGAGCGCAAAGACCAAGTTGATCAAGAAGAGGTCAACAAAGGATGCTGGAGTCTACACGAAACAGATCAATGCAACCCGGAGAGTGGTCACTATCAAGGACAAGCTGGCTGTCGTTGACTTCTACGAAAAGCTTCAGGCTGAGAAGATGGCTGCCCAGGCAATTCTCCGAGAACCGCGATTGGTGAATGTGACACGCAAAAAGGCCCAAGAACAAAGGAGCAAACGATTGGAAGCGAAGGAGAAGGCAAAAGTCAATGCCGGGATCGATTCCCACATGTGGTGGGGAAAACCCAAGTCTGCAAATGGGTTGCCAGTGCAAAGCGAGAGCATTGGAAGGAGCTGCCGGAGCCCCTGAGAGCTCGGCTGTCAACTACCCCCAATTCTTGGAGAGAGAAGTGGGGAATGACCAAGCGAGGCAAAAAGATTGGTGGTGGAATCCCATTGCAACTGCAGCGTGAACTCGACGACTTGATGGTTGAGGTCAGCGGAGGCTTTTCCAGGGTGACCGATCGCAGAGAGGTTGTGACAACTGAAAGCGTGGTGGCTTGGGCTACGCTTAGTGTGCTGATTCCATGTTAATCTGTTTTTGTGATTTGTTTGTGGTTTTCTTGTTAGCTGGTTCACGCTTTGGTTCACACTGCTTGACGTGGAATCTGGAATGATTTTTGTTTTGACATTTGCGCGATATGGCTTCCATGTTAGACACCTTTGACTCAAACTAAGTTGAAAACCATCAATGGCATGGTGCGCGACTGGAACGAGAACCTGCAAGATGCCATTGACAATGTGGAGAAGTGGAATCAGGAGTTGCTTTCGAAATACCAGGCTGGTGAGATTTCTGCAGAAGGGGTCATGGATGGACTTGACCACAAGCCTCAGCCTTTGCAGACCTGCAGTACCACCTGGGCCCATCACTGGAAGACCAGGTTCGGATGGTCCATGTTAACGAGAGGACAAGACGACTCTCAATGGCTTGCATATGACCACCCTGACATGGTTTCATCAAGAGAGTCCTTGGCTGCCCTGGTGAAGGACGAATCCATCAACACTGGTTTGATCTTAAATTACGACCAACTCTGGAGAACATGTTGGGCTACCACACGCTACAAGCTGGCATACAAGGACCGCCAAAGCGTTGGCAAGATCGGCAGAAAAACCCGGATGGGACCCAGGGAGGACAAAAAGATCACGTCAGTCAAAAATGCCAGAAGAAGCCTGACGGATTCTTGCATGAAATAGTTTTGGTTTACATGGAACCCATCCATTTCACTCAAAAGGTTTCATATCGAAATCCAGTAAGTCTAAAAATAATTGCTTGCATCCTCAATGCATTTGGTATCCGGAACCGTTAAGGTCTTCATTTGAGCTTTTCCAGTTAACATGGAAACTGTCCATCTCCCAGGTATTGACGACAAGCTGGAGCACTGGAACCAGAGGACCATTAGCTTTTTGTTTACCCGAAGGCAGTATGGCGCCGGAGACCATGGCAGAGTTCAACAGAGAGTTTGCCGGGGTCGCAATGGTGACCTCCAGCGGTTCCTCTTCACATTTCATGACGGGGGACACGTTGATTCAGATGATGGAGCAGTTGCTGGGAGCTGCATTCGCCAAACAGAGAGATTTGTTTCCTAGCTTCAATCCAGCATTTGTTGAGGTGAATCTTTTTAGACGTGGTTTTGTATACGTGGAAACCAAGTCATATGTCAAACCAAGTGCCCTTTTGTCAGTGCTTTGTTTCTATGTGTGTGTATGGACTGTACTGTACTATCGACCATAGATTCAAAATTGCCACGAGGCGGCATTAACATGGAAGCAGGGATAGCGTTCATCCCATTGCAGGCTTGGACTTTCCTTGAAAGACAGGGGAGCACTTCTATGCGACGCCTGGTCCGGAAGTTTCAAAAAAACTGAAGGACAAGCGTTGAGACGGTGCCTAGGCCCAGGCTTATTTGTTTATATATTGTTTCCCCACATGAAATTCTTGACATAGGATTGGTGATTCTTAGGGAATTAACATGGAAGCGGACGTCAACATACCCATTTAGGATTTGGTCAAAGGTTCCGGTTCTGAGTCATTGGCTCTTTACAACCGGGCATCGCTGACTAACTTTGTGAGATAGATTTACATGTCTCGTTTTAGATCTTTTGGCATATCTGCATGTAACATGATGGATATGACCTGGATATGTCTATGTCTATATTAGTTTTCACTTGTTTCTATCAGACAAACCTTGTACCATGCAGCGTATGCATGGTTCTGGTGACAGTTTGTTTGCAATCCGAGGCATACGTGGTTCCAATCCATGAACGTTGCTCCACCGCGGCTCCAACCAGGAGGGTGGAGTACGCATGGGCAACCTGTGGATCAAATCCACAGCGTCCTGCGTTCCATCATTGCTCGCAAAGACTTATCCTCCACCGGTCAAGTGCTTGACTTTCGAGACCGAAAACGAAACTCATCCAAATAAAGCCAAGTCTTGTGTATGCTTCCCCCTGTTCATTCCAAGGACGAAGAATTGTTTACTTAGAAGCGGGTGGGCAAAAAGTATACACCACGCAATTTGTACTTGAGATGTCCTTTTCTTCCAGTAGTTGCTTACGCCGTTCCGGGTGACCTGTGTGTTTTAGCTCAATTTTGCGTTTTGTGTATATATGGGGTGGGGGTGGGGTGGGGTGGGGTGTATCAACGTCCTGACGCCCCCGTCCTTGGTACTACGTTGACACGACATGATGAAGTCATGTGCAAGACGCTGTGGATGCTACGTTAATAACATCTTGAAGTAACATATGGGATGTGGTGGGGTGGGGTAAGGGCGTATTCATGTTTCACATGGATACTGTAATTTATAAAAGAGCAAATGTTGAAAGACTTTGGAAAGTTGTTCAAGTGCAAGTGGTGTGCCTGAATGAAAAAGTGTCGCCGCCACCCACAGGCCACCGGGGACGGCGTGACCTAGTTTTCAACAATATCTCTGCTATGGAGAGTGTTTACGTAGAAGTACCAACAATCACTGTTGGGTCCCTTCTCAGGATTCTCTGAACTCGACGTCAAAGCCAGTGGTCAGGCACCTTCCCAAACATATTCATTTTGTTTTTTTTGCAAACCTCTGGTTTTCTTCGGTAGTACATATAATCTGTATATATATATAGATAATTTATAAAAATGATTGGGTTTGCACTCCCTTTTTTTCCTGTATGTGTTTCGCCTTCCATGTTAAATGGTGGGAAATCTCGTCACAAACCAAGGTTGCCATGGAGGCCAAACCTTTTGCTGACATTTTGCGCTTGACGTTGGATGCATGGAATGAAATGCCCACGAAGGTGTTTGAGAGTGCTTGGGTGATCACTGGGTACTTTGAAGCCACTCACTTTGAAACGTACCGGCATCTCACTCCAGCAGAAGGACATCAGGAGGCATACAAGGTGATGGAGCCAGCCCAGGTTCTGACAGGTTGCACTTTCAGACCTACGCCCCAGATGTGCCCTGTGTACCAATGGCAGATCAAGGCCTGGCTTCCATGTTAAGGGTTTTGGATAAAGGATGCCCAATCCTTTGGCTGTGATTTGTCTTGGAGAAAGTCTTCACATTGCAGCTCCATTTTTGGGTTCCATGTTAAGAAGAATCTATCAGACGCATTCCAGGACAAGTCTGGCCAGTTTCAAGCTCTTCCCTACGAACTAGCCCATGGGATTGCAAAGACCGCCACCAAGCATTGCTACGACTATCAGGTTGCACGCAGGGACTACTACGAGAAATTGGAGCAAGACCCAACCTGTTCCAAGGCAAAGACAGTGAAGGCCAAGGAGGACCTTGAAAAACTAAAGGCCGTGGACCTTTACATGGTCTTCAACCGAAGAACCGGCCAAATGGCCACTCGTGAGTGGATGAAAACCTACCTCATTACTGATGAACATGGAATTCCCAAACCCAAAAAGGAGAACTCAACTGCCAAGCCGTGGATTGCTTGTCTTCGTTTTGAGCTTGGTTTGGACCTGCACAAGGTCAGCTTGGCTTTCAAAATCACTGAGGGAGGCGAATTTAGAGAAGTTCGTCTCTTTCACTTCGAGGACGGCATGACCACCACCAAAATCAATGTTTTCACCGATGGGTACAAGCACCTGCTCCATCAAGATGAGCTGGAGGAGGACAGGAACTGTTTCTTAAAACTGAATTGTGTACTGTATGGGAATCACATGCTTTGGACATCTTAACGTGGAATCGAAATCAAACCAAGGGTCGGTAAATACCAGGTATAAAATGAAAGATGCTTTGTGCTCAGGATAATTCCGCCGGCTCCATCGACTTCGAAACGGATGATGACGACAGCATTCCGGGCGATGCCCAGGGTTTGGAAGGCTTGGGGTTGGTCAGTGCTAGACAACACGAATGGGAAAATTAAGAGACTGGTTACTTCTACGTTTAGTGCTCGGATACTGTACAATCCTTATCATTGTGTGGATCGACATGGCCTTGATAGTTTAACGTAGTACACCTTTTGCTTTCAGGTCAGATCAGCCGCTTCGAGAACATGAAGGATCCAGCGCCTGCCCCTGCAGCAGGAAGTGACAAGCCAGTGAAGCCTATTTTACGTGGAAGTGCGGCTGTAGAGTTTGATTCCGATGATGAGATGTTGGCACCTCCCAGCATGTCAGAGTGTGTTTTCCGGGTGTTTCATTCTGACAAGAATGCGCACAGTGAACCGCCGTCAGAGTTCAGGGAACGGGAGGCATATAAGATTCTGGAGGCCGAAGGCTTAACAGATACTCCCCCCTCCGCTGGATGCGGGCTGTTTTACCACAAAAGCACACAGCAGTGGCATGCCCGGTTTGGTTTGCATGGAGAAATTAATTGCGCCCCCTCTTGGAATGCTACGTTAAGATCGGAAAGAAAAGCAGTCCTTTTGTCCCTCCACGCAATGTGGAAGTGGTGGAGCGCGTTGTCGAAGAACAAACCCGATGGAAAGTATGTGGCAGTCTTGGAGAAAGCGCTTCGAGACACTGCCTTCTAGAGTGGGTGTGAAGTCAACTTGAGTTGTCTAGTGGATTAAGCGAATCGCAACTTCCATGTAAAAAATCAATGGTTGGGTGTTCAAAGAAATCTGCTTTCAGGATTTTTACCCCACTTCACTTCAGTTTTGGATCGGTACAGCCTTCCGAAGAAAAGGCACTTCGTAAGAAGTTTGCTGACTTCTACGTTTTCAACTGGTGGGTTTTTTGTTGCCATAGATGGGTGCAAACATGTTCGATATGGAAAAGATTCAGTCTTGTTTTAGAGGCGTCAGCAAACCAACTCGTGCAGCTCTGGCTTGATGGCTTCCATGTTAACTATGTTTACGAATTGAATACTGAACTTTACAAGAGTAACTATTCGAATTGTTTTCCTCCAAACATACTTCTGGTTGTTTAAGAGCTCGGCAAGCCTGTCTCTTTCTCTGTTCTACTTTCATACAGGGATCCTTTTGACGAGGGAATGCAACCTTACAACGTAACACATTGGTTCAGTCTTAGTGTTTCACTGGCTTCCATGTTAACCATCTGCTGGTGCCATTCCCAGGTGCATTCCCAATCGTTACACACGTGGGCAGAAGTTTCACCTCTAGATTGGTGGATGCAACCAAAAAAGAAACAGTGTTGTATTTTGACACTTCCATGATAAGCACCAATTTGGCATCATTGATTTCGAAAGGTTGCATCCTCAATTGCTCGGACATGACAGGGGTGAGAAGATAGATGCAAAGAAGAAAAAAACATGATGTGGCGGTCAGTCTGGGGGTTTTAGGGATCGCCCTAGAAGGATGTATTCAACATGAGGGGAGAACATGTTAACATAGAAGTTGCCAACCTGATGTCTGGACCCTCAAGTTACTTCCACGTAAGGGTTTTTAGTCTCAGTTTTCACACTTCCATGATGAATATGTTACTGACAGATCTGATGAGCTACTTCCATGTAAGAGATTCACGGTCAGTTTTTCTGCATTTGCTGGCCCGGTAGCCCAGTTTCACTTTTTCCCCAGGAATGGGACGTAAACGACTTCCATGTAAACCGACAGGTTTTTCCATCCTGACTTCCACGGTAAAATAAGGGGGTGTAACATGAATTAATGATAATTAACATGAATTAACATGCATTAACATGCATAAACATGAATTAACATGAATTAACGATAATTAACATGCATTAACATGAATTAACATGAATTAATGATAATTAACATGACTTAACATGCATTAACATGAATTAACATGAATTAACATGAGTTAACATGAATTAACATGAATTACCATGAATTAACATGAATTAACATGAATTAACATGAATTAATGATAATTAACATTAATTAACATGCATTAACATGAACTAACATGAACTAACATGAATTAACATGAGTTAACATGAATTAACATGAATTACCATGATTTAACATGCATTAATTGATAAACCCCTGTAATGCATATAATGTAAATCAGGATTCTGGGGCCTGGGTTTTAATTTTTGAGGGTTTCTGGGTGTTAAAATTGGTTTTTGAATGGTGCAGGATACATATCAATTCGGTGTTGGCTCAGCACTATTCGTTAGTCGTGTTTTATCCAATTCTGCTCTGGTTTACATATGCGTGGTTTATTCAAGCTAACCCCGTCCAGGTCCGCCTAAGTCTGCCCAGGTCAATCCCAAGTCCCAGGTTCGCCCAGGTTCGCCCAGGTTCTCCCAGGTTCTCCCAGGTTCTCCCAGGTTGTCCCAGGTTCTCCCAGGTTCTCCCAGGTTCTCCCAGGAAATTAGTGATTTCCTGCGATTTTGTGGGTTTCCGGGATTTCCTGGGAGAACCTGGGTGTTATTTTCTGTGATTTTGTGGGGGTTCCGAGATTTCCTGGGAGAACCTGGGTGTTATTTTCTGTGATTTTGTTGGTTTCCGGGATTTCCTGGGAGAACCTGGGTGTTATTTTCTGCGATTTTGTAGGGTTTCCGGGATTTCCTGGGAGAACCTGGGTGGAAACAGTTGGGGATGGGCCTGGGAGAGCTGCAAGAGTTGGTTCGGGGGTGGCCCGCTATTTGGACCCGCTATTTCTAAATTTCTGCCGCAGGCGTTGCCGCCTCCTTTGGCCTGCAGGTTTGCCACGCTTTAAAGTTTAGTTATAAGCATTACAGGGGTATAGCAATGCATTAACATGAATTAACATGAATTAATGATAATTAACATTAATTAACATGCATTAACATGAACTAACATGAATTAACATGAATTAACATGAATTAACATGAATTAATGATAATTAACATTAATTCATATGCATTAACATGAACTAACATGAACTAACATGAATTAACATGAGTTAACATGAATTAACATACATTAACATGAATTACCATGGATTAACATGAACTAACATGAATTAACATGAATTAATGATAATTAACATTAATTAACATGCATTAACATGAACTAACATGAATTAACATGAATTAACATGAATTACCATGAATTAACATGAATTAACATGCATTAACATGCATTAACATGAATTAACATGAATTAACATGAATTAACATGAATTAACATGAATTAACATACATTAACATGAATTAACATGAAATGACGATAATTTCCTACCCAACTTTCCACATTTCTGTTGGTCCCTTGGCACGGCACGCCTTGAAGGTGACCAGTCGCAGCTGCCCTACGCAGCGCGCCTGCGCGGCTTGGCAGGAAAGGCGCAAAAGTCGGAGGTGCGGTGGGTTGGGAGGTTCCTAAGCTGGTTGGTTGGTGGTTAATGATGGTTAATAATGGTTAATAATGGTTAATAATCACTGCTTGGTGGTTTGGAATATGATTTTTTTTTCCAAGAAATTGGGAATTTCATCATCCCAACTGACGAACTCCATCATTTTTCAGAGGGGTAGGTTGAAACCACCAAGCAGTAAGTCATGGGAGTACCCCCAGTCATCTCAGGTTTTCCATATTCCATCTGGATTTTCCAGATTTTCCATCATTTAAGGAGGATTGAGATGGTAGTATCATGTAATATCCCCATGATTAATGTCATTCCTCCATGGAGGTTTCCTTAAAATGTAGGTACCCCAAATAAATCATCCCGTTGATGGATTTTCCATAAACCATCCATCTATTGGGTACCCCATTTTAAGAAACATCCGTTGAAAAACATGGGACAAGCCCAGGAAATGGGGACTTTCTAACCAGGGTTTGCAACGAAACATACGAGCGGTGGGATGATCCTACAAGTAATTGGGACATTCACCAACCATTCACCATTGGTTTGCACCAAAAATGCACTTAAAATGGCACCAAAATGCCTCTTTTTTTGTTGGGCTAATTCCAACAAAATTTATGATTTATCCAGATATGATCTACTATCAGAATTTAGCGAGCGTGATTTATGGTTATGAAATAATCCCTCTTTGGCAGACTATCATATGGAAAACCCATGGGGAAACCTGTTCGCAACATGATCTACAAATAGTGGATTTTCCATTTCATATGGGTAGCAATACAAAGTGGAACAAAACAACGGTAATTACCATAGAAAATAGGTGTATGATAGGAGTGTGACAAAAATACACACGGAAAGAACAAATAGAACCTTTTCCAGATTGACATAGTATCAACCTATGATTGGAAACGGGGTCATATGAAAATTGTGGAACAATATATATATATATACATGTGTATATATATATATATATTGGTAATTTCCGTATGATAAGTCTGATAAGTCCTCTGAACATTGTGATCAACTCTATTTAAAGAAAATGCAGCCCCGAAGCCCCCAACAAATTGTTCGGGTACTGTCTGTTCATTGAATTGGAATCCCCAAGCCAGAAATGTTTGATGACCAGAAACGTTCGTAATTCAGATAGTGATTCTCATAGTTTGAGAAGTTGGCTAAAATAACAAGGCGATTTGTGATTTATTGTGAATATATCTACAGTTTGGGTGGCCCTACTGTCCAAGCAGCGCTGCCGAGTGTGAAACTGCAAGGTTCTTAAGCCGCAACGGAAACCACGCAGATTTCTTCAGGGTCCAAGCTCTACGTCTCTGAAATTCTCCGAGATTGAGGGACGTTCGGCCAAACGCAAGACCCTTCTGGTCGGCTTATCCCTCCTGGATGGGTGGCCCGCCCTGGGTGCTTCGGTGGTGCCTAGTGTCAGCTGCCCCCTCTGGGTCCCAGTAGCGGATGGCATATAGAGAACCACGGTGGTTGTTGACAGCATGTTCTGATCTGGGATGAACCAGCTTTTCAATCTATGGTAGTTGATGGTGCAAGCAAGAACCAAAATCAGGTTTGAACCAACACCCATAATATTCGTTGTGTTGGAAATCCAACCAACAAGACCATCCATGATATGGTCTAAAGCGGGGAAACTGTTTGGCGATTTCTTCAGCAAGCACACGCAAATACAGCAAGTAAGTAAAGCTGGGTTTAACATCAACTGGCTTAGATATGGAAACTGAGAAATGTCCCTTGCCTTGCCAGCTAGTAAGCTAGCAGCTGGCGAATACTCCATAACTGAGGATTTTCCTTGGCTATCATACAGGTCTTTCCCATATGTTTTTGACTTGGAATTGCTGAAGGTAATGCGTTATTTTCCCAATGGGACATCTGCAAACACTTGTCATGTTGGGTGGAAGTTGACTCAAGTCCAAGAAGACTGGCGAATATGTTTTGTACAAGGTGAGGGACCCCAAGTATAAGTTGGTGTTTGAACCCATGAACTATTAAAAAATACCCCTCTTAAACCCGACACTGAACCAAGTTATGTGCGTCAACTCAGCTACAATGTGCCCCCAAGCTATAAGTTAGTTGATAGCCCCCATTAATATCCATGAGCTATAAAAGTATCATAAGATATCATAAACCATAGTCATTGGAGTTATCTTCGCCAACTCAATTATCATAAATCAGCTATAAATCCCATGAAATCATCATCTTCCTATGGTTTTCCCGTGGTTTTCCAAGGGCCCTCACATTGGGACCGTGTTTCCTCAGGGCTCCGCTCCGCTAGGTCTGTCGAGCTCGCCTCTGCCACTTTGAGCGCTTTTGGCATCGCCCGGGCATGGAGGAACGGGACCGGGAACGGGTTGAAAGAAAACGTGAGGAGATGTAGAACTCGCAGCACATTTTAATACATTTTAGATGTAATGTACCTATAATACAAATAAAAATATAGTATATGTATATGATTAAATGCATCATACACATTCTAGATATAATGTACATGGTGATCGAATGGTGATCGATCTAAAGGTCCTTGTAAAGAATTTTATTTGCGAAGACCGTTAATGTTAACTCTCGCGAAAGCCTTTTTTGCGAGTTAGCGAAAGATGTTTTTATTTGCCAAAGTTTTGCGAAAGTTGGATATTATGGATCATTACCCATAGGATCCATGTATGGTATATATGCTAACATTGGGGGTATATGGATGGTAAATGTTACCATATATAGCATACATGGATCCTATGGGTTATGGATCATTATCATTATATATATATATATATTACAGCTTGTCAAGGGCTACCACCTCTTGCCGCCCTGGGGGTCCGGCAGGAGAATGGCACATTAGCACATCTACCTTTCCCTTCATAGTAGTAATTTAGCAGCCCAGCTTTCCAAGGTGAGGCTTCGCCACAGCCAAATACCATGGTCTTGAAGCACATCCTTGCACCTGCCGCTGGTACTGCCTAACGTCGCTTTCTGAAGTTTCAAGAAGCAAGCTCCAAGTGCAGCAGCCACGCTTCCAAAAGTGAGGCTCTGCGAGAGCCAAACACCAAGGCCCCTGGTGTTTGCTTTTCCTCTGATGCACCCCCTGCTGATGGCTGGCGTCTGCGGATAAGGGTATTTTCGCGAAAGTTCCGCGAAAGTTCTGCGAAGAAGTGGGCGGAAGTCAAAGTGCATTTTGGAGGGCGTGGCCGAGCAAGCCTTGCAACAAAATTGCCTAATCAGCAACAACCTCTCCTGAGGAGGGGATTCCGTGATGTTAGCTGCAGGTTTACGAGGCTATGAAGAAGTTATCCGTGATAACTTGGTGTGATTTGGCAGGCAATTACTGAATGAATCTTCATAAGGGGAGTTAAACATGGAGTTCGCGAAAGATTCGCGAAAGAAAACAAATTATTCGCGAAGAATGGCTATTTGCAGATAACGGAATTTAGATCACCCGCCACATATTATACAGATTTATATAGTATGTGTGTATAGTTCCATACACAACAGATTGCAAATGATTTGCCCAGCGGTTCTTGCACTGTGGAAGTTTGAAGTAATGTCCAATCTTGGACCCTCTCGGGATCCGTATATGCATACACGTGTTTTATTTGCTGTATATGCATTAGATATTGTTTTCATCAAAAATCATGTTAGATGTCATCAAATTGCCATACTATCATTGCCATTTCTTTGTGATCATTGTATTTCTCTAATCGCATATTCTCCACATAATGAGAAGTATAACTGATTATGACACCAATGTCCCATAATAACTAGAATATAGAAATAATGTGTACAATATGAGTGAATATTATTTTCATAGTTTTGCTGTGGATAGTTAATTATATTATACTTGGTTATTCAGGATAATAGTCTGTTATTCCATTCAGTGATAGCTCAATTATATATCGGAACGCTTCCACATTATCACAATGATTGTTAAGTATACTCACAAAGTAACAATATCACACAATTGCATTACAATTCCTAAGTTGTATGCTACCCATGGGTGTGAACCAATTATTTATATAGCTTGTATTATTTTCATTCCTAGGATTCCAAAGTTGTGTAATCACATGTAATCACTCATTACTAGGATTTTAAAGCCATTTATTTTTCTTCCTAGGCTATATGGGTGAATTAATTCCATATGTTAATACAATTCCTAGGCTGTATTTATTATTATTTCTGGGAATCCTAAGTTGTATAGTAAGTCATATTCCTAAGTTACCCATACAATATTGCGCTTATAATTTAATTATTGGGTACAATAAAAAAATATAATATACATATTACTACCCCATTCTATAGTAATTCACATTCCTAAGTTACCCTCTGGTAATTTAACATAGCTATGGAAAATCACCATTTTTAATGGGTAAATCCACTATAAATGGACCATTTTCAATAGCAAACTGTTAGTTTACCAGAGGGTATTATAATTCCCACCCCAATGATTCTACCCACGGCTTGCAGCTCATTCTATCGAGGCCTTGGAGCCCGACGAGGTGCAACGGCCCGCCGTGAACGCCGCAGCCAACGCATGGCTGCCTGGCGCCAGACGGGAACGGAAGGGGTGCCCATGAGGTTTTCAGCAACAAAAATGGGGAAACATGAGGATCTAACTATCAGAAAATGGGGGATTTGAATGGGGTATACCTTTATGACTTTCTGGCAAGTTTCTTCAGGGAAACATGAGGATCTAAACCATTGGATATGGGGCGTAAAACATGGCCATGATCAGAAGGGGAATTCGAGGTTTTCAAGCGGTGGATTTGGGATGTAGCCATGATAATGACCATTGAATCTAGCTCAACTGGCCCAAACCCACAACTGAATCGACCGCTGGTGATTCAGGTGATTCTTTACGCTATGAAGTTTGCTCGTCATCCACGTTTGGATATTCCGAATTCAATGTCACTTTTTTCGGAAAACTCGTACTGGTACAAGGTGGTGCCCCCTGGTTCGCTTCGTTGGTTTGTAACTGGATTAACTAGGTCTTGTGGTAGATACACTAGGTCCTCTTAAACGTCATTCTACACATGTCTAAATCATTCAACGCAAGAGTAAACTTAGTAAACATCCACAAAGTATAAATTCGGTATAACATTTGTATTTATGTATCCATTCATACACCAGTTATCCATTCATCGACTATATATATATATATACACATATTTATATCAATGGTTGATCAATATCCATTCCTCAACTATAAGTCAACTATACTTTTTATATCCTTTATCCATTCGCAACCTTCCCAGGGCACCGCGACTTCTTTCCGATGCGCGGAGTGTCGCTCCTCTGGCGCCGGGTGCTGCGGTGCGGGTGAAACTTCGAGGTGTTGGTGACTGGGTTGGTGACAGCTGGGTTTGACTCACATATTACCCTCTGGTAAATTAAGAGAGACCCTGAAAATCACCAATTTTTAGTGGAAACTAATCTTTCAACCCCTGTCTGGCAGGGTCTATGTCAATTCAACTGGAGGGTAACCCCTTCCCCCTAATATGAAATAAATTAAATTACTTTACTTCGTGTGATCCCCACCATGACATTTATCGATTTGTTACCGGCAAATCTTCTGGCATTCTATCTGACATATCTTCTGGCATTCGATCTGGCATATCTTCTGGCAAATGTTCTGGCATATCTTCTGGCATTCTATCTGGCATTCTATCTGGCATATCTTCTGGCATATCTTCTGACATCCTATCTGGCAAATCTTCTGGCATTCTATCTGGCAAACATTCTGGCACTTTATCTGGCATACCTTCTGGCATTCTATCTGACATTCTATCTGGCATACCTTCTGGCATTCTATCTGGCATTTTTTCTGGCATATGTTCTGGCATATCTTCTAGCATTCTATCTGACATCTTATGACATCTTATCTGGCATTCTCTCTGGCATACCTTCTGGCATTCTATCTGGCATATCTTCTAACATTCTATCTGGCATATCTTTTGGCATTCTCTCTGGCAAATCTTCTGGCGTTCTCTCTGGCATACCTTCTGGCATTCTATCTGGCATATCTTCTGGCATATGTTCTGACATATCTTCTGGCATTCTACCTGGCATATCTCACGGCATTTTATCTGGCATATCTTCTGGCATTCTATCTGACATTCTATCTGGCATATCTTCTGGCATTCTATCTGGCCGTTGAGGTCCAGCGGTGCACGCTGAGCTGGGCAGATCCCGGGTTGAGGTCCAGCGGTGCACACTGAGCTGGGAAGGTCCCAGGTTGAGGTCCAGCGGTGCACACTGAGCTGGGAAGGTCCCAGGTTGAGGTCCAGCGGTGCACACTGAGCTGGGAAGGTCCCTGGTTGAGGTCCAGCAGTGCACACTGGAGAAACTGGAGGAGGAGGAGGCGGCGGCGGCGGAGGCGGAGGAGGAGGAGGAGCAGGACGAGGAGGAGGAGGACGAGGAGGAGGAGGAGGACAACAGCTCTGATAAAATCTAACAACCCTCACCTGGCAGGTGGGGAATGAAATAAACCCCCAGAAACACCGATATGTTCTTTGTATCTCGGGTGGTAGCAATGTTGATGGATTTGCAACCTTGATCTTTTGGCGGAGACCCCGAGATAGCTCAGTGGTGGATATTTACAGTTGGATAGATGACCAACTTATGACTGGGGAAACTCTAGACTCTAGAACGTCTATATACCTTAGAATGAACCCATCATCCGGCTGAGGTCAGCGATTCATTGAGAGCAAATTGTATATTTCCCTGAAGTTTGTGGTGGCCACGAAATCTAAGCTACATAGTTCTGATATAATCCGCCAGTGTTCAGCCATTTTTGTTCCTACTTGTTGGGATTTCAAGTCGCCCAGAAACTCACCCTCACAAGTTGGATCATCCCAACAGCCAGGTTCAGATGACCTTGGCATTTGCGAGTTCTACGAGCCGCAGAGCGGCTTGTGGCACGTGCGCTTTTGCGACGGCTTGCAGCGTTTGGCCCCGCAGCAGTTGATTCGCTTAGGCCTGGGAAATCTGCTGATTGTGGTGATGCTGCTGACATAGCAGCACTGGCACCATGCATTCAAAACCAATCTGCCATTTGGTTGATTACATCACAATCACAATCGTTATTGATGACTAGGATCCAACCATATCTAACCTACCATGAATCATGCCATCGCCCTGGCTATCTCTAGGTTTTTGCGGGACCGCCGTACGCACAGAGGGGCTGGTCACATGCCATTGGAACTCCAGGAATTAGAGCGCCACAACTATGTGGATACATCTGTTGTACAGCCAGATTTCCACAAGTGAATTGCATGTAGCATGAGCCAAGCGCGAGCCGTGCAGCAATCGCAAAGTGACAACAAGATATGCATATATATATATATGATTATCATGTTATATCAGAAATTTGCTGACCGAATCGTCCCAACTTCAATTTTCCGATGATTTCAATCTATAATATACATAATGATGTATATATATATATTTATAATATATATATATATAATATATATATATATACATATGTAAGTCCTTTGGCCAAGCAAGCCGTTGAAAAGATTCACCCAGCAGGTGGCAACGAAGAGGGTGATGCCATCGATGGCGAAGAGCTCTCGCAACAGGAACTGCAGCAACTGACCGAGGACTGCGACGACGTTGAAAGGTTGGATGGCCAATATATGCACATGGATTGTGAATGAATGGATTATGTATAGATGGTAAATAATCTAATGGTCCACATTCTAATCCATATGTATTTATATTTATATATATACATGTGTTTTCTTATTTATTTATTGATTAATTTATTTATTGACTTGTTCTTCGCTGGACGTGAATGGATGTGAATGGTAAATAGATGGTTAAGGAATGGTGGATTGTTTGGCAATGGTTTGATGGCGATGGCAAGGGTTAAGGCGGTTGACATCCACTTACCAAAGGTATCAACTAGTGGACTAGTGGATACCCCCTCCAACAATTGAGGGGAGTCAAAAGGAATGTCTCAGCGCCTTCCCACTAATCACTGTACATCGTGATTTTTGTATATGTTCCACAAGTTATAGAACAACCAAATATTGATGTTTTGTTTATCGCTTAGAATATAGATGAATATACTCAGACAATACGAATGTAATATAATGTGGGTAAAACAACAATACAACATCCCCCAAATCACAATAAATAGGTGGTATAAACAATTCCCAAATGAGTCGTTTATTTTTGTTTTTACGCACATTACTTCTTATGTAAATACTTAGGGGATATAGGTCCTCTTGGACGCCTTTCACGGGTTGATAGCTGATAGCTACACCTCTGTTGGCTGGATGGTGATCGCTGGGTGTAGTCATGGTCAGTTTTTGAAGAATTGGAACATTGCCCACGAAAATGGGGGATACAACAAAAAACCTTGGTGATACTTCAATCAATAGAAGTAAGCACTGGGAGCTCTTGCAAATAGTGGTATACAATGTGCTTCTCTTGCAGACCTCAGGTCAATCCACCTGGAAGCTATGCAATTTGACAGGATTTACTCAATTGGAAACAAACTATAAAATAGGCCTCCAAGTGACCCGGGTCAACAGCTGTGGGGTCTTCGACAGGAACCGCCAATGAAGCGAGCAAGAACTCGGTGTCAGCTGGTCTTCGATTTCAAAAGACACAGCCGATTTGGGTCTTGTTCACGTATGGAGCATTGGAGCATGGATCGAATTCAAAGATTCCCCAACTCAAAAATTGTACAGATTTGGATGCTACGGTGTCAGTAACCTTATACAATTTTGGAGTGTCCAGAGATACCCATTTCATCTCAGTGTACAAACTTGCAGCCAACGTCACATCTGACAGATGCGCCCGAGATGTGTCGGACAGCAGTTGAGGAGTGGTTGGCACCATATATTAACCATATATTCACCATATTAGCCATATTAACTGTATTATAATAGCCAATGTTAACCATATGTTGCCAGCAATTCGCCAGAAAGTGTTCCCCTTATCAAACATGACCAGTGAATTGGATGATTTGGGGTCCCAAAAATGACGAACACCCCATGTTGATGAAAGAAGGCTGAAGATTTTCCAATGAATTTATCCAGTGAATCCCAGTGATTCATGGTAAATACATATAGATGCTGTATAAACAATCATAAGGCCATTTCATATTTTTCTGGAATCAATAAGGCATGGCAATGGAACATCTCCCACTTATATATAGAGTCCCCTTTGCTGTGTTTCATCTAAATCACCATCAAAACACGGCGCCACGGCGCCGGATTTCCCAGCCACTCGCAGAGCCCAGGTGCTCTGCGCGGCCGTGTTCTTCGCGTGCATCCTGCATTTGTTGAGGTCGCTGGATGGTTTGGTCCAACATCCTAGGGATGATGTGGTGGTACCTCTATTTTAGGAAACCTCCATATATATATATTGATATATATATATATATATACGAGTATTATTATATATATATATGAGTATTATTATATATATTGATATAATGTTGGTAAAGCAATCATTTACCACCCATATTTGATGGTATATACCGTCCATTTATGGTGATTTGGGGGATGGTTTATTATTGTTTTACATTTTACCAACATTACTGGCATTCCTGAAGCGTTATTGGAGAATACTGTACGCATCTGTACGCAGTATCATATGTTTATGCATATACTGATATACTGCAATGGCATTTAATACAGTTACTACTAGTACTACATATCGATATCATAGCATACAGTATCAGACGTTTATGGAGGATATTTTCACAGTATGTTTTTTTAATGTGATAAAGCCAACAAAAAAATCCTCAGCACCAGAGGATGACCGTCAGTGGAAGCGGTCATTTTTTTTGGGATGGTCCAATCGTTGGGTTTATCTCATCAATGGGTTTATTTTTGATCGGTTTATTATCCCAGTGCTGTAGGATTATCCCAGTACTGATAGTACTGGAGGATCGGTTTTTTCATGTTTATGTTTGATCGATTTTGATTACCTATTGGACCAATAATTATCCCAGTGGAGGATCATCGTGTGTTTTTTGACTTTGGGAAAACCCAACTCGACTGGACAAAACAAGTCAGAAAGCCAGTCGAAGAATCAAAGCCATCGCACAAACAGGATGGTGGTAACCCCACTGATGTGATCGGATAGACCGGATCTGATTTCCCATGGGGTATTTCATGATAAGTCTTGAAAAACCCTAATCCTGATCGATGGGGTTAATCATGGTTAATCCATTGATGGGTTATTTTTTGTACCATGGTTTCCTGGTGAAGTCCCAGATTGCTCGAGTTATTTCATGAAGCGCATCTAATCCTGGTTGGGTTCCTAGAAATGATTGGCCACAGCCTTCAAATATTCTTCCCTTCGGATACGGGTACATTCGCAGTATCAGTTGGTACCCTCTGGTTATTTAACATAGCCATGGAAAATGGCCTATTTATAGATGGTTTACCTATTACAAATGGGTGGATCTTTCCATGGCTATGTTAGTCATAACCAGATGGTAGATGTAGAATGATGTTAAATAACAAGTGGTGCTGCCTTGATTGGGACACTCCGGTGAGAGGTGACAACTCACGGTTTGATCCTTGGGATGTTGCTGGCTGATTTCAAGTCAGTGTTTTGTGCCCAGCCAATTCCATACAATGTGCATAACTGGAGGTCTTTGGTGAAATTGATGATCCATGACCATCTGGTTATGACTAACAGTTTGCCATGGAAAGATCCACCATTTTTTAAGAGCTAAACTAAACCATCTATTTCTATGGGCCATCGAGAAACCATGGCTATGTTAGTCATAACCAGAGGGTATCTCCGTTGCCATGTGCACAGTGAATCATGGATCAATTGTTCAGGCCCTGGAAACCTCAGACATTGTGGGTGTTTTCAATTTGAGTAGTGGCTAGCCAGTTGCTAGTTCCCTGGTTTTGCTGGTCAGCTTAAAGCTACCTAATCTTGACCCGTACATGGTCGGAGGGGTTGATTCTTCCACTCTACCTGGGATGCTAGCTGGTATTTTTTGATATGGGTGGCTCAACCACCAACCACATACCTCCCAATGGTTTGAGTTCCACTGCTCAGCATTTTTCAGATTTAGCGATGTGTTGCCCGTTGCATCCTCTCTGATTTTCGGTTCCTCACACTGCTCCAAAACGCAGGAAGCATTGTGTTGTCGCACGCAGTGCGCAACGAAATGTGGTGATTCGCACAGATGAGGACATGGAGGGAAGGGTGACGTGTGTGATGTAATGAACTTTGAGTCAGAGAACTGGTCAGGTCAGAGTTGGTAAAGGATTCTGCATGGCTATGACGAAATTATATCCTAGATTTACCAAGCATATCCGAGCCTGGTGTACCAAAGCATGCAAAATCAGAGGATGTATGAAGAAGAAACTCTGGAAAATGTGCTGGATACAGGTAGCATAACATACACAGATCATGGATCATAGTGGTGTGTTATATCATATTCCCGGGTGTTGATGGTGGATACATGTTGCCGTGTATATATATATACACTTCCAATAAACAAAGGATCAGTAGTGGAGATATGAACCAACATGATCCAAAATTGTGGATAGGAATTCTTCCAAATGTCACCAACAAGACAGTGCCGAGCGGAGGGAGACCATTTTGATCCATTTTGGAGGTTCAATCATACTAATTTAAAACGGTTTGGTGTTTTTGATAATAGCGGTATAAGACACTACCAATATCTACCAGTATATTGTGATTTTGCAAGCGTTGTTTTCAAAAAATGCACTGAGAACAATCTACAAATCATTATTGGTTTCTTATCCAACCCTTTTTGGTGCATACAATAGTGGTTTAGATATGCAAGACTTTAAGCATATGTTTTTGTCGCTCGTGAATTGGATCGTTTTGATAGATCCTGACCATATTTTGTACTATTTGCCATATAGCTATTTTAGATTCTGAATATTTTCATAGACATGCTCAGTTTGTACATCCAGAATCTGTAGTGGGGAAAACATGATTCTGTTGATGGAATTCCCATTGTTGCAGTTCTCTACATTCCCCGGTTGTTGCCTGGTGGTATACTTTGGATTTGGTGGTACAGTTCAGAGTCCGATGGTCTGACGGTGCGAGGAAACCCTTACATATCAGAACAGCAACCCCCAAAGTTAGAAACGTAGAATCCGACTAAAAACATGGGACAGCATGGGTCTTTTCTTGGGAGGGGGGTACTACATACATGGAGGTTTCTTGGAATAGGGGTACTCCAAAAAATCATCAATTTGAATCGGATTTTCCATTATAAACCAACCATTTTGGGGTACCCCCATTTATTTATGGAACCCCCCATGCTCTTGACAGCCAATTGGCTCAGTGATTTTTCAAGAAGGATCTTCGATTTTTTCATCAGCAGCTGACAGTATTGCTTACAAGTAACAGGAGATTGACATGCACTAAATCTGGTTTTTGAAAACCAGTGCTACTGGAGCTCATGGATGATCCACGCACACGAAACTCATTCGTTTTATGATCAGAATCAGAATTTGTTGGTTCAACTGGTCATTAATGTCGATTGGTTGTTTGTAGCTTCAACTGAAATTGTAAACAGTTAGTCAAACTCTTTCAGTTGTCAACAGTGTCCTCTGCCTTGTTATGTTGTTTTAGTGACTTTAGTGGTTGTTCCAGTACGTTTTCAAGCTCAACAACGGTTTTGTTCCTGAACCCCTCTAATTCCACTGTCCATCACCCCACGATGTCCAGTGGTGCGGGTGGCTATGTGGCGGCTGGCGCCAATGGCTGTGAAGCAATGATTGAGATTCAGGTGCAAATTCTGCCTAAGTGGGTCCGCTCTGGGTCATGAGCTGCGGCACATGGTTTTGCAGCGACTTGCTTCAAAGAAGGGCAGAAGATTCACACTGCATCACCAGGATGCACCGCTGCTGCTCACCCAAACATTACAGGAGCAGGGCATAGTAGGAAAGATGGCAACAGTCTCTTGCACCTTTGTCCCCACTGATTTGCATGCTGCCTGGTGCTATGCCCAAGGATTCCCAGTCTCTCTGGGAGAGTGCGCACTAGACGGAGTGACCAACATAGAAGGTACTAACTCTTGTATCTCTTTGCAGTATCTTCCCGGGAGTGCGTGAGAACCCTGGCCTCTGGTGATAATTCAACCAGACCCTAGAGCGAGTGAGATTGCCGAGCGGTCTTCAGACTTTGACATTTGGCTATAGTTTCAACCAGACCCTAGAGGGAGTGAGCTTTCCAATCGGTCTTCAGACTTTGACATTTGGCCTTGGTTTCGACCAGACCCTAGAGGGAGTGAGCTTGCCGAGCGGTCTTCAGACTTTGACATTTGGCTATTGTTTCAACAAGACCCTAGAGAGAGTGAGCTTGCCGAGCGGTCTTCAGACTTTGACATTTGGCGATAGATTCAACCAGACCCTAGAGAGAGTGAGCTTGCCGAGCGGTCTTCAGACTTTGACATTTGGCGATAGTTTCAACCAGACCCTTGAGAGAGTGAGCTTTCCAATCGGTCTTCAGACTTTGACATTTGGCCCTGATTTCGACCAGACCCTTGAGAGAGTGAGCTTGCCGAGCGGTCTTCAGACTTTGACATTTGGCGATAGATTCAACCAGACCCTAGAGGGGGTGAGGTTGCCGAGCGGTCTTCAGACTTTGACATTTGGCGATAGATTCAACCAGACCCTAGAGGGAGTGAGCTTTCCAATCGGTCTTCAGACTTTGACATTTGGCCTTGGTTTCGACCAGACCCTAGAGGGAGTGAGCTTGC